TCCCCAGTTCATTTGACAGCCTTTGCAGGATTCAAGGCTGGTATGACTCACATCTTGAGAACTGTTGAAAGACCAGGATCAAAATTGAATGGTAAGGAAGTCGTTGAAGCTGTCACCATCGTTGAAACCCCACCTTTGGCTGTCGTCGGTATTGTCGGATATATCGAAACACCAAGAGGATTAAGAGCTTTGACCACTGTTTGGAGTACTAAGATTGCCAAGGACACATTGAGAAGATTCTATAAGAATTGGATCAACTCAAAGAAGAAGGCTTTCACCAACTACAACAAGGCTAATGCTGAGCCAAAGAATTTGGAAACTCAATTAAAGAGAATCGTTAAGTAAAAATATTAATTAAACTATTTAGATATTGCTAAGTTGTCAGAGTCATTGTTCACACTCAAATGAGCAAATTGAACTTGAGATAAAAGAAGAATCACGTCTTTGAAGTTCAAGTCAATGGAGGCACAACAGAATAAAAAGTTAACTATGCCAAGGGATTATTAGAAAAGGAAGTCAAAGTAGATTAAGTCTTCAAATAAAACGAATAAATTGACGTTCTCGGTGTCACCAAGGGTAAGGGAGTTGCTGGTGTCATCAAGAGATTTGGTGTTAAGCATTTACAAAAGAAAACCCATAGAGGTTGGAGAAGAGTTGGTTGTATCGGAGGATGGCATCCAGCCAATGTCAGATACAGTGTTGCCAGAACTGGTCAATTGGGTTACCATCACAGAACTGAAATGAACAAAAAGATCTACAGAATTGGTACTGCCGGAGACAAAAACACTGCATCTACCGAAGCTGATTTGACTTCAAAGGCCATCACTCCATTGGGTGGTTTCCCACACTATGGTGAAATTAGAAACGATTTCCTCATGCTCAAGGGAGGTATTGTTGGACCCAAGAAGAGAATCGTCTTGTTGAGAAAGTCTCTTGTTCCATAAACTAGCAGAAAGGCTTTGGAAGAAATCACTCTCAAATTTGTTGATACATCATCCAAAATTGGACATGGTATTATCTCAATTCTATTTTATTAGGACGTTTCTAAACTCAAGAGGAGAAGGCCAAGTTCTACTTTACTAGAACCCAAAGAAAATTAAAGCAATAGTAACAATAATGATGTATAATTATAAAAAGAAACAAATTTCATAATCGCTTATATTATCTTAAATGTTTACTATACTTTTAATATATCAGAATCTCAACTTAGAAAATAGGAATCTTGATTAAGCTTTTTTATCTGCCAAACTTCCAGCTGGTAAGGTTCTGTATTTCTCAGCCAAATACTTTCTCAAATTCTTTCTCAATTCCTTTCTTTTTTCAACATTCTTCAATTCAGATTCTTTGACTCTCTCAATTCTATCTCTGACTTCCTTCAATGTTGATTCTTCTAATCTATATCTATAATTAAGTTATTATTATTAATAACCTTGTTGGCATTATATGATTTAAATTTAATTGTTTAATGAACACTTTTAATGTGGTTCGCTTTCTAATTTATTTTTATCCCATTCTCTTTGTTACTTTTCTTGGATATCTTTGTATTCCTACAACCAAACCATTTGGGAATTTGCAGTCCTAACCAAATGTTTTTTTTATATATACTTTTGTAGTTTCCTCATTAGCCTTAATTAAAATTGCTTTTTTTCCAGCATATCTGCCTGCAAGCATAACAATCAAACGTCCTGGTTTTAAACTTAAATAAGAGTAATTCTTACAATTTTCCCATTTCAAAACTCTAAATAAATCTTTTTAATTATTTAATGCAAATTCTGTAAATATCATAAATACAAAAGACTCCATTTATAAATTTATACATACATAAATCAACTCAAATCAACAACATTAGTAAACTAACAATCAAGAAGGTCACACTATCAAATATATACTTAAATTGGACATCAATCAAACCTCCTGCATTTTCATAACTGTGGATTTGAGTGAATTAAACTTGAAGATAAAAATTAAATAGGAACATTAATTTGAACAGATTATTTGAATTCTTCACTGCATCCCTATCAATTTAAAATAATTACCTTATCTTTCATTCAGCTCTCCATACTTACATAATTTGGGGCCAATGTATTTTATAAATATCAAACCAACCAAGTAGGGTCCCAATAAAAACAGGGTCAAAATTAAAGGATTAAGCCATAAATGAAATTCCTTAACACCCACAAAGGCTCTATCCACTTTGATTGATGATATTGTGCATCTATTTCCGAAGATGAACCAAGTAATTTGACAAATTAATGATATCATAGCAAAAAACGCTGGCAGTGAAAATTTCACCAAATTCCTCCAATGGTAGTAGATACAGATAAAAATTAATATCTCATATGAGTATATGGCTAACCCATATTTATCAGAGACTACTATGCAAGAGAGCACCAAAAATATTGGATCTTTTGAAAAATAATAGTATATAGAAATGATATAGATGATTTTTGGAATATGCAAGATCACCAATTCTTTATATGGTTAATCTTCTATCTAAGCATTCGGATAAATATAAAAAATATCTATTAAAATTAAACCTACTTATGCTATTATTTTATCTAAAGTTGGACTCTTTTTATGATACATAAATAAACAACCATGTAAAAATACTACAGGCAAGTATAACATATAAAATGATTAGTTTAAAATTTCATAGTTTTAGAAAGTCAAGTAAAATTATTCGAAATTTAAAGCATAGTAAATTACAATGGCGCTTATACATGAGATGATGACTTCTTTTACTTTACAATATGTTGATGAATCTTCTTAAGTGTCAATTAATCTTGAAATAAAATTGAAAATGCCAATAACTGAGCTCAATACTATTAGTTGAATAATTTCATTATAGAGGTATCTCTCTTCAAACTTTTTTTGTTGAATTGACAATAATAAGTTGCCTTAAAGGATTATTTTGTAAAGGAAAAAGAAAAATACAGCAGTTTAAAGCAATTTTGAGAAGCGATTATTTAATTTAATAGAATCTGGTGTTTCTATTAAATCCCATTAGTATTAATTCAAATTTTAAATGTGATTTTTTTTGATTTTTAACAATAAACCAAAATCGATATAAGCAATCAGCACAATAAGGAGGAATGTTATTAGGATCTCTAATTCATATAATAAAAACAAAAAGATTGATAATATTGCTAAGACTATAGATAATTTTTTATTATTTTATAAGACATGCTTAAAAGCAGCAGTAATTTATTGCATTGTTATGAGATCATCATTTTATTAGGCTTAAAATAATATCACCATAACAAGAATGAAGAATATGACAATCAAAGCTTGAAGCACAAAACTTAAATTGAGTAATGGAATATCATATTCATTCCATATTTTGCGTGCAACACCTTAAATGTCATTCATAAGAATCAAAGCATCTTTGCAAGTCTTAACTTCTGAGTATTGATTTTGCCATTAGCTTTTTTAAAAATAACTAAACTTGCCTTATCGACTGTGTACAGTTTCAACAAAATGCCATACTTATTTTAGATTATCAAGACAATGCTCTTCACTATTAAAAAATTCATTCATAAGGTAGCCAAGATTACTGAAAGGTATTGGAATTCCTAAGAGAGTGGCTAGAGTTGGTACAATATCAATTTAACTAATTTTCCTGATATATTCAGTTTAGTTGATTAAAGTAGATTGATAATTATCTTACAGTTCAGGAATGTGTTTCATATAATTTGGATAAAACTTTCCTTATTTCCTTGTTGCAAAAAATAAAGTGTTGGTTTCTTCTGTGCTATTTCCACCATGATTGCCATCATTTGCCATTCCATGATCACCAGCAACTATTAAAACAGTATCATTTGGCATTTTCTCGTAAATGAGTGCTATGATTTGATCTAATTGACTTAATTTTTAATTTAGATCAGGGTTATTTAATACTTTATTATTTTTGTGACCTGCATGATCCAATCCCAGAAAATGTGATACTATTAAATCAAATCCTTTATCTAAATTTTCTAGTATTTTATCACAATTAAACTAATCTACAGAATGCATATCCCCTATGTTAAATGATTTCTGAGGGAATTTGACTGTAAATTAATCAGGATAGAGTCCTATCCAAGTATCATCTCCAGAAAAGAGAGTTTTCTTATTGAATTTGTTCATTTGAAACATTATATTGTCTTCTTTAATCTTGGATAGATTTATAGATTATACTTCTGAAGCATGGAAATTGTCCAATAATTTCGATAAAGGGGGAAAATTGCCGCTTGTCATAGCTTACAATCTTGGACCTGTAACTGTAGGGACTTCAGCAAAAGATAAAAAAAACAGGGATTAATCTGGTTTGTTTTCAGTCATATTTTTGAAAAATGTGAAATGTTGACTCACTGCTAAATCAATACGGAATGAATCAATTATCAAAAATATTACAGGTTATGTTGGTTTCATCTTTCCTTCAGTTGTATCCAATAAGTATCTGCGATCTATGAAATACCCTCTAAAAAATAAAAGTAAACCAAGCAAGTAGAAAATCACAAGATTGATTATCAAGCACTTTGTTTATTTCATTTTAAATTTAATATTAAGAAAACAATAATATTTGTATAAGAATTAAGTTGAATTCAAATCAACAAACATTTATAACATATTTATAATAATGTACTTAACTCTCAGAAGACTAAATCATGAGGTCTTGTTGTTTTTCCGATGCTGAAACGAGCTCCCAAATATTATTTCAATAATTATGTCTTTTTAATTGTTGAAACCAAAGCATCATCAATTGATTTTTAAGTCTTTCTTTTCTCATCCAATCTCTTTTTCTCAGCCACTTATTATTCTTCAGTCAACTTAATAATCAATATCATTTATACTTCTCCTCTTTTAGCCCAAAATCCTTTTTCATTCTTTCTTCTTTATGCCTCAGTTCTCTTGAAGTACTCATCTTCGATTTTGCTAGCATCGACTCCCTTAATATCAACTTTTGTTGATGTTGGGATAACATATGCTTAATTCACTCTCTTAAGTGGTACACCATTGATTTTGAATGGTCCTGTGACAAGTAAGAGTCCTGATTTAAGTTGCTTCAAAAGGACAACTCTCTTGCCTTAGAATCTACCAGCCAATAAGATTAACACCTATCCTGGACTAATTTTTCTCAATTGAGATGGTCTTGGAGCCTTTATTTATTTAAAATCTGTATTACTTTTCTTCTTCTAACGAAATGAACTTTCTCATCGTCTGATTTGTACCAATTTCCGATTCTAGTGGTTCTCTTTTTTGCTGGCATTGAATAATATATATATTTTAATTTATTTTAAATCTAATTTCAAATTTAATTATCCCTAATCACTTGGAACATTGTATTCATTATATTGACATATCAGTCTGAATCTATATATATTAGATATATCAGCCATTTCCTACTCCTATAAATTTTGTAAGGATTTTAGGGAATGTTCAAATTATTTGCATATTTATTCAAATTATAATTATATATAATGGATATCATTTTTGAATTATATCCACATTTTAAATTTTATATATTTTCCATAAAACTTTAGACTAACATTTTACATGCATTTATAATTGGTTTTTCTCAAAGAAATTCTGATATTCTTAATAAATATAAAATAGTATGCCGACTTTAATTCTTGATTTGATAAAAATTTATTATTCAACCCAGTATTTTTACAATTATCAGAAGAGCAAATTCCAATTAAATATACGTATAAATCGATTAGAGATAGTAAATTATCAGAAATATTTCTTTCTGTTGTTACTTTACTCAAAATATAATGTATTTAGATAACTTCAATCTTGATGTTATATCATCTTAATATATACTTATGATGTATTTTTATAATAATATATAATTAAATCATACCATTTTGAAGTATTGGAGGTTAATTTGATTTTTCTAAGCTAACCACTCTGTTTAAAAATTTATTCCATGCATATTATATTTTTTTATATTGTAACCATCTAATAAGAATTTGAAATTTATTTAATAATAATTCCTGCAAGACTTAAATAATTTGAATCTTCCTCCTTATATTTTTTATGTACATTTCCTAAACTAATAGGTATCTTTATATCTTTATCATTCTTTGTTGTTGAAATCTTGTCACACTCATTTAAAAATATCAAACTTCTATTTATTATTGTGAACACACTCCTACCATTATTTCTTACTCAATATCAAAACCGATTCATTAATTTAATGTTTCTAAGAATTTCAACAATGCATCACATCAAATTATACTTGTCGAATATTTCAAGCAAACACCCAAATTATTCTAAAATACTTGTAAAGTTTAATGAAGACTCTTTATCAATTGTAATTATATTGCTTAACCTCTCATTAAATTATCTTTCAGTGATTCTAATGAGATAACAATGAAAATTTCTCCCTAAAAACACATTCTTGAAGGAAATGATCCAGATTTATGAATGAATACATAGAATTCCGAATAAAATAACATATCTATAAATTCATATACTAGGACTGGAACCTTTCAGCTTATGGAAATAATTTGTTGAGTAGTGCTTCTTCTTCTCATAATGGTACTTTTAACTAACTAATATTTCCAGAAATATACCTATTGACTATAAATTAATTTCCCCCCATTAGTAGATTTACATTTTTCTAGCTCCTTAACCTTTTATTTGGTATTAATATTCTTTGTCTTTCAGATCAGGATCTAAGATTATTGGCTTTTGCTATTTCCTAAAATGACAACCCATAAGAGTAAAGTTTTCTAATGATAATAATAAATAAGATTTATTGATTAACAATATAAATTTCCATTATGTATTGTAAATAATGCATAATTTTTAGTTTCTAATTTTTCTAAATTTCAAAAGAATCTCTCTAAGAAATTATTTTCTTATGTCCAAAATTGAATCTCAAAATCAAAGTCAAAAATCAAACAACTTTCTTTGATAAAATTTAAATTGAAAAATATCTTCTTATTTCAATATCCAATTATATTCTTATTTAGTAATTGACTTAATGGTATAGAATATCTATAGAATAATAATTTTAAGATCAAATCAAAAAATCAATCGCTAAAAATGTTTAAAACTATAAAACATACAAGAAATTTAATTAAAAATTATTGAGATTATATAAAATTAAAATCAGTTAATTGTGTTCTAAATCTTTAAAATACACAGTATCTTTTATCATTTTAAGGAAACCTTTATTTAAAGAAATTTAGGTATGCTAACCTTATAAAAAACTGAATTTTTTCTAATATTTTGGGCTACTGACTATTAAATAACTTAAAAATAAGTTCAAAAACTTTGTTTATTTTGTATTTGGCAATTATTAGAATCGTAGATCCAATAATAAGAATACGTAATAACTAAAGAAATTTAAAAAAAGCGAATGATGTCAGTTATATAATGTAATCTAGTAAAAAATTGAATATCAAAAAGAATATTCCTTTCAAAAATTTAATAATAATTTTTATATAACAGATAATCGATATAACAAACTACTATTTAAATTTAAATAATCAAGATTTATATAATAAACATAAAAAAAATAGAAATTACATCACTTCGAGAAAGGCTTAATTCATCAAATTGCAAAACATAACATATAGACCTTAGTATCTTAGCGTAGTGAATTAATAAAGATGTTTTTATTTCCGATTCTAATTATTAAATTATAACCAGTGTTAAATAGTTAGATTATACATCTATGGACACATACATCTTTATATAAAAAATGAAAAATACATATTTTCATAATTCTAATATTCCTAATCAAACCTAGAATCATTTAATATTCTTAGAGGTAAAATATTGTAGTCAATTTAAAATATATTTGAATGAATTTCTCCATTCTCTTATGCTAATTTAAATTGAAGGGAATGCAAATAAAATTAAGGTTAGTCAGGCAAATAATCAAGTGGAAATCATTCTGATAATCTAAGAAATGAGCTAAATCATATCAACTCCAGGCATTAAATTCTCATCTATTAGTCCTAGAAAACCACAAATAATATTCTTTAAATATATATTTAACTATCATGAAATTCTGTTATGGTAAGACAAATTATTCCATAATAATAGGCTATGCTCCTATTAAACTATATTTCAAACTGGTTTAATATAACTTATAAACATGTATTTTCTGGTCAACAAAAATACCAAAGAATCTGCCAATAGAAATGTGACAAATAACTTATCAATTTTTGTAATAAAATTATTAGTTTAATAAAATTTCATGCTTCTACTTTTGATTGGGCTCTTAAGGTTCTCCATTATTTTAAAGGTTTATATTATTTCGTTATAAATTGATAATTTAAATCATGCATGATTTAATTAATATGCAATTTAAATTACAATCATTTATTGCTTAAGGTTCTCATTCAGCAGAAATATTGCGTAATATAGGTAAGTGCAGATTAAAATTGATTGTATTTCAAATTGAAAATGAGTGAATTAAATAAAAAGGAACTGCTTTGATTAATTAATTTATATTAGAGTTTAATAAAAATTATTTAATTTAAGTTAAATAGTTTATATTAAGCTGTTAAAAAACAAAGGATTTAATCCGCTTTTGTTAGAAGTTAGTTGGATTGAGAAAGCATAATTTTAAGCAAAAAATAAATATATAATAAAATAATTATAAGTATAGAAAGTAGATGTATGTTCAAATTTGGTAGTAATTATTAGGGAGTTAGGGGAGTTCTAAAGTGTCTTTGATTGATTCAAAATTGTTGGGATTGTTGGATTAATGATCAATCTTCTTTTCATTTAATAGATATGATAACATGCTCCCTGGGGGTTAAACTTCTGCTCCGTTATTAGTTTCTAATGGTTAATGCTTTTTGAGCAAGAATGAGTTTGTATTTTGAGGAGAACCTAGGTACTCCTCATCGATGAAAATGATGTAAATTTTTTTTTTGATTTTTTTCTTTATACCTAAGACTTTCTTTGCCTTCATTTCAGCTATCCAGCGTTTGTAGATTTCGAAATACGTTGGTATTTAAGTTGATTTCTCTCTATTTTATTTGTTATTGCAAAAATGAGATGTCGGTGTTTTAAATTCGAGAACATAGAAGGGGGTCGGTATATTATAATGATATATAAATTGAGTATATATATATATAATGATAAAGAATTTATAAAATACTAGATTTCTGATTTCAATTTAAAGTATAAGAGCAATGAATAAAAGATTAAAAAAGAATGCAGAGAGGATATGAGACTAGCATAGATGAAATGCAGAAAGTGTTTGTATTGTTTATTATAATATATGAAAAATTAATGAATATATTTGTAAGTCCTTGATAATTCTGATCATTCTAAAGATTGCGAAGATGGTTTTAGAATGTAATGGTGGAATTTAGAAATTAATTAATAATTAAGGTCATGGATTTTATCATCGAATTTGTATTAAAAGTATTAAAGTTGTGATTAAAATCAATATGTAATAATAATAAAAGAAACAAAGTTGGATTCAACAATTATTCTGTGGATGCGTTCGAGAAGAACCTCTTCATTAAGATTAGAAAATACAACGTTTGTCAAGTAAAATGGAAATTTAGAAGCAGAAGCCTTTGAATCTAATATCCATGTAATAATAGTCTGAAGGGTGGTTGAATAAGACTACATCCCAGGAAGTGGATTATTCAGCAGATATAGAAAAGGATGTGGATTCAGATGAGGATCATGACAAGGTTTATAAAAGACAACTTTCTTATTTGGAGTAAAATTCTCAGCTTCAAAAGACAAGTTTTTCTGATGTAAATATTATGGAATAAAGTAGGAATTCAATTCAAATAATATTGAGATGAAGTTATTGCACCGGATAGGTGGTTTATTGTCAAGATAAAGCAATATTTAGATAGAAATGCAGTCACATTTGTGGATAATGAAGATATTCAAAGATGTGCAATTGATTGTTCAAGACAAGGAGTTCGAATCGAAATTCAAATCTCAATTGATAAATCCTGCTATTGTTGATATAATGAACTAGAGAATCAAATCCAATACCATATTATTGGCTCATGATCCAACAGGATCTATCTTACTTAAATTGGCAAGTCCGAGTAGAAAGATCTAATACCTGTAATAGGATAAGACCTTTTCGAATATAATAGACAGAGGGATTTGCAAATCGAAAGTGAAAGTGGATAAAGTTTTAAAAATGGATTTAGATTAGAAGTCAGATATAGTCATAGTGAATCTATTTTATATTGATTGCAAAGATAATCTAAAGAACATTATGTATGAGTATCTGCAGTATGCCCATGACATCATGGTACTTTTGCAGCCAAACATAGAAAATTCCATAATCTACGATTCTGCTGAGTAAGCTATCGCATTATCAGAACAGGCCAATCATAGTTGCAGTGTGGAACTCTAATGTCTCACTGACAATAATGACAATATTGTAGCTAAGTTATTGTATTATGGAGATATTAGTGAAGTACTTATATTAGTGATTATTTTAGATCACTTTGAATGATGAATTAAACTTTGTTTACTCTTGTATTGATTCTTCAAACAAGAAACAATACAATTATAAACTTATGTTTAAAGATTTGAGAAATCAGATGGGCATGAGTAAACTCATTAGAACTTTAAGCCAATTTCAGATTATTTCAGGAATTGGATCATTTGCTGAATTTGCCACAAATATCAATGGCAGCAAAGAGAAATATCTATTGATGAAGATACCAACGAAAGATTTTGAAAATGAAAATCAAGATGGCAAACATAAGCTAAGTGAATTGCAGTCTTCCTCCTCATCAACCGAGTCAGAGCCTGAAGACAATTAGGATAAATTTGGGTCAAGAAGTGAGTCATTCAATCAATCTTAGATGTTGGAACCACTTTAACTCAAACATGCCTATTCATAACCCTTTAATTATTGATTTATTGCATTGTTTATAATATTCTAAAATTAAAATTACAATGTCTTATTACTCTGGGTTTCAAAACAGATAATAACTCTAGCAATATGAACAATTATTACAATTGCTTCTAGTCACCCTAAATAAGAGATTGGTCAAGTTTTATTAAAACGAGGAGTGTGATGAATTGGCATTTCGTAATATTTTCCACAGAATTATATCTGGACTAAAATCCTTAGAATAATAGTAAATATAGTGATATCTATAAAATAGAAAATTTATGCCTCCAAGATTCAGCGAGACAGTTAAAATTTTATTTGAGATTTTGAAATTAGAAGAATAGCAAGAAGTATCAAAATATCTATATAGAGTGAAAGGTTATACATGAATCCATAATTTGATTAAATTTCCAGATAAGCCAATATCATAATGAACCAAGAGAAGAAACCAATACAACATTTCTAATACAAATTATAAGAGGATCATTAAGAAATGCCACCTCATCCATTATTGCAAGTTGAACAGAGATAAGAATCAAATAAGTTAGATGTTGTTTTTGACAAGCCAGATAAATAGGAGAAATTGGTTAAGCTAGAATAAATTGATAAAAACAAAAAATATGAAAGTGGAATAACTGAAATAACTACACCTCGCAAAATTAAAGAATCAATGCAACAATAGTAATTCGGCTAATAACAATAATATAATTTAATACCAAGAGAATTCATAAATTAAATAGAGGAATGTGTTACTAGAAATGTTTTGGATAAATTGAGTTTTCCAAAAAAATTTAAGAAAAAAAAATAAAGATCATCATCAAATTCATTTTAATTTAGACAAGTTCTTCTAACAACCAATGATAAATAGAATTAATCTTTTTAGTCAACAAAGAGAAAATTCAACAACTTAGTATGAATCCTATATGTTATTTTATTTTTTCTTCAATCACCTGAATGATATAATATATCTAATTAGATCCTAACTGTTATTTTAATTCTTCAGATATACTCATAATGGTTTGTTGTATTAGCAAGTCTTATCCTTTGTTCTCTAAAGAAGAACCAGCCAGATTCAAGCAACTTAACTACTCAAAAAATCACTAATTTTAACAATTCTAATATTTCATTAATTTACTTGTCTTCTCTAAAGTTTGATATTACAAGTATACAATATCCAAATCTATAAAATATAGAGGATAAGTTCTAATAGGTAACAAAAAAATTATTATTATTCGAACATTCTTGCTTGAACTTATTAGAGACCGATTTATAAAAAAATATATTAGTATTTTCCAAAAAAGTTATAATAAATTATGAAAAAAACATTTTATTTGTTATGATCACACTAAAAGCCCGTTTATGGTAAATAAATTTTGCTTATGCACTCCAACTGGAAATTAAAATTGCCAAAACTTAAAGACGATTGTTTTATTCTATTGAGACTCCTTGTAATAATGGAATAATATATAGCATAAAGCAGTCTATCAATATTATGTATCTAAACCTTCAAAATTATGTTAAAAACACAAAAAACTAGTGTCATTCTAACAATAGGATCGCCTGCCTCACCCCAGGTAGGTAGAGTTTTATCAGTACCACTCCACCAATTCTAATATTTAATCAAGCTATACTTTGTAGATGCTAATCCAAACAATATCATTAATAACACTTAGAATAGTCAAAACACCTACTATTTTGATATAGGTTGGTTCGAAACAGTCCCTACATACGATTATCAAATACAACATTGCTAGGATTAACTTATTATATTGACATTTATACATCCAAATAATCTGGACGAGCGAAACATTAAAATAAAGCCAAAAGCAACATCAGCATATATAAAATGAATCCATAATATAACTCATCTGATAATTCATCTTGCACAGTATTTGGATCGATTTGATGAATTTGTATATTTTATTATTGCTGAGTCTGCATTTAAAACGGTTTCTATTATTGTGGAAGATTTTGTTGTTATTGGTACATAAATGCTTAATTTTATTGGGGCAAAGAATAGTTTTGTGGCTACTTTAATGATTGTTATAAATTATTTCTAAGATTAGTTTCCAAAAATGGTTATTGAATTGTTAATAAATCTCTTTGGTAATCATCAATATCAATTTGACTCTATTAAATAGTTTGCTCGTATTTAAGAATCATTTCTTAATGATATTTTAACTAATCATATGAATCTCGATACTTTGTTATGAATCCATTATGATTCTATTTGTAAGTAGGTTTGCAGTTGTTGTCTATCATTAACCAATTGTAATTGCTAAGAATGAACTTATTGATCATGCATTTCACCCAAATCTAAATGGCTTTAACCAATTAATATTCTTCTCTGATTCCTATCCTATACAAACAGCTTTATTAAAATCTCTTCAGACCCAGTTTGTATTTGACTTTATATTAAATTATATATACAAATTTAGTTGTTAGTTAAAATTAGGATTGTATTTATCGCCAGTAGACATTTAGGTTTAGACTTCGGCACCGTCCAAACTTATACTGACAAAACTATATTGGTAATCAGAATATTGAATATTATGAGCTTGTTTGACCACAATTATTAATTGAGAATCTCTATCTACTCCCTAAGGGTTTAATTTTTAATTATCTTTTTAAATATATCGAATACATTGTAATTCTTATGCCTATTGTTGGCATTCCTTCAATTCGTCTCTATATTATTGTATTTGTTGTTCAGTTTGATTTATTTTTTTCTTGAGCACTTTATCCGCTTCTATTATAACTTATGCAAAATCCTCTAACTAAACTTGACCTCTTTGGTTTGGTGAACATTATTCAAACAGTTGTTAAGCAACGTCGCGATCATACAATTATCCAGTCTATCCTATAAATAGCTAATTTTACAAGTTTGTCAAGTGCAGAAAATAATTATTCCATTTAATAAGCTTATCCTTAAGATAACCCTGTTCTTTAGAAACTATTCAATATTGAACTAATAGTTGGGCTATATTGCAACGACATATAATATTTAAATTTATATAAATATATTATGATATTACTTATTTCCTTCTATTACTAATTTACCAACTAAATTAAATCTAAAATTTTTTTAAATATCTTTTGTACCTCTCAAAATTATCGAAAAAGTGATTGTGCAGTTTCTATAAATTATAATCATTAATAAACAAACCTTAATAAAAGTGGTAATTTTATAATATTATTCTTTAATTCTAAAGCAATCGAATAGATAGTAAAACATTAAAAGACAGATATTAATAGATAATGTTTGAGAATAATAAAATCAAGATTATTGAATCGAATTATTGTTAAGATAGATCTAATAATATAAGGTTATTAACAATATATATCATTTAGAAACACAGAGAATCCAAATTGCTATGATTAATCTTAAAATTAATTCCATAACTAGAAATAATTTTTAAAATTCATTCATGCATATTTAAACTGTTTGATTTTAATAAATCTACATAGTGAATGCTCATAAAACTAATTATCAAATAAATTTTTATGAACTGATGATTATTTATTAGAGTTATATATTTTTTTGGTGATATTAAAAACAAGACTCTTATACGATCATAATTATTTAAATTTATATATATATCAGATTAATGCTACAGCTCTATTTAATAACTGATCATTAACATCATGAACCACTTCATTAATTCGCAATATTGTGATCTTTTATCTATGTCCCTGAGATTTCTAATATCTCTTGCGTCTCTTTTTTTTATAAATCAATTCTTTTTCACTTAGTGTTTATTATTCAACTGTTGCTAATACTTTTGCATTCTCCACAAATGGTCGTCCCAAAACAGTATAATCTTTAGCTCCAACCATCAAAACTTGATCCAACTCAATAGTTGTGTTAATGTCCAACCCTTCCATAAATTCTGTGATGATCTAATCATCCTTTACAACTTTATATTAGCTACTTCCAATTTTACAAACTGCAAATTTAAGAGATGTTGGTAATTCGATACCTTTTAATTAATCATGCACAATAAATTTGCATTCTTAAGCCACAGGAAGAGTCTATTAAATAAATCAAAATTTAGTAATACCCTCTGTCTTTCCAATTCCTAATGTCTGGCTCTGCGTTTAGCCTTCTTTTCTAAATCATTTCTCCATTTTTGAGTGTACATGATGTATCTCTTATCTGTGAATTTGTTATTGTAATATTCAAATATTTCAGCCTTATCTCTCTCTTTAAAGTACTCACTAAAAGTAAAGAGTCGAGGTTGAGTAATTAAGGATCTTCTAAATAATTATTTGATCATTAATTAAAATAATTAAGCAAGTTAGAAATTAGTGGATTTTGATATTTTTATTTTAGGATAAAAATCGTAAACTAAGGGAAAACCAAATCAATAACTTTAAATATATATATGTAAAGGAGAAGTCCTTGTTTGGACCAATATTTTTATAAATAATTTTGAACAAATATCAATTAAAATCTTTTTTTATTTGATTAATTATTTGAGAAAGAATGTCTGGTATTTCATCAAAGTATATAGGAAGAGGAATCGCAATATTCTGAACATCCTGGAGGTTGGATTGAATGGTTTTGTGCTCATGAAGATCATTAATTTTTATGCGAAGTAGATGATGATTTTATTCGCGATCCATTTAATTAAATTGGAATTAAGGGAAAGTTTGCTTTTTATAAGTAAAAATCACAAAAATATCTTAGTGAAGCCATAAATATGATTTTGCAATCCACTTCACCTGAAGATTAGGACTTAGAAGATGAAAGGTTTTCTTATTTTACATCACAAAAGATTTTTAGAGGTTTATTAAGAAGCATCTGACATTTATGGTCTACTTCATGCCAGATTCATATTTACTTTGAAAGGATCTGCAATAATGCGTGAAAGATTCTTGTAAGGCAAATTTGGTCATTGTCCTCGGATATATTGTGAGAAACAGAATGTCATTCCTATTGGATTGTGTGAAGATTTAAAAACAGCAAGAGTTAAGGTTTAAAATTAAAAAGGAATATAGGTGTTTTGTCCTCGTTGTGAAGAAGTTTACATGCCAAAAAAAAAGTGTGCTGATGTAGATGGTGCTTATTTCGGAAAGTCATTCCCATAATTTTTGTTGATGGTTGATATATATGTTAAAATACTTAGACTTATCCTGATTTACATCCAAAATATTAATTATTACCAGATACTTAAATAAAGGCTAATTTTGAGCCTACGCTATTTGGATTCAAAATAGCTGGCAAATAAGGCAGTAAAATTAAACGATTTGAATAATAATTGTAGCCCAACTAAATTATTACTCAACCAATCATTTAATCTGCTGAATAAAATGTTCTTTTATAAGAACAAAAATAAATAAGAGTATAATAATAATAGCAATAATAATAATAACAATAATAATAATAATAACAATAGTAACAACAATAACAATAACAACCATCAAAAGAATAGAATTCAGAACACAATCATAAAAAAAAAAGTAAGAAAAAGCATAAAAATTGATATTANGTACATGATGTATCTCTTATCTGTGAATTTGTTATTGTAATATTCAAATATTTCAGCCTTATCTCTCTCTTTAAAGTACTCACTAAAAGTAAAGAGTCGAGGTTGAGTAATTAAGGATCTTCTAAATAATTATTTGATCATTAATTAAAATAATTAAGCAAGTTAGAAATTAGTGGATTTTGATATTTTTATTTTAGGATAAAAATCGTAAACTAAGGGAAAACCAAATCAATAACTTTAAATATATATATGTAAAGGAGAAGTCCTTGTTTGGACCAATATTTTTATAAATAATTTTGAACAAATATCAATTAAAATCTTTTTTTATTTGATTAATTATTTGAGAAAGAATGTCTGGTATTTCATCAAAGTATATAGGAAGAGGAATCGCAATATTCTGAACATCCTGGAGGTTGGATTGAATGGTTTTGTGCTCATGAAGATCATTAATTTTTATGCGAAGTAGATGATGATTTTATTCGCGATCCATTTAATTAAATTGGAATTAAGGGAAAGTTTGCTTTTTATAAGTAAAAATCACAAAAATATCTTAGTGAAGCCATAAATATGATTTTGCAATCCACTTCACCTGAAGATTAGGACTTAGAAGATGAAAGGTTTTCTTATTTTACATCACAAAAGATTTTTAGAGGTTTATTAAGAAGCATCTGACATTTATGGTCTACTTCATGCCAGATTCATATTTACTTTGAAAGGATCTGCAATAATGCGTGAAAGATTCTTGTAAGGCAAATTTGGTCATTGTCCTCGGATATATTGTGAGAAACAGAATGTCATTCCTATTGGATTGTGTGAAGATTTAAAAACAGCAAGAGTTAAGGTTTAAAATTAAAAAGGAATATAGGTGTTTTGTCCTCGTTGTGAAGAAGTTTACATGCCAAAAAAAAAGTGTGCTGATGTAGATGGTGCTTATTTCGGAAAGTCATTCCCATAATTTTTGTTGATGGTTGATATATATGTTAAAATACTTAGACTTATCCTGATTTACATCCAAAATATTAATTATTACCAGATACTTAAATAAAGGCTAATTTTGAGCCTACGCTATTTGGATTCAAAATAGCTGGCAAATAAGGCAGTAAAATTAAACGATTTGAATAATAATTGTAGCCCAACTAAATTATTACTCAACCAATCATTTAATCTGCTGAATAAAATGTTCTTTTATAAGAACAAAAATAAATAAGAGTATAATAATAATAGCAATAATAATAATAACAATAATAATAATAATAACAATAGTAACAACAATAACAATAACAACCATCAAAAGAATAGAATTCAGAACACAATCATAAAAAAAAAAGTAAGAAAAAGCATAAAAATTGATATTATGTTAATGCATTCTTAATGAATAAAATTTATACAAAATGCTAATCAAACAATTTTACGCTGCACTCCAATAATTCTTTTTATATAAAATACCTGCCAAATACTAACAAACACTATAATTAATGTTTCAACAATAGTGTAAATGAAATAAATTTTATTGTTATCCCTCAAAAATTGATAACCTCCTTCTCTTTTTTATTACGAGAATTTAGTGTCAAACATAAGATCATTCAGCCCAGTATATAAGCTAGATAGCTTTTTCTAAATTGGATCTAAATCTGCTTCTTTTATATGCTCATAGGTTGCATTTCGAACATCGAGTGCAAAAGTCACAATATGATTGTTTTTACCCTCTGAATTAAATGAGTGTTTACATTTGTATTGCTGAACACAAATTTATAGTTTCCAGGATTGGTGATATTAACAGAAAAAACGGCTTCTTTCTTTTAATTCTTATTGTCAATTATCTTTCCTCTTGGATCCTTGATCTATTGGCAATTAATAGCTATAATACACTAAAATCAATTTTGTCCTTGTTCATAATTGATAAAAAGAACGCTCCTCTGATATTAGTTGGATGCTTAATGTATTGCTCTAAGATTTCCACTTCTCCCTTCTTTAATTCAAATGATAACATGTCATCTGGAATGAAATCAGCCATCTAACCTTCCCAATCATCCAATAGTTATTTTCTCTCTTCATGATCTGTATTATTGCCATTAGTATCATTTGAGGCTAATTTACAGTATGCAGATATGATGAATATTAAGAATAATTTCATTTATTATAATAATTTATTTTTCTTTGTAATATTAATAAATTATTATGCAGATTAAAAGGAATAGACCAAAAATGGGGGTTCCAAAGTCAACCATTCTAAATACTCCATAATCTACAAACCAGTCGTTGCGTAATTAATTCATGAGATAATCATTCTTAGCAAGTAATAAATTAATTGGTTAAAAAACAATTCATGAACCCTTCACGGATTAGAGCCAGAGTATAAATTTGCAGAGATAACAAAAAGAAATGAAGCAAACTCTTAAATTATCTCCTGTCAAATAATTGTTAAATTATATATTTTACAACATTTAGATCCCCATTCAATTTGGATTCCACTTTCCGATAAAAAACACTTATTTAAAAGACCGAAGGGAGTGCATCTGATCCTCTTCTTAAAATTAATCTGAAAAACCTTGAAATTCCGAAGGATAAACTTCTATTTGCTACAGAAACCAAACATATTTCTAAATCACTAATTGACTTAGATGATGTAAAATTCGTTCATATATTTTAGCAATTCGATTATATAAAGACTTTTCGTGCAATGCCTATGCAAACTATTAAGGAAATCTATGATACTGATCGCAAAGAGATAGAAAGACTAAGCTCAGCGGAGAGGCATATTCCCATGGATTCAAGATTAGCTCCAATCAGACCATAGTTATAGTAACCAAATATTCCAGAATTTCGTAAATATTTTAAAGAAAATGAAAGATTTCAAGAAATGCAGCAATTTTATTAAATTGATCCAAATATTTATTAAAAAATGACTGAAAAAGTATCATACTTATTTTAATATTAGATTAAATAGGAGAAACTAATGCCAAGAGAGATGAAACTATTCACTAACAATAACAATGACAAACTTATAGCAAATAATTTATTGGGATCTGACATGTACGTAGATCTGTTTTCTGAAGGATTGTCTTCATCTCATTTTAGCAATTTAAAATCGCTCTAAATGAAGAACAATAAATTAAATAACAATAGAATCACTATGATAGCCAAAAATCTCCCTAGTAGTATTATTGATCTGGATTTCAGTAACAATGCTATAGGAAATGGAGGTATTGCTAGCATTTGCGATTTCTTAAACTCTAGAAATTGCTATTTACAAATATTGAATTTAGAAGATAATAAATTAAGAGATGGACCTATAATGACTATTCTTAAGACTCTTCAATAAAGTAAAACCATAAAAGTCATTAAATTTTCAAAAAATTACATTACTGACATTAGCATGGATTAGTTTGGAAATCTATTGAAAACAGTAACTAAATTTATATAAATAGAGTAATTCATTGTAAGAAGTGTACTTGCATTATAATTAAATTAGAAATCAAGGAGGAACTGTATTTTTTAGGGCTCTTCTAAAAAATTAATATATGAAAGTGCTGGATTTCTCCTTCAATAAATTAGGATAACACAAAGAATGTGTTTAGATGATATCTGAGTAAATATTTTTATCCATAAAGGGTCTTAGGCAAACCACATTCAGAATTATCTCATCTTGACTTATCATATAATAATTTCAATAATGAAGACTCCAAAATATTCCATCAAGCTGTTATGTTTAATTAAATAATATACGGGTTTCATTTTGAGGGCAACGGAGATTATTGTATCAATACAAGAGGGTTTTTAGTCAATCAGAAAGAATTAGATTAGGAATATAACGCCTTGGTCTCAAAATAATCGATAAGACTGTCGACACAATAATTTGTTGATTAAAGTCTCAACAAAATAGATTTGAAGAATAAAATGAACAAATTGGATCAGAATTTCTAATTGGCAGATCCATCCTTATTCAAGAGAATCTAAAGTACAGATTGGACAAACAATAAGTCTCGAGATAATTGTTGGCTATGTGAGGGTTGGACGGAAATCAGATTTCAATATATAGTTGGTAAGTCTGGAAGTATTAGTGACTATCCGATATATTTACATTTAGATTTTGAAAATTATAGGCCAATGATTATGGAATAGGATTAATAGATCTTTTTTCTATTAAGAATGTGTCCACCAAATAGGAAAATTAAATATTTTTTTAGTAATCCCTTTTTAGATATTTAATTTACAGCAAAAGATCAACGTATAACTGCATTAGAAGATTTTGAACCAATAAAAATGTAAGGGATACCTATGATCTATGCAGATACTTCTGTTGTTTATAGTTAAAAGATTTCAATTGTCAATTATTTGTCAGCCACAATCAATAAGAAAGTACTTGACTCATAAAAACATTATATTCCAACAGTATTATCTAGACCTAGAGAATAAGAGAAAATAATTTATATAGATCCTAACAAAGCAAAGGAGAAAACATGGTCGATTGAAAATTCCATCTTTCGGGATTTCTAAGCTGATACAGAAGGACATCTTTTAGATTGCTTTGATTTTGATTTCGAATGCGGAAGACTACAAAAACATATTCCTGATCCTGAGGATTTGGAAGTGTTAAAAACAAAGGTAAAAGTATTCTACAAAAATATATTGGCATGTTATAAATATTATTGTGCTGAAACTCTAAATTATGAAACTCCCTGTTTGAATCAGTAAAGCTTTATTGATTTTATATCGCAAACTCATATACTTTCAAAATCAATATTAAACAATATCGACTTATAATTAACTTATTTATCAAGTTATGTTGTTCAGAAATCAGCTGAATTTATTCATGTTCTTGATAAATGTTTAGTAAGGTATCAATTTCTTGAAATTATTATTCGTTTGGCTAAAGAATAATATTTGAGGGTAAATCAATGCACTAATATTACTGATGCTTTGGATAAGTTGTTTCAGTAAGATAAGGTTCTAGATTTGATACAAGAATATGGAGTTCCCTAAGATTGGAGAGATAATAGATATTGGACGTAATTAATGGATTCCACTATAAAAATGAAGTACCATTTTCTATAGTTAATGTATGATTATGCCTCAAAGATTACATTCAAGCATACTAAATATGTAACTCTGACAGATTTCAAGTTGTTTATTGATTAATTAGATTTAGGAAAGTACGTTTCTGAGAAAGAACTCTACTTAATATATCTACAGAGTATGCAAACATAGAGAGATGAATTGAGAGAGTCAAAGCATATTTAGATGCAATTTTTAGAATTTGTTGAGGCTATTGCACGATTAGCAGAGAAAATATCTCCAATATCACCAATGTATGCAGTTCGGAATCCAACAGTCAATAAAATAACTAGAAAATCTTTGCCCTTATTTGTTAAATTTGAAGGGCTTCTCTTTATTATATTTTAAAAGATCAAGTAAGGGATTACTACAAAAACAAATGAATAGTAAATTTAAGAACTGGAAAAGAATGTTATTTCCAAAACCATATTAAAAACAGTTTAAGCCAAGAAATTGGGAGTATTCGGTATGTTAATTTAAATTATAATATTTTTTAGAGGAGGATAGAAGTTCAGATGAGGAAAGAGAGAAAGAGTCAAGAAATGTGCCATTATTACCTGATGAGAAAGATTAGCAAGAGATAAAAGAGAAGAAAGTGGCTGGGAGTGGATGGAGTAAATTAAGAAATTGGGCTAATAAAAAAAAATTGTAGAAACAGGGAAATCCAGAATAGATTAATATGTTAAAACAATTATAAACATATTAAGATGAAGAGGAAAGATATGTGTAAGTGGAATATGAACAAGCATCAATATATGAGAAAATGGAAATCAAACAAAGATAAAAAATGAAGCAAGAGTTTCAAAGAACTAAATTAAATTAAGAACCAACATTCAAATTTGAAGAGGAAGATGAATTTAAAAGATTCTGATTTACAGAAACAAACAAAAACTTATATTTATTTTTATAACAGTCATTCCCATCCATTAATAAATGACAAGTCAGATGATTAATGTTCATCTAATATTATTTGCAATTATTCATTAACGTTCTGATTTGGTTTTTTTATTATATTAGATTTTGGTTTAATATGAAAAGAGATCCTGCTTGCAATTCTGATATCGTCTTATTATTCTTGTTAACGATGCTATAATTATCTTAATTAGCTTTTGATTAGCCCATTTTTTTTGTTCAAGTGTGGAATTTTCATCGTATCAGGTATCTAAACATGATATAGCAATTTAGGTTCATTCTTATTTTCTTTTTATCTTTAGTAAGAAAGATTCCTATTATTTTCAATAGGGTAAACAATATATGATGTATTAACTCTTCTTCTTACATACTGTTTTTTTGCCTATTGATGTTTTTGTTCTTATGCGTTATCTAGATTTAAGAGGCCTTTTCTGATAATTTACTCGGTGTGATTTCCGAACACCTAGTTAGAATTTGAGAATATTAGATTTTCGTTGATTTCTTTAATTATAGGATACTTGAATTGAAATTGATTGAAAGTCTGATTGAGAGGTGGAACATTATAGAAGGTCTTGCAATTATTAGAGTTATCAGTTTTGTTATGAAAAGATTTCTTTTGAGCATTATTATTCATTTCAAGAAATATTATTAATAAAATGCATAACAATTATCCAAGAAGTAGTTCTCACAAATAATTAAAAACTTTGCAAAGCCAGCTCTAATCTACTCCAGTATTAAAGTCTATAGAATAACTGAAGACTGAAGGAATTCAATACTATTACCATTAAGGATATGAAAGAAAGGCTCTGCATAAAATTTTTACACTTAATACTAAAAAAAGACATATACAAAGATATATAAATCAACAAGTTTATAATGCCGACTTAAACGGAATTTCCCTTAAGGCCAGCTAAATGGACCGATTTAATTTGTATTAAAAAGGCTTGACAGAGTACTTTATCATAAATGATAATTTAGTGAATTACTAGCAAATTCTAAAAGTTACAGCAATTTATCTCGCTTGAAAAAAGGAGACTTTCAAACTAGCTCTACTGAATAACTCTATGGATACAAAAACTCACAGCATAGAGACATACGTATTACATCAGGTTAGAGAATTCCATCCGTCTAATAAGAGAATTATCAAAATAATCAGAATCGAGTTTCTGTATCAAAACACTAGGTTAGACCAAAAAGAGAAGAACAGTTAGTGTAGGCAATAAGGAAAGACAATTTATTTACTATCGTTTATAAGTCTAACATCTTTTCCAATTGATATATTTACTATTTAATATTTTATGAATTTCAAGTTTAAAACAATCAGAAGAACCAGAAATGCCTTAAATGCCTAATAAATATATTGGGAAATAGTTAAATTTAAAGAAATATTTTAGAGTGAAAACTATTTTTGGAGAAGAGAAAAAATCAGATATCATTTTTCATAGAACGCAATTACCAAACAAATATCGCACTCATGATATGAGCCTATTTATTGAACAACATCAAGAAACACAGAACTCCTTCTATTACATTGCAATTGGACTATTTAGCTTTTCGACTATGCATTTCTATGCAAAAATGCTATATGATGATGATACTAGATATTGGGTCAGCATTTGATTTCCAAATCACATGAAATACTTTGACATCTTTAATACTCGCATTTAATAACAATATGATAATATTCTAGAGAAAGTATAACATACAAAATAAAAGTTTAGTTGCAACTAAAGAATAAAGATCTGAGTGGAGCTGTAGGATATCATAATTTGAAACAAGGCATTAAAGATCTATTCAAAAGAGAGACTAAGATCATTGATTTTGAAACTACAGACTAATCCATATAAGGATTGGATAGTTTTTTATAGGAATAAGATAAAAAAGTACTTAAATCAATTAAATGAATTTTATATTTGATCAACTTAATCATTAAATCGATGATATCATAAATCATTACAATCTTTCGAAAATGCCCGCTTTGTAACTCATTTCTGTTATTTTAAACTATTTGGTTGGAGATACAAGACAAAGTTGTGGAATTGAAAAAAAAGAAGACATCTATAAAACCATTTTAATTATTAAAAACCACCTCAAAAGCGATCCAACTTTGAAAATGAATTTATACAATGCTGATTATGTTGTTAAGAATAATGATTTAACCATTAAAGATTTAGATATTCATCATAAATGCAAATTTGAGCTGAATGAAATTAAGTAAAAAATCAAAAATAGAGATTAAAAATTGGCAGAAACAACCTATTCATATCTAAGAGACTTATAAGGTCTTAGAGAATAATTGTTTAGGTAAGCTAATAATCTTAATTACGATTTATCTGATCATAGACATTTTGATACCTTTGAAATAACTGATCCTAAATACAGAGAGTTATTGAATACTAAAGTTACCAATATTAAGGCTGATTACGAATAGAAAATTAAATATCTAACATAAATATTGGAATCTTAGAAAAAAGAAATAGGAGCATTGAAATCCTAAATATAGGATTATCAATATAGAGCAGAGCACTATGAAAATCCTGAATTTTTAATTAGAAAACTGTTTCATGTAGAGAGAGATCCGTATGAATTGTGGAGACTTATTTAAGATAATTAAGGAAACCCTTTCCTCTTTTAAGTATTCTCAAATTAGAAAAAAGGTTATGGAATAGATTACACAGAAATAGATTAGTTATTGATGGCTGTTAAAGTTCAGGATAGAATATTTGAGAGACAGAAACAAACATTGGATTAATAACTTGCTCAATTTATGGAAAGAATCTTAGAAGATGTTTATGATTTAAGATAATAAGTTTTAGACAAAGAGTCTGAATTAGATACTTAATAAAAACAATACATTAGAAATCTAACTGTATTGAACAAAATTATACTCTAAGCTTTTAATAAAAGTAACCTTTCAATTATTATTAAGTTATAAGTTCATATAACTTGTTGCTGATGAAAACTACTTTTAAAATATGGAAAGACAAAGAACTTAAATTGGCTCCTCTCCTAAAAGATTTATCTAAATTTTAAATTAAAAATCTTGAGCATGATTTATTTGATTATTTTATCTAATAAATAAATGAGATGTAGGATAAAGTAATATTTTTAGAATTGAAACTTAATGATTAAAAAGCATTATCAAAAACTTTAGAAACTAAAAATTAAATTGTTCAAAATACATTAGCATTATTAAAATGTAATTTCAATATTAAAAATTTTGATTTGGATCTTGAATAAAAATTATTGAAGTTAGATAATTTTCAAATCAGATTCTGTAAAGAATTATTAGATTAACTAATGTTATAGAAATTGACCTATTAAAAGTATTTATAATAAATTCAAAAACAGGATTAATATGTACAAACAGATTGCACAGAAATTGTTGACTAATCCCTTAAAACTAAAGAGATAATGGTAGATAATGTAGGTTTGATAACATACATAAAAGAGAAATATCAGGAAAAAAAAGAAAAATCAACAGTACAGAGTGGAATTCACACATAAAATAGATCATATTCTATTTAGGAAAATTAGAAACCAAATATTGATTAATTGCCTTAGTTAAAATAACAAAATAGAAGAATGACCAAAGTCGATTCAAATACTATAAAACAATCAAATTAACTCCAAATGAATGAATAATAGGAACAATAATAATAATAATCAAATAAAATTACAAGAAAAACTTCTTAAAAAGATATAGATATAGTAGAAAAAAAATAATCTAAATTTAAAACCGATTAGTAGAATTACTCTCCCAAAAGCAATAATATTCAAAATCAGAGAATAATTCCAAGTAGTTTTTCATTTGACAATGAACCCATATCAAATAAGCAGATGATTTGCAATTCTGATGACATATAATTCGAACAAATCGATAATAATCTATTATTTCCTCATCAAAGAAATATACTTCCTTAAGTATAGGTTCATAAAGAAATTAAGTAGAGTATTATGAAACAAGCTAAATCAATTTAACATACTACTTAGGTTCAATGTGATAGTGAACCTGAAAGGTAAAAGAAATGTAATGAAGCCAAAAATAAACACAAAAATAATAAATATAAAAACAACATGATAATCTAATACGAAGACTATCCAAAATATGAATAATCAGAATAGTTATAAATTTTTCTTAATCAATCCAGTTGTTAATCAAAAAAAAATAAAACAAAATTACCATAATTTATCTATAAAGTGTGAAAACATTTTTGATGATTATTTAATTAAATATTCAAAATATTATTTTTATTTATATTAAAAATGTAATTTGAATATTTTTTTTTAACTCAATTATTAAAGAGAGTTAGTTGATTAACTAAGTCACTAATTATAGAGAATCATAATGCAACATAGAAATGAGTAGATATTAAAAAAGTTTTGATTTTTTAAATTAATAATCACTTGAATAGTTTTGGCTCGATAATCGTTTAATTAGAGCACAATAGCTTAAGGAGCATGTAAATTAAGTCTAAATATCACAGTATCTAAATTTTAATTTTGAATGTGGCTATTTTTATGATTGAAACCAAGATTCTTCAAATTATGATTTCAAACAAATAGTCAATTTCTATTTAAAATTGTAGAGTTGAAAAGTTATAAAAGTTTCCGAAAAATATATAATCGATAACCATTATTTTTAAACAAAACTAAATTTAAGAAATACAGATACTTTACTCATCAGTTTTAGAAAAAAGATGACTTTTTCTCTACAAAAAAATTTTGAAATTTCATATCAAACTATATAATCCTCTATAAAATATGTAGATATTGATATAAAACATATATGATCTAAAAATTATCAATAAATTTTAAACAAATAATTCATTAACACAAGATTTATGAAAAATAAATAAATAAATCAAGAATTTGTTAGTTTAAGAACAAATGTCTATTATCAAAAGATTTTGCAAGGGCAGCATTCATCAAGATCTTATTGAGGTTCTTTAATATAGTACTTAATTTATTTTATAGATTATCCAGGGATTTGATCTCGAAATGTTACTCTATGTTATTTTCTTCCTTTCAAAATTTCATTTTAGAACATATCTCTCCTTTAATGAGTTTTCTTCATCATCCTCTCAGTTTCTGGGTTGATTTCAATACAATCACCTCCTGCTTTAATTAAATTTTCTAACTTTGGTTCAAAAGATGACACTAAAATATTAATTTTAGGCATTGACAATTCATGCAACACAGATTTTTATGTTAAAGAATGATTACCACTAAGGTCAGTTACTTCTGAGTTCCTATTCCTCACGCTGAATAAATCAATCATTATTGTTATTTTTATTTTTTCATATGAAATAATTGCTATTTTTCATCAACTAATACTCCTAATTAATATTATAAATTATGGAGAATGTTAGTAATATTATATAAAAAAGAAAGAGATTAAAAATTAACTATTATTCATTTCCAATAATATGCAGAAAATAGCTTTTATAATCATTTTTGCACAAATGTCTCTAAAATCAAAATAGGAAATTAGCCATGATTGGTGATGATTTCTAATTTTTGGTCTTTCTTATAATCAGTCTCAGGAACCTGAATGAAATAGTATTATTACTTTTATAAATTTCAGATATGGATTTTCAATAGCTGGTTTATAAAATTAATCTAAATGTAATTTTGTTTTGGATTATAATGCAATAGTGTATTCCTTATTGGATTCAAGTAAAACAGGGGTAATTTTAATATAATATTGATTATTAATGACATTTAATTAATTATGATTCAATTTCAATTGTTATTAATAAATGAATTCAATTAGATTGTATCCTTAATGTATCGAGAGAATCATAGCTTATTCTTAAATTTAATCAATGCCATTAATACAAGGTTGCATAAAACCAATTAATTTGCAGTTACGAGCTACTTGGATAGTTGTGACAATAATTTCATTAGGTTTAACTGTTAAAATTTCATTTTTTAGTTATTGCATAAATTAGTTAATCTGAACCTTAGAGTCAAGCTTTTGAATATTTCTATAAGGATTTAAGACCTCTAATTTTTATTGAACATTTTAAAGCAGACTTTCAACATATTATGCACTTTCATATTAAATTTTAAATTCGATATCCAATTTTACTTCTTTATTGTCTTTTTTTGAGACTTAACTTAGATATTGGGCAACAAATTGAAATTCCAATTCGGTTAGAGTGTTTTCATTTTTTTATTGTAGATATTTTTCAATTGTAGATTCAATTTGTTGTCTCATCTTCAATTGTTAAATAACTTCCTTAATTTTTAACTCAACGAATTCTAATTCTTTCATTAAGTTGATTCGTAGATTAATCAGATTGTTGGATATCAAAAGTAGGTCATCATGTACTTACTTCTTTAATTGAATATATTCTTAACTCATTTTAATACTTTATTAACAGTTCACAATAAGATGATGTGAGTGATCATGAATGCACTTTTTGCAAATCAGCTTATCTTCGACACTACAATATTATTCAATGCACAGATATTATCTTTGTAGACCATGGCTATTACATATGAATGAACTTGACATTTTATTTATATTTAATAATACACATCACAAATCTGATTTCTAGGTATTTAATCTAGGTAAACTTGAGAATGACTATCCAGATTCAGTTTTCTTTATAACACCTCTGACAAATTCATTTAAATTTTCAACTGTAAGTTATTTCTTAAATCTATAGAATTTCTTTGAATTCACATCTACAGCCACAACCTGAGGATATCTAAAGAAGTCCTATAACATTAATAACAATACCCTTCTCCAATGACACTCAATTCTGCCTCGAAATCATCAAACTATTCTCCAACAAACCACCCTAAGTTAGCTCTGCCCGTCAATGATAAAGATGTCTATAAGATACTCATATATGATTACTTTCTTCAGTATTTAAAGAGCATCATCCTAATCTTTCTTGTCACTTGGTAAGAATCCCAAAACACAGAGAGCTTAAAATAGTTTAAAAGTAATACTGTTGCAAATCTATTCTAATTTTTCGTCAGAAGTAATTTGAATCACCTCTGTAACAACTGATTAACCATCAACTGGCTTTTATTCTTTTATGTATTTCAAGAGTGCATCCAAATTCCTTTCTCCCTCATATTTTTTATGAGTGTCCTTTTTGTTTCCAGCAGGGAAAAAGTAAATTGTTGGATATGACTCAATATTGAATCTTTTGGCTAATGCAGTTTAAGCAGTGGCATCAACTTTGGCTATTGGGATATCAGCTTAATGAGATAACTTATTCCATTCTGGTTAGAGTTACTTGCAGTGTCCGCACCATGGAGCGTAGAATTCAACAAACCAGGCTTCTTAACTATTGATAACCTGCTCGTCAAAATTAGAGTCAGTAAGAACAACCACTTTGGAATCGTCATTTGCTGGTTGTGGCTTGATTTCAACTCCTAATCTGTTTAGGGCAATTTCTCGAGCTCTATCCAAAAGATAATCTACTATTGCATTCTTTTTCCTTTCTCCCTCATAGGCAATAGGATCAGCTTTATTTACACCAAAGAACTTAATAGTTGGGTAACTATTGACTCCATAAGGTTATCCAGCCTCTCCATCAGTAGTCATATCTAATGCACCTATTTTGATAATTCCATCTAAAGCTTTAGCAGCCTTGTTATATTCTGGGGCTAAAGCTTTACAATGACCACACCAAGGAGCGAAGAACTCGACTAGCCAAGGTTCTCCTGAATCAAGGACCAATTATTTGAAATTATCTTTAGTAAGTTTGATCACTTTGGAATCTGCATCGTACAAAGCAAAGCATTATGTAATCATAAAGGTCAGAAGAAGTAAAGAACAGCAGCTTTTCATTTATATGTTATTTTTAATATCGTGGAGTGTTGGAAATATTCTAGAATTTATAAATCTACACGTTATATTTATACTATTTAATTATTAAATATTCTATAATTTCCTATTATTTAACTATTCAATATATTATATAAATATAAATTAAATAGACATATGAAAACAAATAAAAGTGGTAAATAAATATATGATAAAAAAATGAATTAAACAAATACATTTAAGTTTGTATGAAAATTGTAAAATCTATTTATTTATTATTTAATATACTAATATATCTCATGCACCAATTGCTAATTTGGATCTAGCTGCTTGTTTTCTGGATTAACGAGCAACAACTTTATTATTGGCTTCCTTTTTAACATTCTCATCTCTTTCAGCTGCCCAGATTTCAATATGTGCATTTGATGATAGGAATGCTATTTGAATTATAAGTATAATAATTTTACGGTTGATTCTTCCGTGAGCTCTGTATGTTCTACGTCTTCCCTTTTGAGCTCTGTTAACTTGAACATGATTGATGATCAATTTTTCATTGCTCAAATTTTTAACTTAAGCATTAGCTGCTAAATTTTATAAGAGAGACAATACAATTCTAACACTTTTCTCTGGCCATCTACCTAATCATTAATTTTAACACTCAAATACCTTGGGATCTGCCAAATTCTTTAGCTTATCCTGTTCTACCAACGCCACCATTAAATCTGGTAAATGGAACGCATCTCTTATGTTAAAGGACATCTTGCATGTATTTAAGAGCCTAGGCAAGTGTTTATCCCTTGATTGCTCTTGCTACTTCATATGTGTTCTTGAAATGAGTTCTTAAATCACTAGCTTTGGCCTTGGCTGATTTTTTTGCAACAGCAGGTTCTCTGGCATATTATTTTCCCATTAAATTATATCCTTTTTAATTTATTTAATTTTTTTTCAAATTTTATTAAGAATTCAATAACAATTATGTTTTATATATTGATATTTAGATGCAGCCATTTTCAATTATTTACTATAGCATATCTGACTCTATATCCACCTCCAAACTATTCAATGTTTCCACTATCAAATAACTCTTTTGGTTGACTTTTGAATAAGAATCCCAAGTTTCTTTTCTATTATGGTATGACAAACTCATTTGATGTGTAAAAGTTCTTGTCTTAGATATAATTAAAAAATGAAACCTGTTAAAATTGCATAGCTGTTATTTGAGGCAGAAAACTTAAGTATCTTTTCATTCTAAGGCAAATCGATGGGTCTTGGAACATAGCTCTCATCGAATCCTGATATATAGATTCTATTTTAGTCAGTCAAAAATAAGGAAAGATTATATCCAAGGTCAAAATCAACCACTTTTTCATTAGGTTAGAAGTATTTCAAATTAACTGGAGTGGGTGCATAATTTTCCTATGCAATAGTTTAAAAATATTACTAAATCTGTAACAACATATTCTTACTGTCTGACTCCCAATGAACCATAGTAGCTTCTACCCCATCCAACAACTATTCCCTCATCTGATAACATAATATTATAGAATATACTTAATAAGGCTAATGTTCCAGCAAAGCAAGATTTGATCTTCTAGATTGTGTAACCAGATTTGCTCAATTATTCAAATATAGGATTAAGTTCTGGATATTTGAAATTGAGACTGCATCCATTACCTAATTCTCCTCTCTTTCCAGCACCCCATACATAGACTTAATTGTTTTCATTCACAACAATTGAATAATTGATACCAGCACTAACAAATTTACCCTTTGGAGTGCCAACTAATTTTTGAACTGCTTGAGGTGTTACAACATTATTCTAATAGTTATCTCCTAATCCACTAGCTTTGCCTTATAATTAGTCCAAAAATGAGTTGTTTGCATTTCCCCAAGTATAAACATTTCCATCAGCTTAAATATTAAAAATGATTCATATTACAAGCCAAAGCAACTGCATGATTTGATCCCAAAGCCACATCGGTAACTTTTAAACCTTTATCTCTGAAGAATCTAACCAATTGAGGTGTTTGATGTTCTTCTGTGTTGCCTAAACCTAATTGTCCATATTTATTGTGGCCGAATGTATATAAGTCACCATTATCTTTGTAATTTAATATGAAATGAATACCTGTAATGACTGCGGTAAAGTATTCGCTTGGATATACCTTAGCCACATTACCATTAAATGCATCTATTCTTCTTGGTCTCAATTAATCTCCTTATGAATCCTAATTGATTCCGCAGCCTAAACTGTGAACTCCCCAAGTGTACAAATTGCCTGCTCTATAAATTGGACGAGTCCATAATGATTTGAAAAGACCACTATGTGTTAAGCAATTCATAAAATATTTATTTCAAGATCTAATTAATTATTTACATAGAAAGATTCAAAAAGTCTCTTATATATCGAATCTCTCTCCATAGTCTCTGTGGCAATTGCATGGACAGTTGGTTGGAGTGCAATTATAATATTGCTTTGGATATTATTTCTGTTTCTTATTGGGAAAGCAGGAAACAGATTAGAAATATGTTACGCACAATGAAACACAAGATTGTAATTATTAATGTTTTAATAATTAAATTTACATGAGTGATTTAATCTCCAAAGCAGTATCAAATTTCTAAGACAAAATAACTGAATATTACCTCCCCATAATAAACCCTAATTCTCAAGAATCTAGAGAACCCAACAAGAGAGTTTTATTGAATAAATCAAGCAAATCTCAATCGCAACATGTAATATAAAAAATAATTGCAACATCATCTAACCAATCCCCTCCGAATACAGGGACTACACTATAGTTTTCATTTGGACAGAATAATCAGCTCAAAGATAACGAATCAAACTAACCATCTAGTTTAATGAATAAAACCATAGATCAAAAGGAATCTTATAATGATATGATCAACATTAATTAGTTAATTAATCAAAAAAAGAAAGAACTAAATGCTGAGAATAAATATTTTCTAAAAGAAATTACTAGAATCAGATGTAATTACCTCTTTCATTATTAGAAAACTTTGAAATGAAAGCCAAGATTAGGAATAAATTTCAAAAAGAAAGAAAGTCTACCACTTCTTCTTAAGACAAATACGAAAAGTGCTGGGATGAGACCTTAAAAGAAATAAACAAAGACTCCAAGGATTTCGAGTAATTAATTGGGCTATCAAACTAAAATAACTCATAGCGAGTCAAACGAATTGAAAAACCAAAACCTCTGAGAAGTCAAGTAAATTTATTTTTAATCTTCTAGGTATTTTCCAGGATCAGAGAACATGAAAATCAATATTTCAAATAACGTTCGGAATCTATCATTAAATAAATGAAATAAAGATAAATATAAGTTGTAGATGAAGTTTCTGCCCAAATTGAATAAGTTTAATTATTAAAAAAAGAATAATAATATTAAAGATCCAAAGAAAGAGAAGAGGGAAAACAAGAAATCATTAAATCATTAAAGTTTAAGGAATAAGGAAAATTACTTAAATTATTACAAAATAAGTCTTCGAACCGTCATCTTCAACTCTCTAGAAAAATTCTAGAAAAATCAGATGACGGTATTCATTCCTTTTCAAAACGCAATAAAATCAGATCAATTAGTTTTAATTGTGTTTTGCCTAACATCGATTTGAAATAAGATGAAGGATTAATTTAAATGATAGTTTAGTAAGAGTATTAAGCAAACCACAAATTTAGTGACAAACCCAATTTTAAAAGAAAAAGTCTAATTGGGAATTAAATTAATAGCAACCCGTATTAGGATTTATCAAAGCTCATTAGATGTTCATGATATCTTATTGTTCTCATTATTCATGTATTTATATTTTAATCAATAAAGAATTAATATGAGTTAATCATCTAAATTGTCACTTTCTACTCTCAAGGGTTAACAGCCATTGTTCCCTACTATTTCATATAAAACTTCTGAGTCTCCTTCAAAAGATTTGGTTCCCCTCACTAATTATATGTTAATTGAATAAAAGTAGGATAAAATAAATGCTAATCGAATGAAAAGTGGTAATTAGCTGAAAAATGAGAGAGTAGGAACTATCTCTAAATATCTTCGTTAATTAGCACTCATGAAGAAAGGTTTTAACCAAGATATATCTAAAATATAAGACAAGGATAAAATAACTGATTCCAAGGATACAATTTTAAATTCTGAGGAATCTACTTCGTCTTTTCATCACTTAAAGAAAATCGATGATAAATTCCGCAAATAAAGTATTTAAGTTATCATATAAATAATTAGTGTTTTAAAGGATTAGTAAATCATGTAAAGATCTTACTGTTTAAGGTAATTTTGACAGCTAAATGCAAAATCATAGCATTGTTGAATTAGACTAAGAGCAAGAAATTTGCGAAGGCAATATTTCTCCTTATATTAAGAATTAAATAAATATCTCACCAAATTTATATAATAATTTCATACATAATAAAATTTAAAAGTTATCACCATAAAAGTAATAAAATGTATTTAATTACTATAAATTTAGGTTGTGTTGGACTTTAGTCAATAAAATAAAGATTTTCGAGAAAAGAATTCCCAAATTATATAAATGATTAGGAATGTTCAGCAACATATATCAAAACAAAGGGAGGAGGAAAGACAAAATTTGGAAAAAGATTATAAAATTTAAAAAGTTCAAAGACAAAAAGAAAGAAAAGAAGGATTGCACAATGCATAAGTAGGTTTGAAGGATCGAAGATTAAAATTATTGTTAAATGCTCTTAAAGGATCTTAGAGTAAGTAGAATTAAGATCCTTTAGTATTAAATATTAAAAAAAAATAAGATATTAAAGGGAACTAATCAACAATTATAAGTAGAAAGAGTTCCTTTTAATATTATAACTTAAATTGTATTACTGACAAATAAAATGATGAAAAAATGATGAGAAAATTTTCTTAGGTATCTGATATTTGTAGTTCTGAAACCTCATTAGGCTCAAATTGTTATATATGTAATAAATTTAAAATATTCTGTAGAATTTCCCAGAAAACTTTCCAAAGGCACTTGATTATTGATTATTAATATTCTATAGATTATTATAAATTGCTTTATTTAATAAGTTATTGGAAAATAAATAAAAAAATAATATCTAATGTCTGGAGAGCTACCTAAAATCACTTCTAAGAGTTTATTTTCTACTTATGTCGAGAAAAAGAATGCAGAAGAAGAAGCATTAAAAATTAGGAATAGAATTGATTAAATAAGACAAGAACGTGATAAAATAATAAAGAGAATATAGTCTGAAGAGTTAAAGGCAGAACAAATTTACAAACATAGATTGGAACTATAATTAAAAGTAATTTCTACCTTAAAGTGATAGAAAGAAGAAAAAATCAGATAGAAGGTGGAAGCACCTCCTCCTTTTTCTTTAGGCGTTTCTAGAGCATAGAGAGAGACTCTAAAGAGAATAAAAGAAGAAATGCTTCACAGAAAGAAAACTGAAGTAAAGGAATTTAGAAGTTGGCATCGACATGATTTATAGGAAACTAGATTATAGAAAAGTTTGGATCATGAATCTTATCGTTCTAAAGTTCTTTAAGGAAAGGAAGAGGAGAGATAGGCTAATTTAAATACTTTATCTAAGTTGAAAGAAAGAAGAAATAGAATCAGATATGAATTAGAAATAGAAAAAGATAGAATTCAAAGAGAGAAAAATGAGTATGATTAGAAGATTCATGAATTAGAATAATTGGAATAATTAGAATTAGCAAATTTGTAGAAAACTCTCCAAAGACAAAATTAAGCAAAAGAAAAAGTTAATTTAGCTTAAACTTTGTCACCTAAAGAATTGGAAGCTAAATTTGGTTATAATTCAACAAGTTCATGACATTATTTATAAATATAAAATTTCATTTGCGAATTGAATATATTAAACAGTTTACAAAATGACTTATTTTCTTACTTCAAATTACTTTAATATTTTTTACCTAAATTATTATACACCATTAGCCATAAACTAGTTATTAAGATTTTATAGTTAGACATTTAAAGTGGTTGACTCAAATATGAGTTAAGTTAATAAATCACTGTTCTTAACCTTTTAATGAGTTTCTTTTTATATAAATTCTAGATAATATATTTATGATAAACATAAAAAATTTCCAATAATACCAAAATAAATCAATCAACTAACATATATGTATTTACACCTTCTCCTTACTAGATATTTCCATTTTCGCATAATTGCTTTATTGATAATCTTTAAATACGAGAATTAAATACTTAATTTCTTATAGAACATGTTGATCTGAAAACATATTAAAAATCTTTTACTGAGGGATACTAGCATCACCAAACTATTTGATAAAATTTAAAATCTATTGTAATATTTAAAATTGGTTACTTTGGTTGACAAACTTTATTATGATGGTTTAATCTATTCCTCTTCTACTATTTATGTACTTGTTTACATAAAATTTGGATTTCTGATATGATTTTATTTAATTTTTTATTGTATAATATTAAGCATATGTGATATTACTTAACCAATTTGATTTACTTTTTTAATGTTCATAATGTCAAAGCATATACCGTCTTTGCGAATTCTAGTTCTTAACAAAAATTAAAAATAAGATGTTTTTGGCTCTTCATTATTTACAATATTAAACATTTCTCTGACATAATCACCTTCAGAAAATAGTATGCTAATTTTTTCAAAACCACTATCATCATTGATAACTATAGATCCTTTGCCATCGCTATCTTAAGTTTATTCTACACGAGCTACAACTTGAATTAATGTGATTGGTTTATCAAGGAAAAGGATCTCGTTTTTATCAGTGGTAGATATTTTGAGTTTTTTCATCATTCTAATGGTCATATTTGTGATTTGTTCATTATAATTCACTCCTTGCTTGAATCCTGATTGATTTTTTTATTCGCTGAACTAGGATTATTAAAACATAATTAAATTAAATTCTAAGCGCCATTTCCAAAATTAAATGGTTATTATCAAAAACTGATTAAAGCACATAATATAAGTAAAAATATTAGATTAATATAATATGGATTGGATATCATCCTAATTTATCAATTTAAATAATTTAAATTTCATTAAACTCTTTACTCAATCTATTACTTTATTTATTTTTAGCTGTTGAAACCTCTTTTTATACATCTTTCAACTTGTTGTATTCAATATGTTATGATTTAGATAATCCATAAATTTTTAAGTCCTTTTTCTCTTCTCGCTATGAAGAATCATGGGATAATTAATTTATCTACTCACCATTACTTTCTGATTCCACTTTTAAAAACCTGAAATCAAATTCCTATTACGGTAATGTAATCTCGTTTTATCTTTAAGTTTGCATCTATCTATTCTATTTAACACTACATAACTCACTTTAATATGTTTTCGTCTTCTCTTCCAATTACATTTTGTCAATAGTATCATTAAACATATATTACATCTTTTGTTGAATTCTTTACTATTCTACATAAGAAGGCACTTCATAATACACCTATACTTCTAATCTCTAAAAATACCTTTGAACTGAATGATATAAATTTAGATCTTATGGGCTTCAACAATTTTTGCCAAGCACTTTAATATAATCGAGCTAATCTCCTCTATAATATACGGCCTTATCCGTGATAGAATAGCAACTTATGATAATTAATGACGAATCTATTAATCGTCAAATATTCATATGTGGTTTTGTTGGCAAAAATAAAATAAGTATGCAAAACCAATAAATACCCTGAGAACACTAAGAATCCAAAGGTTTTTAGAGCATAAATTATAAACTCTATTATTAAGTAGTCATTAAAATGAATCATATGTTAGATTTGTACGGTTAAGAACAAAGTAAGCATTATGGTTAAGAAAAATAAAAACAAATAAAAGTACTTATAATTTCTTTATCCTATGCATTATCCTAACCATACACAATGATGATCAAATCCTTAAACACAATTATCACATCTTCTGCAGTGTGCAGTGGTGCTAGTTTTATAAATTTTACATGAATCACAAAACTTTAACTCACTTACTTTTGTTTAATTCACTGATATTAGTTCATTTGTAAATTTTTATTTCTGTGGTATAAGATAACATTCAGTATACCTTATTCATATAATATTTTACCTTTTAAAATTAAGAATCGAGTCTTGGTATTATCCCTGGGTCACTGAAAACAGTTAATATCATGAATATATCTGTTAGAGCGATTAATAGTATTTCTGCAAAAAATACATCCAATTTTGGGGAGATTCTGAATAGTTGAATTAAAGAAAGAGCATTCAAATATACAAAAGATGCTATAAACATTAGCCTAGAATAACCCATCACTAATCTTCCTTTTAAACAATGTTTTGACTTCCCATGATAAACTTCATAGTAAGGAACCCTATAATCTGTACTTTGTACTCTCATATATTAATTAAATTTAAATAAAATTATAATATACAATTTATGATTCAAGCTTGTGAATGATTACTTCTCAATTTCAAAATAAACAACATTCTCTTTCAAATTAATTTGGTTATCAACGAGTTATATTATTTTCTGAATCCATCTTAAATTAAATTATTAAATACTTTATATAAGAAACTTCATATTCAATTTATGTATTTATTATCAATATTGTTTTATTATTCATATCATTTAAAACTATATGAATAATAGTTTGATTCAATATAATATTTTTTTTCAAATTAATTTATCAATTTAGCATTCTTTATTATAAATACTTATATGTTAAAGCATAGTTTCTTAATTTCAATCTAGAGATGATATATTAAACTATTAAATTTTCTCATTATAAAGTCTCCAAATATTAGATTTGATTTGAAAGTTATGTTTATTTTCAAATAAAATAAAACATTTTGCCCGTGAATAATCATTAATAATAAAACCTTCACGTCAATATCAATAAATATTATAATTTTATTAAATTAATTATGTTTCTGAATAGGATAATGTCAATATCAACTCTCACGATAGGATAATAGTATTTCATAAAATAAATCATTATGAAATTTTAGATTTTATTTATAAAATTATTATAAACAAGTTTTAATTTATGAAATAAAAAAGAGAAGAGTTTAGATAATAAATTAGAAAATAGGCAAATGAAAAAATTTTTTCACAAGTCAGAGGGTTGATTAATAAATCCAATTAAGAGTAGAATTAGATGGTTACAACAGAGAGCGAATTTTTTCAAGAGCTTACTTTGTAAATTAAAAAGGATTTTGATGAAAAAAGCTTACTAAAAATTTTAAAAAAATGGGAGGACAATTTTGATAAAAAATAGTTGCAAATCCTTTTATTTAATCAAGAGTTTCCTTATTTCAAATTTCTAATTGCAAACTTTAAGATGACTAAAAAATATATTAAAATTTTGATTTTCATTTTTGTGGCAATAGAGCATGATATCTCTGAGGTTCATCATGCGTTGTATTAATATTAATTGCTTAATCAACTACAAAGTAATTTTGAGAAAGTGGATTAAGAGATGTAGTAACAAGTATAGCATCTAGCAATATTAGATAATGTTTCTATTCAGTGTTTTAGTACAATATTCGCAATTATATCGATTGGCTATAAAAAACTCAAATGTTATGGACATAGTTGTTACTTAATTCATAAATTAAAAGATTGATAGTTTCACGTAGAATTATGTCGAATGCTTCCTCTTTATGATTTGGTCCCTAATAAATCCAGACATTTCATCGATGTCTGATTTATTTGAGTGGTTATTTGACTGTCTTCTCAATTTAAATGCAGCATTGGTTGACTTTTAGTCTGAATATTTGTTACCTATAATTTTCAAAGCTGCATCTTAATTTACATTTTGTCGAGAGAAACTGTTTTAAAAGAATATGGATTAGATATTAAACTAATTACAATCTTATAACAGAAACTAAACAATTTATGTATAATTTTGTGGTTATAAAATTAGTTAGAATTTTTAGACTTCTTAAATCATTTGTTAATGCAGTAGCCAGACATTTTTGTTGAGTTTTTCATTTAGAATTGTTGGAATGTCATTAAATAAATATTGACTTAAAGTGAGTTTATTCAGGAGGCTAAAATAAGATCAGGATATATAATATTGGAGGCTGTGAATAACAGAGAAATAGAAGAATATTTGAAAGGATAAAACATTCTAAATGAGATTTTGAATCTCATACTCCAAACATAAAATTTTGATGTAATGTGGCAATTAATAATTTAGTTAATTTAGGTTTACTTTAATTTACTTTAGGTTTTACTGATATAAGAGTAATGTCAGCAAAATCAAGTGGATAAATTGGCTTAAGGGATAGTGCACTCTGTCACGTTAACAACTGAAGTAATTAAATAATCATATTGATGAGATTCAATTAGTACAAGTATGGCAAGTGATCTTATACCTAATGTAGGATTTGGAAAACAAAGAGATGCTAATCGATTATTTAAGGAAATATAATTTTAGGAGGATTATGGAGAATTGCTTGCAAATAGCTCAGAGCTCAATGATTTCGAGCATCATAAACAGATGTTTCGAATTATTATGATGAAATAATTTAATTGTAATTAATTTAAACAATTGGATATGTTAATTTTAAATTGTTTTTCTAAATATAGCAAAAACCTATAAGACAACTATCAGATTCAAAGAGAATATTGCTATTCAATAATGTTCTATAGGACGATTACTTTGATGTTTATGAGATGGGCAAATATATTATATTTATAAATGGAATAATATTGCTATTCAGACTAATTCTTAGACACATTCGCATTCTGGATGTCTCTCGAAGAAGCCAAAGGCACATGAGAAGCTGGATAGTGAATTGGAATCAAGGCATTCTTCTCTCAAGATGGCAGCACAAGTAGCAACATCACAACCAGTTGAGAATTAGAATGATGGATAACAATTGGCTTGACCGCATTTGCTCCTAAAGTTGGATAATTATAAAACAATACAATGCAATAAGTAATTTATTTCCTGATTTGTTAGAACATTCGATCAAACAGTCATAATCAGCTACGCATTTGTTTGAGCAATTTGTTGCAGCAATAGCACAGAAGGCATTCTTTTCACAGGCAGCAACTTCATCTGGGCATTTTTCTCTGACACATAATTCAACTGGATCATCTTAAGCAACAGCAAAGGCCAAAAGAACAATGAACAAGAGTGCTTTCATTAATTTTAATAATACATCATTAATATAAGATTTTTTTTATAATATCCTGATGACGTTATGAAGACAACCAAGCAAAACTATATATGTTGATATTACAAATTAATAGATACATGCATAAATATCATATTCTATGCTTATATCCTTTAAATTTCTATTTCTTCAGAACTCAGTTACGCATGAACATTCTGGATGTCTCTCAAAGAAGGTTGATGCACATTAGAATGATTGTAATCCCAAATTCTAAGCGCATTCACTCTTGAAAGAAGCAACGCATCCTTCAACATCACAAAATGATACTGCAACATCTTAACATTTCTCATGTCCACATTCAGCCCTTAAATTAGAATATGAGCTTACAATGCAATCAATTTGGCATTCTTTGAGGCTAAGGCACAGTTCAACATGCATTCAGCATCTTCACCTCCACATTGGTTTTTGCATTTCATAGCTGCAGATGCACATCCGAACACTTCCTTTTAGCAGGCAGCATACTCATTTGGGCATCTTTCTTTCAAGCATTATTCTGGATCAGCAGCATATGTGAGAGCTAAGAGAACTACAATTACGATTGCTTTCATTTTTTTATTTTATTAATGATATTAAACAATTATTATATCCTTCCTTATATAATCATTCTAATGACGTAGATAATTAAATTTCTAATTATAAACATTAGTTTTATATTACAATCATTTGGTTAATTTAATTTAAAAACCTCCAAAATTAAGATAATTAAAAGGTCACATTATTAACTTATTTATTTCTAATCTAAATAATAGTAGAAGTTACTACTAAAAATAGATACTTTTGTACTACTTAACATGATTTAAGTATCCAAATCCAAACACATAAAATAATCATACTTAACTTATTATCCATATATAGAAATTTATATTCTAAATAAAAATATGGCTACAACTAAATTAAATATATGGAGGTACCTTGTGACTAAAATTTAAGGTTCAACTCAAAATTACGATATTTATTTACTATTAATAATAATTAACATAATATGTTATGTTTACTTGAAAAAAGGAAATTAACTGGTAAATGGGATATGATTATAATTTATTTTTATCAAAAAGAAACTTTATAATAAGTAATTTTCTTAGGTTATGGCAGACCATGAACTCAACCTTTCTTTAATGATAAGAATTTATAAATATTGTTTAATAACATAATAATACTTTATATCAGTAGGCTAGTTAGGATGAGGACTAACTTGATATACTTTTTTATTAAAGTTATTAAATTCTGGCAGTGAGTTTTTGAGGTGTTGATTATTTTTATGAAAGTCTAAGAATAATATTTATTTATACTTTCTATTATTAAGAGTTATACTTATTGATGCTCGGCTTTCATTCAAAACAGATTGTCTGCTGTTGTGTTAAGATTCAAGAATAGATTTTTGTAATTCAGCTTCCAAGGTTTTCAATTTCTTCTCTTTTAAAACTTAGCCATTAGGGAGGGTTTTCATCAAACATTTCCAAGAATCAAGAGGTTGCAAAGAACTCAAAATTACAGTTAATTCTCTTGCATTTAAATTCCCATGAATTATGCTTATCAACTTAGTAATATAGTAAAATAAGCTTTCGTTGTAGCTGTGACTCTTAAAGCCATTTGCATAGAAGGTTGTATATGCATTATAGAGGGAACTGATTAATCCAACATTAAATAAGATATTTTAAAGTAAGTAAGTAGGAGCCTTTTCAAAGATCATATTTATGAATTCAACAAACTGATATTGATATAGAGAATTTTGTTTGCTCTTAAAGAAAAAAATAATGTATAAATGGATGGTTGTTTCACTTAAGAATTTATAGATATTTCTATTTAGTTTTGTTGCATCATAAGGTTCAAAGATGGCAAATCCATTGCTGATTGTTTGAAACAAAGTAAATTGAGAAGTAAAATTCAAATCAAAGTTTTGCCTGTTCAAGTTAATGATGATTTTATTCAGATATTCTATTACTGAATAGAAAATCTCCCTTAAAAATTCTTATTATTCAGCATTTCCATATCTTTTAGCAAGATAGTAAATTGAATTTATTATTTTACCACATTGGTAACTTATATCTTTCTTCAGATTTATTTCATATAAATAAAATTTAAATAAAGAAAGCACTAAGTCTTAATTTAATACCAAATTACAAAAGTTTTCTCCATTCGTTTAATTTCTCATTTAATGGATCCAAATCACATTTACTATTTTTTCTAATAAGTTTATGAGATGCTCAAATGTATTAGCATTAAAATAAAATTCAGATGAATTTATTTCAAATTAACTTGGATTTGCTTTTTGATTACCTGAAGGGTAAAGCATTATAAGTTTACTACTTGAAAATCCAGTCTCTGATGACAATGAAGACCTGGAAGTCTATTAAAGATTTTAAGCCCATAATGATGTTTTAGAACTCACCGATTTCTCATGTTTGTCTAATTTCTCAACACTTCCCCTTTTTGATTTAGAGTCATTAAATACAGATTACACTTCACTCTATTTATTAGACACTGATTTTGGAGTGTTAATCGATGGAAGAGTGGGTACATTGAGACTTATGTTACGACTATGTGAAACAGTAGGTGTACGATATGTTGTCATCTGAGATTCTACTTTCCTACTTTGCTTTCTACTGTAGTTAATTGATTTATGCACTCTTCTTTCATCTAAATATGCTCTTATTGCATCTACATCATTTTCTAATAATTAAGCATAAGATATATTTTCAGGATATTGGATATGTTCTTCTAAATTGTCTTAATTGGCTGATCCTCCTAATGGTCCAATAAATTCATCTAATGTACTGATTTTAACAATTTCAATAGGCTTTTGAACATCTTTGAATTTTGATAGAAAGTTAAGTATTTGTTATTTTTCTTCGTTCTTCTCTGTTAAAGGAAACTTTTAATTGGCAATAGAGTAATTTTATTGGAATATAGCATTACTTAAATATTCTATCCATTTAGTCTCCAAAACGTACTTCCAAATCTATTTTTAAATAAAAAAACCGAGTTTATATTTATCAACAGTTAAGTCTAAAATATCAATTATCAAAGATTCAATGAATGGATTGCTTGAATATTATAAAAACAAGAATAGAAAATCGAATTCGATGATCTTCAATACACTAGCTTTTGGACAAATAAGCAATAATTGATCAATTAAAATAGCTAAATGATTTAAATTCAATTGAATTGATTAAGTGTTGAGGCTCTCTAAAATTTATTCAACTATAAAAGGATAAGAATTAAATGATACATATTTTGGGAGTCATATCTTGAATTGTCAAATAAAATCTAGAGTGATTAACTTTTTAGGTCAAAAATTAAAGACTTTTGAAAGATCGCACTGTATTCAAATAATCCATAGGTATGGTACTAGATTTAAATGTAGTTTTGTAATCATTGGTATCTATATCCTTCTTTTAAAATAATAGACCCTTAAGATAGTAATACAAATAATACCCAATCATCTATAAGTTCTGTTTCTAGAGGATTGATTATAAATTTAATTAGTATCTCTATGTTATCGTTATTATGTAGTTAGAGTTGGTCATGTTGAGTAACCATTTCTATGGGTTTACAGATTATCTTTTGCATAATTTCAACATAATCAGCAACAGATTCTACTTTACTGGCTGGTGTTATATATTCATCATCCTATTCAGTTTTAATTTGTTTTTCAGTTCCTATGTAATTGAATGAAGACATTGACTTTTTTCTGTCTAAAACCCACTTAGGAGCAACCTCAATTGTCCATCTATTGCAAACTAAATTTATATATAATAAATATTACAATCGTCTAATTCTTAATCATATTTATTCTTCCATGGAAATTCATAAAATATACTCTATTTACAATCGAAGAACTAATCAATCAATTATTACTAAAATCTGTGACATCGAGTGTGAATAATGAACTGTTTAAAAATTATTGACATTTCTTCCAAATCCACATTGAGTTGAATTGCCAATAAAAAGAATCTCTTCAAGTAAGAACAAGCGAATCTTTTAGCTATTAACAATTTCTCTATGACTTATTTCGAAAATGGTATAGACCCCTATTTTTATTATTCTTCAATAATCTTATTAACATTTCCGCTATGTATTTATATCTATATATACTTAAATGTCATCTTTAAACTTCTAGTACTCCTAGTGCCTAAAAATTCTCTGTATTCTTATAGTTCACTTACATCTTAGAGTGCTCTATAAAAAGCGAAAAGGAATAACTTATGTTTAAAATAATCAAAGAAAGCTGAAATCAGTAATTCAATGCTTGCCTATTAGAAAGGATAAGAACAAATCACTCAATATAGGTTATAAATATAAACTTGATTTTAAGATGTTATGATCTGTGATTATTTACATGTTTCTCAAGTTCAAAGAAACTTCCTTTATTCCCAAACTTATTTTTTGAAGTCGTACATATTCATCGTCTTCTCCTAACTAAGAATATTAAGGATATTATTACAGCTTCTGCAAAAATCATTAGAGTGTGTTATTTTTAATATATGATTGTAAAATTAAAAAAAGCTTCGTTATAAATCAAATTATTCACAGATATGTCATATCAAAGTAGGAAAATCATTTTTAGATACCAAAATTACTAAAACCTACAATTTAAGATTAAAAATTTAGAGACTGTTTTCTTGATGGATGGCCAATTAATTTAAAAGTGTATTGTCTCTTAACAGTTGAAATTAACATTAAACAGAGGATAGAACAGAAATAATTTTTGGAAAGTACTGATAGTAAAATAAATAATAAATAGTAATAGTATTTCAATACTTTAAAGTGTTTTATTTTATTTAAATTAAAATCGAGATTTAATTATAATATATATAAATATCCATGAGTGAGTATTGAGATATATTTATATACATGGTAATAGAGTGTGTGTAATATCTTGAATTAAAATATGCGAAATGAAATACTAATTATAAATCAAACGATTTTGAGGATAATAGTTTTAAGTTCATGGAAATCATGATATTATTTTATTAAAAGGGATTGAGCTGATTACATTAAGTTTTTGAAGAGATTAAATGAAAATTCACGATTTCTATTTTTTACCTTTTAAGCCCAGGTATCGAAGAGTGATATTGAGTCTTCTAAATTCATTTCTTAGAATTTCGCAATGAAATTATTTCTAAGTGTGCTATCTCCTGGGAATGTTAAAATTAAATGCATAATCAGTGCTCCAAAGGCAAGTGCTATATTTTCAATGTTATTCAAGGTTTATTGATTATTATTGATGGGATTGAAATCGGAGAGCATAACCTTTGAAAATCCAAGAATTAATTACTTATAAATCTCCAGTGACAGTAATAGTAACCATGATATTTTCGGGTTTTAAGTCGACGATGTGAATGTTTCTTAATTTCAGAAACTCCAGACCTTGTACAATCTGCACCATAATATCCTGAATCAACTTGAGTTTTTATTTGCAAGACATGGGGTTCATATAAAAATAAGCATAGCTAAGCAAATTCTTGGCCTATGATATATAACGTGGATAAGTGCAATATTCAATTTACATAAATAAATAAGGTTGGAAGTTGAGCATTTCAAGCCACCAGTCATATAATCTGACCACATTGGGGTGCGAAAGGGAAGCAAGTATTTTGGCTCTGCCTATATGTACATCTTTAGAATGGAAGACATTCATAAATGAGGAATTGAAGGTGGTTCTCAGATGAATCTAGGAGATAATATAGTGAGGGATACTTACTCTCTTTACAAAATAGATCTAATCATCCACAGGTTTATAGACATGAAATAATGATTGATGACTTTCAATTTCTTCGTTTAAGATGATGAATTCATTCTTGAATTTGTTTGTTTTTAGAAATTAGTTTTTGTAATCCTGCTGCACATATGGTATCTTAATTATGTTTTCAATTCTAAAAAAATGCATTAAAAATCTAACTCGCTCTTATTTTTAATCAATCACTATCTTTTTGATAATGAATTCTCTGATGTTCTTATGGATATAGATAAAAGCAGTGGATTTAATCTAGCCTGTCGAAGTTATGAACCCAATGTTGATATCTTAATAGAAACATCTAAAAAGCTGATTTTCTTTGCTCTCTATATTAGATTATAAATACAATGAATTCCTATTTCGATTTAATACAATTAGGGACTAACATCCTTTTGAGAGCTTTGCGGATGACTTTAGTGATCATAAGAATGTAGTGAAAGAACGGGTCATCGTAATAGCAATTGTGGCTTATGTTTGAGATGATAAGAACTTGGGTGAATGATGGATAGTTGTCTGCCGATAGGAATTCTTGTTTGAGTTTTTGATTGTCTATCTAGTTTTGTAGTTTGACTATACATTACAAGTGCGACCTTGATTTTGTTTTCATCAGCAATTTGGACAACTTCCTTATAACTCTCTACGTCCTCGGCGATTTCCTCAATCACAAGGTTACTATTAATGAATTCATAATGCTATCATGATTCTGAATCATTTACCTCAGAACTATTCTAATACATAAATATATAAATATATATTTTATAGAAATCTTATTTTTATTTGCGAACTTATCATGTATATTTTGTGAATATTTTGTGATTCTCATGATCTGTCCCAGTCCTCTGATTGTCCAACTGAGAAACAGGTTTTCGCACATATATAACTATATAAATAATTCTGTATAATAAAATAAATATTCAATTTAGATGATGAACTTATAATTGGACAATAGAGCATTAAACATCAAATAAACAATTTTTGAACACTTTATATTCCCATTCAAATTGAATCCCCAAATTTTAAATCAGATTAGTAGCTCATTCATCTCCTTTGAATAATTTAGAGATATTGCTCAAAAGTACTCAGTCTCAAATATCGATGCCGATGTCATTTTCACTTTCTTTTAGTTGGCATTAGAAAACTAGCCAACAGTAGAACGCAAAATTGTCGATCTCAAATAATTGAGCTTATTCTTGTCCTTACAAAATTTTAATCATGCAGGAAGACATTCAATTTTTGAAAACATCAACATCAACGATGTGAAATATCAAGAGAGACAACGACAACCCATGAATTCTTATTCTCCATTGAACTCCCCCAGAGCAAAAACGATGAGAGCTCAATCTCAATAGAATGACATGTAATAAGTAATATAGTTTGTGAAATCAAATGTCAAAGATTGGATGAGTCTATTGAGCAGCAATCAAGAAACAATAACTAGTTAAGAATTTAATTTGTTATCCTTGATTTTGTTTAATGAATCGAAATCTATAAGTTAATTAATTTTTGATCGAACTAATAAATTGGGCAAGGAGATTGTGTCAGAATGGACAATTAAGAACATTTAATGTTAGGAATATTGTAATCTAAATTTAATATATATACATAGCATCAACCATCAGTGGATTCACAAAGTCAGTAACCATTAAAAACAACGTGGGAGAGGATCTAAAAATAACTCAATGTGATGATTCTATGATTTACATCGATTGCAGTGTAAATACATTATCAATATCCCAATGTACTAATTGCTAAATCTTTGTTGGGTCTGTGAGAATGATTACCAGCATAACCTCATGTGAGAAGATAACTGTTTGTGTAGCATCAAATTATCTTAAAATCAGCAATACAATAGATTCAACAATCCATTACTATGGGTCATATTCACCCATTCTCTATGGTGATTGCAGATCCATCATACTTGCTCCCAATAATTCTAATACAGAGAAGACACTTCAGAGATTAAGAGAAGCATCCATTCCCATTAATAAATAATGCAGAGACAAATATCAGAAACCCTTAATTATAGGACAGAACAAGATAGATTGGTCACTATTATCTACTGAAGAGTTTAGTAAGTTTATATTGCCAGAATCACATTTTGGGTGCATCGATTCACCATTGATTTTAGAGTGTAACTTCGATATTGACAGAATGAACAAAGAAATCACAGAAAAGAAGATTTTGACTCAATAGATGAATTATGAAAAGTAAGAAATACCATTTTAAATAAGAGAATCGTTCTTCCACTCTTGGCTCCCCCTGAATACATTAAGGCTGTTTATGATAGATACTAACTGTTTGCCGGAATCCAAGCTTAAATCAAACAATCCAATCTAAGAGAAGAAAATCAGAAACTACTCTAAAATGCCATTTAAGGGAACTTCAGAGAATGGCTAGTGTCCACAGGGACTATTAAAGGGATCAGTGATCTAGTTAAATTAATTGATTAAGAATAATGAAATATATAAAATATAATTTATTAAATGGGTGGTATTTATAAAAGAAAGGGGAATTCTGCAAAGAACAAGTAACATCATCGAATGTTGAAAACAAAATCCTATAAAAGAGCTAATGATCAAATTCACGATGATATTAAACCTTAAAATATATAAAGATGGTAGAATCAGCCAATTGATGAAACATTACCTGGATTAGGCTAATATTATTGCGTCTCTTGTGCTAGGTACTTTGTTAATGAAGAATCCATCAAAAAACATTAAATTAGCAAATAAGTATCATTACTTTAAGTATTATAGCATAAAAAATAAGAAAAAAGAGTCAAAGAAAAACCATATACTCATATGGAAGCAGAATAAGCTGGAAAATGATTATAAAATTAATATCATCATATATTTTGATTAGATTTACTTTTAAATACTATTCATGCAATGTTTCTCTGAGATTTGGGTATCAATCTTATTAAACTTTGCTGTCATCCTTTCATTTGAAGATTTAGTTCTAGCTTTGACTATAATAATCTAAAAATGACTGTAATAATCTAGCAATTATCAAATCTTATGGAATCCAAATTAAGTAGAATTTTAAAAGAATGAATTTACTATCATCTAAAAAACAATAAGGCTGAAACTTTTTATAGTATTAAATCTATATTTTAGTTTTATTAAATCATAAGAATTTTGACATTATAATAATCTTACATAATTTGATGCAGTTATTGTTGAACATCAGCTGCACATTATTATACTAATTAATCGATTCAATATATCAGAGATAAAAATGCCTTTAATGATTAATCCATAAACATTACTAAGTTTATTGTTAGTTTATATCTTTCAATTGATTCAAACCCTTACTATCTTTATATTAAATGTTGAATTAGTATCCTTAAAATGAAATTTAGAACTCCAAGCAAAAACAATAGTTTTTATGAAATGATAGATTGGAAGTACATATTACTTGATAATAAAATAGAAATCAAAATTGATTGAACCCTTAAAATCATTAATCTTTTTAAGTAACGAATATAAAAATGAAGTAGATTTTATTAGTATCTGATTGATTAAATTTATGTAGATCATAAAGCATAATTTAACACTTAATAAATCTAAGACAATATTCTAAAAATAATGGATAGGTCAATAAAATTTCTTCATTTAATCAAGGTTTATAGGGTGTTCTATATTAATCTTAAAGTTATGACTAAGCATTATTACTGTTATTTAGTTAGTACGGCAGACTTAAATTAAGGGATTATAATGTGCAATCTTTGATTCTAATTATCTTCATAAGATTAATAATTAAATGGTCCATCAAAATGGTAATACTGAGGTTGTATAATATATAAAAAATAATATGTTTTAATAGCTAAGGTGACGTACATCTTCAGTATAAATGAAAAAAGTAAAATAAAAGGAATGTTAAATAATAAATGAGAAAACCACCATTTGAGCATTGTTTGGATTGCCCAATCATTATTAAATTGATGGATGCGTGTCCTCTTTCACCCTTCTGGCAAATATTCCAGGAAGAAGGATTTGGTGGTTTGGCAGATGCTACACTACTTTATGAATTATTTATGGTCATTATTTCTTTGGTGCCTTGGATTTGCGGATTGATTTTAGGAATATTGCTGCTGAAGAGAAGAGACATGAGATCTCTCATTCGTGCGGGAACTCATTTGTGTGCTCATATGTATAATGTGATATTAACTCAATTGTAGAACTTGTGATGTTGTCAAGGTTGTTTATTTCAAAGAAGACAGGCCGGATGGTTCATGCTCTTTGAAGTATGGATTGCCATCCTGTCATTCAATATTCGCAGGATTATATACAAGCTGGGTTTTGATTGAAATATTGGTTATTGGAATGAAATTAAAAACAAGACATATAATTGCAGTGATCTCTATGCTCATAGTCCCATACTCAAGGATTTACTTAATTTATCATACGCTGAAACAATGTATTTATGGTTGGACCATCGGATTTGGGTTTGCTGTGGTGGGATTGACATTGCATCATCAATGCAAGAAAAGAAGAAAGAATAAATAGGTTAAAGTCAAACAATGATTGTTTATTTGTCATTAATTCCAATTCTTCACCTTTTTTAATTATTGAAATCCTGCAGCTATGAGAGTTTGAGCTAATTTATCATCTACATTTCTATTTTGTTCAAATTAACTTCGAACTTCCTAAATCCAATCATCTCTGACGTGACTGGGCGATATTTTAATGAATGCTCTATAGAGTTTCAACGCTTATGATTTCTAGATAAATTACCTTAGATTCATTATTTATAAAAATATAATAAACCCACTATTTTAATCAATATGTCTATATCATAATATTAAGAACAATTTTTATAGTTCCACTAATCGAAATATTCAAGAAATATAATTAAAAACTATTTACATACGTGAATACTCAACGAAGATGAATTTAATATTAACATTATTAGATAAATGTGTATATAAAATTGAATCCGTTAATTATTTTTTAGACTTCAATGTTGGATTGCTTAATATTCAATAATATTGAAGTGTTTATTTCAGAAATATGAAAAAGAAGAATGAATTATTAAATTATTTATGTTATCATATTATAGCACAGGACAGTTTCCTAAATCTTTAGATCCGCCATCTCGTTTCAAGTAAAGATAAGCAAGCAAAGTATTTGATCTGATCTATCATTTAATAAAGGGAGATGGAGAATCTATGTACAAAAGAAATTTTGAAGATCCCCAGAAACATGATTTCAAACAAAGTGCTCATGCGTTGAATCAAGAGTTCCATCATAAACAATACCATAAAATTAATGCTGATTACAAGTATTTCTGTAAATCTAAATAAAAAAGGGATCGCTTCTTTGATACTATGCATAACACTACAAAGTTATAGAAGTAGGAGGATAAGTTGTTTTATGAAAGTGCTGCCAGACAACAGAATCTGGATTAACCCAATCATTTGCATAATTGGAAAATTGTAAAAGAGAGACAATATGCAGAGTATGTAACTGCAAATATTTAATAGACGAGTGCAATAACAATCTAAATGTGATCAAGGGAAACTTGTAAGCAAGAATGAATATTAAGCAACCTAATCATCCAATACTGAATCTAAAACCAATACTTTGGCTAGATCCAATATGTTCGAAATATCGAAACCTCTATTAAGAATTAACAAGGATCTCAAAAGCTAATAATTGATTAAGAATGTGCAGATTGTGTCTGATGATATTCCAGATTGGTGCTCTACTACTAATAAATATTATACTCCAGAACATATTGAATAAATTAAGAAGTAAAGACAGCAGCAATTAGCCAAAGCTGACATCTTGGGTAATTTTATTAAGGAACCCAAGAAGGACCCCGATAATAAAGTTTATCAAGACAATCCCTTTGTTGGCCAAAGATATGTAATTGCATTAACTTAATTTAAGGAACCAAAACGCATGTGTGTATTTTATGAAAAACCAGATCATGTGAGAGGACAGTAAAGTGCCACTTAAGATTTAAGCAAATCTAAAGTGAACTTAACATGGAAGGAGAATGTCTAATCATAAAGATTTGAACCAAAACTACCAGAAGGCATTGGGAGAACAGATCAACCTGTGATTAAATCACTTAATCAAAAAAGAGATCCCAATTTTCCCAAAGTAGAAAAGATTGGACAATCAGATGTGTATCTATAGTTAATTTATATGTAGTTATAAAAAAATAGAAAAGGATAAACCTATTTAATTAAAAATTGGTCATGGCTCTCCTTCTACGTTGAATCCAGTTAAGTATTGATGTATTTGTTACATAATTTCATTGATATAATAAAATACTATTTTCTCTAAATTAAAGATTTAATTATATAATCAACAAAATTGCAATAAAACTATTAAATTAGTAGTTTCTTAGGACACTCGTTCATTCTCATGCATGCTTAAGTTATTCAATTAATCGTATAATTAATTTGAAATCAATTTAAGTACTTCTGTTTAGTAATGCATATCTTCTATTTGTAATACATTTGATAGAGCCTCTATGAGATATAAAATTTATTCCACCTTGATGTTCACCTAGTCCAAAGCCTATTCAACCACCCCAAAGAATTTCTAATGGATATTATATAAATTGTAATACTATATAAGGTTCAGGGTTAAATTATTATTATTCCTATAGTCTAAATTGGATATGCTTTTGACAATTAATAAGCTTGTCTAAGACTTTGATTTTATATAGAAATGCAAAGTTTGACTGAGCATAAAAATCCACAAATTTATCTAGATATTCCATCAAGCATTTCTAAACATATTTATATAAGAGTTGATCTTCAATTAAACAATGCAAATTGGTATAGGTCTTGTAATAGCATGAAATCAATTTTAATAAGTCTTTTCCAGCTTACTTTTCTAATTTGAAAGCCAAATTATAAAGGACTTCCATTATATTATTCTTGCCAATCAGAGGAAATAGCAATTCAGACATTTTTTTAATACAAATCCTGAGTGTCTTTTTAAAATATTAGAATTATTTACCTTAAAAATGACAATATACTCAAATTGCGAAAGGTCTTACTCTAGATATTCAACGATAATATCAGAAATAGCATATATTTACTAAAAGAATGTGAATTCTTATTCACTTAAACAATTAGCCAAAAGAACCGAACCATATATAATTTATAGGTCTTTTATTTGAATGGCTCTATTGAGTATATCCTAAGTTACATTATATTAATTTTAAAATTTTAGTTCTCTTTTTGACTACAGATATAAGGATAAAAATTCTGTAAGCGCTAACAAATAGTCATCTGAAGGCAAATCAAATGCTTAATAAACAATTTATTCTAATAATAATCTCTCCTATTGTATTATATCTAAAAGTTAACTCTCCTGTTCTATTAATAAATTCAGAGTAGTTAGAGCATCAACATGCAAGAATTTCCATTCTGTCGATTATAGAATTTTCATTAATTAGAAAAGCAAGGCAAGGTCGATTTTATCCTTCTCATCTGATAAAATAGTTTTAACAATTTTAGGATTGACTATTATGCAGTTTTTCAATAGTTATAGCATCTTATTGAAATGTGATTGATGATTCAATGGTTAAATGAGATAATATTTAATGTCAATGATGAATTAAGAGACTTCATAGTAGGCTTCAAATAAATCTTTAGAATCAATCAGATTACAAAATTGATTCAAAGTTTCAAGAGTATCTGATTTTAGAAACTCTTATAATGAATCTAGGATATTTAAATTGGAAGGAACTTTTGAATCCCCTAATCTATGGATTCCTCTATTTTATCTGAAGAGACTTTCTAATTTATTTTTCCTAATGTCCATTCTGAATTTCTCTCTTTTCATTTGATTTATGCTCACACAATCATTGGTTATGATATTAATCTAAGGAGTATCCGACATAAAAATATAATTTAAAATATTGCGGCAAATAATATAAAAATATTTAAATTTCATAAAGAAAATAAATTCTTCACCCTCTCAAATGTTTTTAAAACAATAGATTCCCCATAAACTAAAGTCTTGATTTCTTCAAACAGATGTTCACATACCAAGGCATATGTAATATTTTCATTTACAATGTTATTCTATTTCAATAAATATAGAACATATCTTATTGCTCTGTCAATCAATTTGTTATTAGTTGGTCGAACGTATATCATAATATTGCTTTGATACCTTCCAATTCGACCCATTAATAGAGTCGAATGAATATTAATAAGACATTTTAGCACAATATTTTATCCTAACACGTCATCGATGGCCTTAACCTTTGCAAAATGTATTCTCTCTGAATTGGGTGACAGAAATTCCCAGGACATTTCTAACTTGTCCTGGTCATATACAATTCTAAATTAGTTATGATTTCCTCCAGCATACTTGATTCTTCTCTCAATTTGATCCTGGCTGATGTCGTGAGATAGCACTTTACAATATAATATTCAATATTTACATTTCTCTAAGCCAACCTTATGTTGATATTTATGCCAGTAATTTGATGACAAAGCCCTTGGTTGTCTACCATAAAGCAATGATTCCCAAGTTTATAAAGAACTATTGTAATTTCCTTCAGTAACATCCATTACAAAATAAGACCAACTCGGATTAATAGGATTATCCAATATACTTTCAAATGGGTGTAAACTAAATGTTGGACATCTTAAATTATGAGATTATGATGTACCTTTCAGTTGTATCAGTTAAGATATTGATGGCAATATTTGGCTATGATCTATAGAATACAAATTCCTTTCTCAAATAGCAATCTGCTTCTAATTCAACGAATTTTGCAATAAATTAATGAGCATCGATAGATTCATAATATTGTCTAACATTTTTGATTGAGTTTGTTGCATAATCAATAAAGTTTTCTTTGCATAAAATGGCTAAACCTATGGCATAAGTTAAAACAGTGGAACACTGCATTCTCGTGCTTCCAGTGATGGCTTAGTGACCAACAGAGAGATTTATTTTATTAATATTCGGATTGTTAAATACATCTTAACTTCTTTAGACTGTCAACACTTCATCTGGATTGCAATATAAATAAAATGGCTTGCCAATATTACTTGCTTCTTAAACAGCTCCAATAACCCAAGGAGTTTCTCCTCCTTCTGTTGATGATATCAATAAATCTCCCTCTTTGAAACCCAATTCATTCAATTGCTAAGCTCCAAATTCAGGATGGTCTTCAAAATCTTCTACTGATGCTATAATAGCCACATCTCCTCCTGCCATAAATGATATTATATTAGTTTGTTTTGTGATTTATCTATATAGAGTTTCTAATGTTAATGCTAGTCTTCCAGTGGATCCACATCCACAAATGAACACTCTATTACCTTTAGACCAAGTATCCAAGACCATCTGATTCATATGTGCCAATTAATCCAATTTGTTCATCAAGACATCGAAAACATGCATATCCAAGTCTTTCATTCTCTGTATTCCAGTTTTTAAATCATTCTTAGCAAACTCAGACAAACCAACAGTATGTGGATGAGCTTATTCAGTTATCAAACCTCCCAAGCTAAATTACGCACTAATTTCTAAGAAATCCTTATAATTCATAAATATTATTAATATAAAATCACAAAGAATATTTTTTGAAATTCTCATAACTAACTCCTTTAGGATCACCTTATGACATTCTGTTGTAAATAGCTAACATATCTGCTTCAGTCAAATGACTATCTTTATAATTCTTCATTAAAAATACAAATTCTAAAAACTAACTTAAATGAGAATACCTTATTGGTTCAAAAAGCCATCCTTGTCTGAATCATGTCTTTTAAATATTTTTTGTAGGAATCTATCTGTAGTTTCTTCGTTGATATATTTTTCAACAGAATTCATTGCATTACAAAATGACTCTTCATTAATCTCATCCTTATAGCAATGACTTTTAAATGATTAAGTTATCAAATTTTTGAAATTCTGTTTAGCCTCTCCATTTTGATCATTTGGATAGAATAAAGAACTCACCATCTCTGCAATTAAATCAATTTTAATTCCAAGTGAATCTTATTGTTGGAACTCAAATGCCAGGATTCTGTAAATTTCCTTATTAGACATAGTCTTTGTTTTATGAGCCTTCTATTTATTTTACTTACTATCCATAAATTTATATTAAAAATATTATTAACAATTTATAAATAATAAGTATCCTTTTTAACAATTAAATCAAATTAATGTCCATTTATATATTCGTGCAATAGAGTCACTGAGTAGGAATACTTTTTTCTAGAACTCTCTGTTTATTTAGAACTTTCAATATAATGATAAATTTATACTGTCATAGCAAACTTTACTGCATCAACATCTATTTATTAACCATAATACAGATGTATCTCAGCAATATTTCAGAATATTGATAAAATCTGTGTAATTTTTAATCATACTTAATTCAACTAAAGGATTCTTTTTTAATCTATTTTTATGTATAAAATAAATGTAATTTAATTTTTAATCTTTTTTTAGATCTATGTTTATATAAGGTTAAAAATGAATTGCAGAATTTTCCCATTAACAGATGGTATAAAAACAATGATCAACAGTGTTGAATTAATTATTGGTTGATTTTGAGTTACTTATAATCAAACTCCTTTGAGACATTCCTAGATTTGCAGTGGCATGTGTTTACTATATAGAAATATATGAAAAAAGTCATTTTCAAATTTATTCAACAAATTCGATTATTGTAGATGATAAAATAAAAAAATATATTTGATTATTGTATAATTAATAATATATAAGGAAATGATTATCTTCATACTTTAATTCTGTAAAGCTTAATAAATTTTTACCAAGTTAAAACTGCTATTAGGGCTTCATAACTACCCTAAATTTATTATATATCTGCTGAGATTAAGTTTTCTCCAGCTAATTTAATGATAATATCTTGATCCTTGAAAATTCTATCTAAATTGTATAATTCAATTAAACAAAATTGCCTATCATGTTATGGAACTATAATTGATTAATGGCAATGATACATGCTAAAAGCAGATTCAAATCTTATATGTATGAGAGCCTTTGAAATCTTTGTCCAAATGAGGACGAATTTTTATAAAAGTTATTATCAATAACCTTAAATTCCTTATTTATGACTTAACATATTTTAATTGACTCCTTGAATCCTGCAACTATATTATATTAGGGCAATTAATCTAATTCATATATCGAAGTCGTTTCGGTATATTCATTTAATAACATCCAGGATATACACCAAACCCATTCTGAAAAGATTATAGAGTATAATTGTGATCCATTTTCAACCAAATAAATTCTTAAACCTCCATCGATGCTTCCAGAAGCTAGATATTAGCAACAAGGAGAGAATGATACACATGGTATATTGTGTTTGTGATTTTGAATACTCTAAAGATATGTTTTAGATGTGTACATATCTAATTGGAAATTCGATGTCTGATCTCATTAGATCTTGCTTATTGAATTTGACTCTGATTTCGCGGTCGTCCCAATACTTATGATCGGGTTTGTCGAAACCAAGTAGTTTTTTGGACCACAAGGAGATGATGTGAGAATTTGAACCTACAGCCAGATATTACTGGCAAACATCTATGCTCCAAATGGAACAGTCAGCGATTTTCTGTAATTAAAATAATTAGTTACTTCATAGAGACCCTACAATTTGATTGGTTTGATTAAAATATTATCTAGATCATAAATATAAATGTATGAATTCATGGTGATGGCAAAAAGGAGGTGATCATATTATTTTATTTAATTGATCATATCATTTTAATCAATTTATATGGGTTTTAGTTGTTCTAAATTCAGTCCTGTGATTGAAAAAAATTGTAAGTAATTTGCGCATCCAAGAACAAGCAATTATCTTTGGAGATCCAATATTAAAGTGTTCATTCTCCAAGCATCAATTTCAAGATCTTCGAATTGTTTAGACTTAATTAATTCAATGTTATAACCTTCCATTATATATATATTTAATGTATAAAATTTCAATTTTGAGTGTTACCTTCCCTAACAATAATAATAAGTAAGACATCTACTGCAAACTAACAGAGGGTGATCAAGCATATCAAACAAAGGTAGATATGGACACCATCACAATTGCCAAATGGGATCAGAATTTCAATGTTAAATAAACTCAATCAGAAATCACATTTTCAATCCATCTTTGGAAAGGAGAGAACAAAGATCAGTTACTTACCGAAACTAAAGTTAAATGGGAGCAATTACTGACTATGACGAACACACCCCAAACGATAAAATTTAATGTATGCGAAATGAGTCTAATCATTGAAGAAGTTACAATTCCATCAAATGAAGCTTAAATTAAATAATTCTAAAAGTATCTCTCTGATACTGGCTTAGAACAATCATTCAAATTGATCTTTGCTGAAATTCTGAGCAAAAAAATCGATCGGTCAGAAGTATTCACGTACACAGCTCTGCGTTTGAGATAAATTGGAGAGGATCTTAAAATGTTTCTTACTAATGTAAATTTATACATCTAAAACGTAGAATCATAAAATGAGTTAGTTACTTAATAATATAAGTGAAGTTTAATAGGACGATGAGCCAGATCAATTTTTAGAAAGTTAAGATTAATGATATAATATTATATTAAATTAATAATATGTAACAGGAAAGCATATACAATTTAATACCCAAAGAGTATGTTCCTCCACCCAAAGAGCCCATGTATAGATCTGCCTATCCTTCAAATCTTGTTCCCACTGCTAGCACTTTCAATAATCACACCACAAGCAGACCAAAAGTACTTCCCTACGTTATCTTTTAAGATTAACAATATCAATGGAGATTATGAATTGGTCAAGGGTCCTCATTCTCACAAAGGACAATCCAACTCTTTAGGTAGGCCCAGAGGTAAAATCAAATAAATGATGAGATAGGTTCATATAAACCTGATACAACTATGTTCAGATTAAAGAACACTGGAACCATGGGATCAAATTAATTACCTGAAAGTATCGAGCATCAATTAAATTTAGTTCAATCACACAAATATCCGCCATCAATTAAACCATAAGTCCCAAAAAAGGATGAGAAACCAATACATGGTCTGAAATCTAATAAAAACTTTATAATAACGAATGCTGTCGAAAACATCTTGTCAGCACCCAAATAAATTGTTGAGGATGTTGCCTGGACATCGAAAAAAGATTATGGAAAAGTTCCAGATTATTTAACAAAAATTAAATAGAGCATAGCAAGCGAATACGAAATCATTAGAAACATGCACATAAGCGAAGCAGAAGAAATGGACAAACAAAAATATCTTTTATCTTAGGAAGAAGTATAATAATTAAAGGAAGGACTCAAAAAGAAATGGGAGTCAGTCAATAAAGAATATTAATCAATTACTCATATTAGAATGATTGATACTGTTGGTTTGAAAAGAAAGTAAATCTAATTATGACTATTACAAGGAAAGAGTAATGTGAAAAAGAATTAGCTTAATTAGAAAAAGATATTGAAAAACTAAATAAGAACTATGTATTTGTTGATACATAAAAATGATTCCATTTAAAATATCAATAAATAATTTTATTATGTTATATTTTCCAAATTATACTTTCCACTCACATCTACCTTTGTTTAAATGTTTTAAGATAATTAATTTAGTTATTGTTTTAATTCAAATAAATTTCATTAAGAAAGATTGTATTTAGTAACCTTATAATAATTTCGTCTTTTAAATCTCATTAATTAATGAATAGAAGAAGTCTTAAGATGCAATAATTATAATGTCAAAACCCTTTGTTATTATTTTATCTATTAATAGAAATCAGTATTAAAATTCTAATTAAATTTTCAAAAGTAAAGTTACAATTGAATACTCTAGAAGCCTATTCATTTAGAAATAAGAATAATCTCTATAAGCACAAAAAATATTTTAATAATCTAATTTAATTGATGAAATTTTAGGTGTTTTAAATGACCAATAACATTGAATTTTCGATTTGGAAAACTATTGGCAATTAAGGCTATATTCATATAATAATGCTATACATAAAATAAAGAAGAATACATGTAACCATGTATGGATTAAATATTATTTTATTAAACCAATGCTTAGTTGAGAAGTATTAATACAATTATTATTCTTAAATATTTCATAAATTGTAAAGTCACTAAAATATATGTGTTATGAATATATCTGCTTAACTTAATTAAATAAACATCTTTTGAATATACTTTTCCACATAGACTATTCCAATAAAAATTCTAGTTTATGTTGATTCTTCATTTTTCTTGTCATTTTATTTATAAATGATTTCGTTCTTTTTTAAATATCGGATTATCAGCAATTTCTATTGCTAAATAATAGGATGAAGGCTAGGAATGATTTTAGAAGTTATTTTCCATCTGAAAAACAAACGTTTTATTAATTTTAATAAATTTAGAAAATATCAATTCTCGTTATTGTCAAGTTAGTATGGGAATATGCTAAAAGAAAAGTTAAAAAGATAATTCCTAAAAGCAAACTGGCTATGAGTCTGAATAAATTATTATTTTGACAAGCATTCAGAGCCACATTTAATATTTTGATTAAATAGATTTAGAACTACTTAAATATCCAGATATTTCCTTGTTACTAAGAAAACATATCAAAAATTATAGATTCATTGAGGAGGGAAAGACTTGGGTTGTGGTTAAGGAAATTCAAAGTTTTTTGAATAGTAAAATGCCGATATTGATTAGAAATTTTAATCCTGAAACAGATGCTGCCTCATAATTAATATAGATTTTTGAGACATTGGTGCTTCTGGCCCAAAAAGTATTCGAGTGTTCGGTAACATTTAATGAGGCTAAGGTTGAATTATTTTAATCATTCCAAAATTAGTTAGTTTAAGTAATGAATATGATTATATTAGACTTCGATAGAATGTCTAATTGTTGTAAATACTTTAATTTCTAAGAAATTGCAATGGTGGAATGAGGAGTATTTTAAATGGAGGTAGAATCATTTAATTTCAACATTTATCATTAAAAATATAAATAAAAGTAATAAGGAGATAATAGGACCAATATACGACTTCATTTTATTGTTGATAGAATGCATCAAACATTTAGGAGACATTGAAGTCTCTAAAGGAGTCTAAGACACAGATTTCAAAGCGGAATAGAAGTTCTTGGATTAATTTTACAATTAAATGAGGGTAGGGTTGATTTAGAATTCATTTTTTTCTGAGAGCATATCGAATGAAGTAATTCCAGAATAAATTTAGATTGATTAGAATGTTAGAGCATATGCCATATTAATTAATAAAAAATGATTTACTTTTTTATCATTATATAAATCATAATAACTTCTTTTAAAATTTAAGCAAGATGAAGAATATTGGAATTGATCTTTTTGTCGGAATAGTTTCCAGTAAATATTAATCTACAGTTTAGGTTGTGTTAATACAATGGTAGGTTACCCAATGGATTTTATTAAAACCAGAATGCAACTCCAACAGAGTAAATAGGGTACAATGTAATCAATAATAAAAATTATTTAAATGGAGGGCATCAATGCATTGTATAGAGGTAGTATATTAAAAGGATGATATGAAAATAGGGGTATCTATTTAACTATTGAACAGTGTATTTGCAGGATCAATTTATTTCACTACTTACGAACAAATTCGAAGATAATTTGAAAAATACAATAATTTGCCTATGAATAGTTATTTACCATTATATCAAACATTTCTAGCAGGGTCAACGGCTGTAAGTTAAAATATGAATTTAGGGTATTTGTAGTGATTTATTTGCTATTCCATTTGAATACACAAAAATTTAATCCTAAAAACAAGAAATTCTTAAGGGTTAAAAAGTGAGAGGTCCATTGTTTATTTTATTTGAAACCATTAGAAAATAAGGAATTAAATAAATATATAAGTATGTTTTTTCTATCTTACAATAAGGGGGTCTCTATTGCAAGTGATAAGGGATTTTGTTGGATGTGGTTCATTTTTTTTAGCTCATTCAGAAACTTTACATTTCTTTACACCTGCAGGTAAATCGAGAAATGAAGCATCTTAGACCGGAATTTTTGTAGCTAGCATTGCAGCAGGATTTGGATACTGGGTTATTAGCTATCCATTAGATATCATTAAAACAAGATATTAAGTTGACAATTAAAAGTATTTGTTTAATTTATTTAGTGCATTAAATGTGGCAAAATAAATTTATTTATAAGGAGGAGTCTTATAATTCTACAAAGGATTTAAAATCACAGTTCTAAGAAGTGTATTTGTCAATATATTCTAATTATACACCTATGAAAATTTAAGAAGAGCTTGCTATAAATATGCTTGAAATGTTGTTTATATTTCATTAATTATATCCATTACTACATATAAATACATATTTATAATCTGTTCATTTTCTAATTTTTATATTTGTAATCACCACTAGCAATTAAATATTTATTCGTATTTATCCCAAACATTCTGAAGGACTATTTATTCTTGGTTTCTTTTATAGTATGTATGGCATTCCTCGTTTTTGCAAATTACTTAATCAAATTAACTTTACTAACATTATTGACAAGTCATGTTATATTTCTAAAAGCGATTTTGAGAATTAATAAGTTGCTAAATAATATAATTTAAGATATACTTGAGATATCTTAAATAGTATTTCAGACTATTGAGATCTGCAATTGAAACAAATTGGTTTATTTATGGGAACTTCGTCTCTGCAATTTACACAAGTAATTTTCTTCTTTAAATATTTGTTTAGAGCCTTTTTAGAACCATTGTTTTGAACTACATTGCAGAAAGATTTTTTAGGAACAGATTAATATTAATTCAAATTAAATAAGGCTTCTGGATTTGGTATTATGTGTTCTAAAATATGGATGATGGGTATTTTTATTTAGTTAATGTAGTACTAAATATTTAATTTATAGTTATTTTTAAAGGCCTCTAACGGATCTTAGGCATTTTCTGATAATTGTTACCCAGGTATATTCTCTACAATAACATAAGATATTCTATCGCCTTTTTGAAATGTATTAATTTATTTATTTTTTACTTTTTCTTAGGCAACTTTGACATGTGGTTATTTCCTAAAGTCGCTTGTATCATGATACTTATCTGGATATGAATGAAATTCTTCCTCTTTATTTATTAAATCCTCATCAACAAAATCTGGCACTTGTATTTTTATCGATAAAGATTTCGATATGATTAAATTTGAAATGTTTATTTCCCCATTTAAGAGTTATTGAATCTTTTCTTTCACAATGCTGACAGCTTTTTTATTATTTTATTCAATTAGTATCTCATGTAACACCTAATTCAACAGATCTTTTAAGAATTAAGTATTGTCTCTCCTAACTGTACAAATTCCTTTTTACTCAATCTTATCAGTTACCAATTCATTCTTCCAAGGTAATCCAACATAACGTTTTTTACAGACCAACAAAAATGGGTTGTACATTTTCTCAAAGGAAAGTCTTATTGGCTTTGGAAAAGAGCTAGTTACTAGATTAGATGCCTCAATTGAGATATTAAATACATCACTTAAATTTTAAATTTTGAAATTTATTAATAATGAATCTGTGTCTCCATATAAGATTTCTGCATTAGGATAATTGTTATTAATAATAGATATCGAATTTTATAATATGGCTCTTCCTACCCTGAGTATAGATTACGTGATTTCTAAACAGGGAAGATACCCATGTTCAGCACAGCCAGTAAATCCAAAGATTGAATTGGCTGCGATTTTTAATGCTTGCTATCTAGCATCCAATAGACTTTTCTTTTACTTGTCTTCTTCCTACTTTAATTCTTGTTTTGTTACTGCTCTCTTTGCTAACAAATTCTCTAAAATTTATGGCAATATTCCCTTTTTTATATGCTATTTAACAAATTTATGCCCAAATTCTGGAATGATATGGTAATCATCTTCATTTAACTTGATAGAATAATCTTTAATTATTGTTGTGTAGCACATGTTATAAGCTATGATTATACTTGGGTACAAGGATACAAAATCAAAGAGAGCTAATGGTATCTTATAAAAACCTTTTTTAGGTTCTAAAACCAAAGCTCCTTTTAAATTAGTTGTATCTGGCTTTATAAGATGATTTTCATCAGGAACCAAATAACCATCTTTTTTGGTCTATCGAAGTAATTATGACAAAACTTTAATCGATTGACCTCTCTATATAATGTAGTCAATTGGTACTCCAGTAACTTTTGAAATTTCTGCATATGTGTAAATCCATCCTTTATAAAGCAATACTTCTAAACAAGCTTCTGACTTTCTTAAACTATATGTAGATATTCTTTTAATATTGTTTTATTCATATAATTATAAGATAGTTTCTTAATCGTATATTTCTATTTATTGATTAAAAAGCGAATAATAAATACTTCCAAGCGAATACTAAGATATTTTTGTGTCTCTCAACATACAAATCAAAGTATCTAATTGAATTCTACCATTTGTTTCAACAAATTTGGTTTCTCTCATTCTCATTACAGTACTAAAGAATCTACCATTAGATATTAGACTTTCCTCATTTTTTGATCTGCCATAATTCAAATACTGAGAATTAAGTCCCAAAGTTCTTGATCTTTACATAATTAAAGGTAATATCTCATCATGTAGATTGTAACCTGTAATAACATCAGGATCAAAAGATAGAAAAAATTAGTTAAATTATTTTAATAAATCTATTTCATTTTCAGATTAAATGATTATAGTATTAATTATTTCTTAGCATTTGTTTTAGGTAAATACAATTCGTCTCTCCACTTCCGGATTGATTTTTATTACACAAGTAATGACAATAATTTCTTTAGAAGAATCAAGTGTTATTTTTTATGGAAAAATTGTTTGAATGTCAAGACTAATTATTCTTAAGTTTGGTATATGCTATTAATCTTCATGAGGACTAATATCTTCAGTTTTTGCTATGTAACATTTTTAACAATTTGACTCTCCATCCTCTTTCAGATTTTTAGCCATTGCCCATCCCATGCCTCTTAAATTTAAATCAATCATAAATTTTAATGGATATGTTATTTTATTTTCATAAGTTTACCTAGCAAACAAAAGGCCATTTAGATTTAAGCCTTTTTCTATGAGTTAAGCTGCTTTTTTCATTGAATTTACATTTTAAAAACTTAATTTTAAAAAAGGTTCTTTTTGATAATTTTAACCTTTATAATTTCTTATAATTTCACTCTCGACAACAGTAATTTCTCTAATTGCTTATGATTCAGTGGTAATCCCATTTTTATAAAGATAATTATTAAATTACAGTAAAAAATAATCAATATCTTTATCATCTCTAACTAATTTTGAAGGAAAAGAAATATAGAAATAAGGAAAATAGTCTATTATCTTAATTTCTAAAGATTGTTGTTTATCTGTAATACCAAACAGTCTAATTTAATTTGTATTCTATTTATAATCACAATCTAGAATTATAAAAGTTAATTAATCTAATTCTTATATGGGGACTCTTCTATATTGATTTAGAGTGGATGAAAAAAGTGTATTATTGGAAGTTTAAGCATTCTGATTGACTTTAGAATATGTTGTTTAAAACATCCCCTCTTAATAAACAGTTTCATTATAATCAATAGTTTTGTGAATATCATCCTTGTATTCGTTCATTGTAAATATTAATATTATTTCCCATTTCTTTAATTGCTATTTCTGATTAATGTTATAATCTTAAATGAATTAAAATAATTTTTGAGAGCCAAAATCAAATAATGAATTGAATAAAAAGAATCTGTTGAATATATATAATATGATTAATTAAATACTTTATAGATAGACATTATTATATATAGTTAAAGTATTGAATAGAAATCTAATTAGCTTAATTTAGTGCCTTTAATAAAATATTAATTTTATTTAATAAGTTTTATAAATGATAACTCCTTAAGAATAACTTGATATCAGTACTTTAACTTTTAAATTTAGTCATTAAGAAGATTAAGTCATATTTAAATGGAAAATCTCAAACTACAATAAGAACTTTAGGAAAAACATTTAGAGGTTTTGAATCTTTCGATCAAAAATGTAGAATTGATAAAGATGAATTTTTGATTGGATTAAAATAAAATGGTGTCGTACTAACTAAATTTTAAACAGATGTAAACATTCATGTTAGTTTAGTTTCTGTTAAATTATCTTGATAGAAACAGAGATGGATCTATTGATGTTGCTGAATTTCTTTATCTAATTAGAGTATTCATAATTATCAATTAATTTAGGGATCACCAAATGAAAATAGATTAAATGTTATTGTTCAAGCATTTAGGAAGTTTGATCAAGAAAATTTGGGATTTATAGTTGCAGATGATTTCAAGGGAATATTTAATGCTAAAAACCATCCTAAAGTAACTAGAGGAGAATTAACAGAGGATCAAGCTTACATAGAGTTATTACAATATTTCAAAGAAGGCAATAAGTCAGGCCATATTACATTGAATGTAAATTATAGTCATACCTAAAATTTAGGAATGGAAGGAATACTATGCGGCAGTTAGTGCTGACATCGAATCAGATGAAAACTTTATTGCTTTAATAAAAGAAACCTGGAGATTAAAATGAATGAATTTAATAGATAAGTATCATTATTACATCATGATTCTCAAGACTCAGATTCATTATTTTAATAAATTTCCTCCTTTTCTTGTTGATTTTCAATTTACTATTCGTTATTATTCTGAATACTATTGTTTTTCTTTTCGCTTTCTTTTTGGATTTCATTTTATTCTTCTATTTAATTTTAATCTCCATTTTATTTCTCTTATGATATTTTCATATCTTTTTATTCAATTTCCTACTCTGATTCTGAACTTGATTTATTTTCTAGCTTCTCCAATCTTCTTAATCTTTCATGAGATCTCGACCTTGAACGAGACGATCTAATTAATAACAATATAATTACTTCTTTAATATTTTTTTTGATTTCACTACAATTTACAAAATTAATGGTTTTATTAATGCAGGATTGATGTCATCTTATCCAATTTTACTATTATCCCTAATAGGATATACTATCATGTGGACCCAACCATTTTGGAAGTGAGATGTAACTTCATTAATTTATAGTTTCTCAACTTCTACTATTCCATCCTCTAGCCAAATATTATCTTCAGGTAATCTTAAAATTCCCTGGTTTTATGAATTGAGTTGCAATAACATTGGTTTATCATCTGATGAATATAGTTGTATCTCTAATTCTATCTTATTTTTATTTTTAATATTTTATCCTTTCATATCTTTCAGGGCAATTTCAAGGTTAAAGTTCTTGTCCTTAAATAAAACAGTATCTAAGTCATTGATCAATATCAATTAGTATTAAAATTCATTTAAACTATAAGTTAAAGATTTTAATAGCACATTGTTATGAGTCATTTCTTAATGAGGGATTGATACTTAAAGAATAGAATTTAGATTATTACATCTACTAACAAAATCTTCTGTCTATCCATTATCGAATTTTTATTCAACAATTCTTTATAGATTCGTTATCTCATCCAATATCTATGTTATAACACTCTCCAAATTGGCATTTTTATTCTTAAAGTCCAATAGCATCTAATTTTGTTAGACAAACATATTTAAAATTTTTAATTAAAACTCGTTCACAACTTATGAAAACCCTAAAACATTATTAATCATTCATTTACCTTATTCTAAGTTATTTGATTATGACATACTATTATTATTTGTATTTGAGCTTGCCTGAGTTTATGTTTATGTTTAAGGTGCCTATTGTTATTATTAAATTTGCTGTTATTATTGTTATTGTTATGGTTATTGTTATGAATGCGGCTATTATTATTATTATTGCTATTGTTATGGTATCATTTGATTCTGTCCTAATTACTATTATAATTGTGGCTATTGTTTAAATGGAAAATCAAAATTTGGCATTTGCCCTAGTGGTCCTTGAGGAATGGGGCCCATTCCAGGTATTTATATTGGTCCTGGACCCATAGGTCCCATAGGACCCATTGGACCCATGGCACTCATTGGACCCATAGGACCCATGGGACCTGGGCCCATTGCTCCTGGAGGTAATTGGCCTGGTCCCATGGGAGGCATACCAAATCCAATTGGCATTGGAGGCATATTTGGTAAACCCTATGGCATACCATTGATATTCATTCCACCTTGATTCGGTGGAAGAGAATTCATTTGAAGGGCTGGGTCATGCATAAATTAATCTGGAAATGGATATTTTTAATTTGGAGGAGGTGGCATCATTGGTTGAGGAAAAGGCGGCGTCCAACATTAGTAATATTGAGGATTTGGCAAAGGTAACATTCGTCCATATGGATCTGGATTACCCATTTGTTAGAACATCTACTAGTAAAGTCTCTACTACTCTTCATTTGGATTCATTGATATGTTAAATAAATTATTATGAAATAATAGCACATTTCACTCCCCAATTTATCAAAGTTACAAAATCTTCCTTCGAGCGATAGAAGTCCTAGAACTGTAAATACGCCTTCAAGAAAAGCAAGTGAAGTGCTGGTTAAATTTAACTTCCATCTCAATCCTTCTTTGCACAAAAAAAAGTAAATAAAAAATACCACTAATAATGAATTCCAGACAAAAAAAATAAGTAAGGTTACACGAAATATCATGGAACTTGTAATATTTTATTTCTATATATTTCCAAGAGGAGGAGGAAAAAAATGAAATGCGATTCACTCTAAATAAAACCTAGAATTCAAGCATGTAAGACAAACAAAGGAGGAACAATTTCAGTACTAAAGAATAACGAATAATGCAGATCCTATTTACATAAAAAATATAAAGATTAAATTTATACTGGAGCCTCTGAATTTAGTGATAAGAGTAAAGATAAATTGAGATTGCAGATGGTCAAATGGTTAATAGATAATAAAAAGGAAGTTGTTTGTGCTTTGAATGAAAATAAACAAAATATTTTAGAATGGGTTCAATGTGTTGAAAAAGTAGACAGAGATGAGTTTGACATCATACTTCATGGAATCTAGTTGTACAAAGATCCAAATCTAATAAATCGGTTATTTTGGTATCAAATATGAATTATTTAGGGTATTTGATTTAAATGATGATGGATATATTGAATTCAATGAAATACAATATTCAATAAACTTATTTAGAGAATATGATTAATAGGACAAGATTCAGATATTTTTCGAGCTTTGTGATGAAAATGATGATGGATATATAAATGAGGAAGACATCAAAAAATTTTTCTCCAAGAATCTTACCAACTAAGAAGAGCTTAGACAAATGAAATTTTAAATGAAAGATTTCTATTAAGAACTAAATCCTCATAATTTTAAAGGATTAAATGCAGAAGATTTATACAAGGCTACTTTAAGCGATCAAAATATAAGGATAATTGTTGAAAAAAATACTTTGATTCTTAAATCAAATAATAAAAAAGAAGATGATATAGGATCAAGCCTTAATAATCTCATTTATTCTGGATAATAGTAACGTTTATAGTAATATTTTTAGTGAAGGGAAACAAGGAATATTTTTCCCTTAGATTGAGGGTTTGATTGATGCATTAATTGAGAAGGATAGAATTATGATGCAATACAAATAAATTAAATTGGATTTTGATTAGATTGAAGATAATTCTGATTGATTTAATATTTTATATATATAAATTTCAAATTTGAAAAAAATGGCAGGTAAAATATAATCTGAGTCTTTAGATCAAATGGAAGAGAGAGCTTAGAGAATTTTCGGAAAGCTATAATCAATATAGAACAATGTTGAAGGGGAGAAATAATAAAAATTCAAATTAATATTGGGATATTTGTAGAGTGTTGAATCCGCAATTGAAGATGTTTAATAATAGAAAAATTAAAAGTTTTTAGATATTGCAGAAAAAGTATTAATTTAATTGAATCAAGTTATAAAGATTGAAATCAATGTTAGACACAGAAAAGGAGGCTAGAGATTAAATCAATGAAAAAATGAAAAAAGAAATATTATCAGTTGAAAAGAATTGTAAAACTCTTTTGAATAGTTTCAGCAAAGAAAGATTGGAAACTGAGAAGAGAGTGTTTTAAAATCTTTCTTAATAGGTTGATTAATTATCAACAGAAATTTAAAAAGAATTTCATTAAAAGTCTGAGACTTAAAATAAATTATTAGAAATCTAAAATGGTATAAATTCTAAGTAATAAAATAGAGTAAATCCCTTAATTCTACTAAGAAATAGAATAAGAGATTAGAATAAGAGAGGAAATTGAAGAAAAAATTGCCCAATAATTTAATGAGTAATTGGATGAACTCAAAAGAATTTTTGATAGTCAATAAAAGTAAAGAGAATAAAGAGAAGAGGAAATCATTGGAATTTTAAAGAAGATTTACTAGAATGCCTATGATGCATGCAAAAGGAATAGAGCTGACAGAGAAAGAAATGAAGAATTATTAGTTAAATTAGTTGAATAAGTAGTTGAAAAAATTAAAAGAGAAATAGTTGATTCTGATTTTTGAAAAATATTATTAATATTATTATATGATTTTAATCTTGCAATTAATTTATAACAATTTGTAGTTGATTCTATATATAAATATTCAAATTTAGACATGCACCAATATCAAAGTAATGTCATCTCTACTACCATCATTTTGATCCCATTTTTAATAGGTTTCCCCTAATATTTTTTAGACTCCCAAATCAATATCTAATTGGGTAAAAGGAGGATCAAGTTGATCTATCATCTTTTGAACGCTTTCAAAATCCATTTTATCCCAAAGTCCGTCACTTGCTAATAAAATAAATCCGTTATTTTATATTTTATATCTTAAGATTTCAGGATCAGCAATAACTCCCACTGATTTCGCTGCTACATCACCAAATGATCTTGACATTGCCAACCCAGGTACGTCTTCATTAGCAAGCCAAACTCTAAAGGGTCCTTATCTTTTTCCATCGATCAAACTTTATTCAACTCTACCTCCAAATTTCATTATTCTTTTATATTCAAAAGTCTTATTCGGTTTATGATCGTAAGATAATGGTCTATTGTACCATAGATCTTAGGATTTATAAAAATAGACAGCCCTTGAATCTCCAATATTTGCACAATATATTCTTGATCCAATCAACAAAACAACTACCCCAGTAGAACCACTAAAATTGCATGCAATATTTGTTTTATCTACCTAAATTAAATTAAATTATTACTAAATCGTTTTCTACTTGTTAAAAAGCAATTTATAATGATAACGAAAAATAGTTAGGATTGTTGGCATTATTTTGCACCAACTAATTTTCTATAACTTTTATCATATGTCGTGATACAAATTATGATACTAAATGCCCACTTTGTCCATGTCCATCAAAGATTCCAAAGAAATGCCAATCATTTTGATTACACAGATTTTTTTTTATCGCAAGACAATCTTAATTAATTTTCTATTTCTTTCTATGATTTTGACCAGGAAGTGTTCTACTGTTTTTCAATATCATACTTTGATGCTACTTAAATTAACAATTCTTCCTCTTATTATATTTCAGTTTAAATTCTCTTCATATGATCTTTTTATATTGGAGGCAATTTATCTACAATACTCAACATAGATTAATGATTTATTTTCCTTAAATTTTATTTCTAATTGGTGGTACTAATAGAACGAGGAATTTTAAATTATCTTATAATGTCTAATTTTTAATTCATATATTTTAATAATATCACTAAAATGGTCCAACTCTTTATCCTTATAATTGCATCTATGTGCTTCTTACATTAAATACTCCTTCAATTATTGTTTATTGAGTCTCTCCTACCACTTACTTTTCTCCTAAATCAATGTTGAAATTCTTAACAAATAATGGATTTGGATTTGATAACACATCATCATTGCAAGATAACCCATCCAAATATTATTTGAGTAAAGATTATAATTGATTACTTTCATTTTGTAATGCCTCTTTTTATTTTTAGATTGCTAAAATATCCAATAAGACCTAATACATAATATACATTATACACCTTATTGTATCTTTTGTAGAAATTATTTAGATATGCAAATTCTTCATATTCTTCTTTTTCAATGGCTTCAAAGTCGTTTTTTAAGTTCTCTGGAATCTGATCCAAATCTACAGTATCTTCATAAAAAGGCAAGACCTTTTCTCTTTCAGTTTCCAATCTTCTACATAATTCAGCTGTCTTAAGTATCTTTTCTCCTAATTCTTTGTAATCAGTTAATTTTAAAACTGCATTTCTACTATTGTTAACCAATTCCTTTAATAATCTTGATTGTTCCTCTCTAAATTTATTCATTTTTAATTTCAAATCCTGATAATTCTTAGCAATATTCTCTTTTTCTTTTTTTAAGGCTTAATTTCTTGCATTGCATTCTTTTGTATGTTATAAAATTTTATATTTAGTTAAATCAATTTTTGCTTTCTTGCTGGCAATAGATCTTACCAACCTTTCAATTTTCTTAGACATATCCTTATTAGCATCGTAATATTTAGTGTGATCTTCAGTTTTCTTTGCAGTATCTGATTAATATTTTTGGTGCATTTACTCTAAATCATTATAAAATTTAGTTTGCTTATCTTCTAATTATTATTTCATTTGACTGGTATCCTCTACATCTTTATTTTTAGTTTCTTCTCTATTAGTTTGATGTTAGTTTTTGGCTTATTCTGCTTTTCTTTTCTCTTCTTCTTCCACCGTCTTAATCATGTCTTCCAACTCTTTAACTTATTATTTATGTGTTTTAGTCATATCATCGAATTCGATTTAGAATTCTTCCTAAAGTATTTTGATATCTCTTTCGAACTCTTCTAAGAGTGCTCTGTTTCTACTCTCCTATAAAAGATGAAAGTTTTCAAGATGTATAAGATGATTTCTTAAAGCGATTTAATATTGATCTTCAGCTTCATCTAAATTCTTGTCTAACATCTGAATGAATGCTTCTTTAGAATCTAATTCTCTTTTATTATTTTGTGAATATAATTCTATGTCAAGTTTCAATTATTCAGTCTTAACTGCTCTCATAGTTCTTCTCCAATAAGCCATAAGCTTTTTTGTATTAAAGTTGACTATCTTTTATTCTTCTCTAATTTTACTTCGCAGTTACTCTTTTTTAAACTATGTCTAATGCTTAAATTACTTGTGCCTATTTTTGACTTTCTTCAAATTCTTATTGTGATTTAGTAATTTATCTGATTTTAATATTTCGTTTTTGTTCGGTCCCTCCAGCCTTAGTTGTTCTGCCTTTAAGAGTTTTTCCTAACAAAGCCATAAATTAATAATAATAAAGAAAATTAGATAACTAAATTAAAAAATTCATTTTTTTGGGACAGAAGTTCCTTTGTAAAATGTCTAATAATAAGATTGGTCTTTATCAACTGATGATGATCTATCTTGATTTCTGGATTTTCTTGGAAATCTGCCATAATATTCTGACAATATATAATTTCTATTGACAGGAGTCTTTAACTTTAGGACCTTTATATCGTTAGATTACTAGAATTAACCTCCATCTAACACTGTAGTTTGTTGTAAATCTAAAGTTATTTTCCTTCTCACATCAACAGAATGATTCAGGATAGTAGGAGATTATTATTAAATAGTGTTCTAAGTATTAACGGAATTGTTTAATCTTGGTTTGGTATCAATAAGGGAATCCTCCAATTACATTGTATTATTATGTCGACCTAATAAATGTATATTTGCTCTAATGTACTTTATCGTTGTATCAATGGTAATGGATTGGTGGGGACGGTTTATTTTCTATCAGTGTATGTTGATTGTCTTATGGAAATTCGTTACGGTTCAAATACATCAGAACTAATATCTAATTTTAAATTTGGAATGCGAACCTGCTATTGACTTATTTCCAGCAACGATGTATTTTTTGAGTAATAGATAATATGTTGTTGTAACATGATTGTGTCGATTAGTTTCAATGCACTTCTCAGCATATTCTGCCGCGATTCCATACTGAATCAATGATTTTAAAATTTCTGGATCAATGGGAATCTTATGATGACCAACAATCAGTCCAGTTGGTATCTTTTAATTATCTTTTTAAAACTTGATAAGATGATAATTATACAAAAATTAAGCCAACAGTGCTTTCTTATTTCGAGAATTGTATATCTTTTTTATGGGTCAGTGTTTAAAACATTTTTAATCAGGTCTTTTGCATCATTGGTAAGATACTTCGGGAACTTGAAATCCCCAGATATTATTTTCTTATATAATTGGGTTGTGTTTGGATCTTCAAATGGTAAATAACCTGCTAACATTGCGAAAAGTATCACTCCTGAACTCCAAATATCCACCTAAAGTCCCGAATATCTTTTTCCAGCTATCATTTCGGGAGCAGCATAACAAGGGGACCCACATGCTGTTTTCAACAGATCATCTTATTTATAAAAATTTGACAATCCAAAATCGATAATCTTTATTTTTCCTCTGCCATCAAGAATCAAGTTCTCAGGCTTTAAATCACGATGCACTATATGCAATTTGTGCAAATACTCTATTCCAGATATTAATTAACTGTAGAATCGAACAGCCTCAACATCTTTTATTCTCTAATTTTAAACGATATACTCGAAAAGTTCACCCCCATTAACATATTCCATCACTAAAAATAATTGTTTAGGTGTTTCTATTATCTGATAAAAACCCAAATATACTTCATATAATTATACTAAGTTAGGATGTCGAACTTATTTCAAAATTTGAATCTCTCTTGTTACTCTTTCTACGTCAGAAGCATCAGCTATCTTTTACTTCTCTAAAATTTTGATAGCTACTTTCTCTCCAGTCAAAACGTGAGTTGCTAATTTGACTTTACCAAAAGTGCCTTCGCCTAAAGTTTTTGCTTTTTTATTTAATTATTTATTGCTTACCAAATAGATATTATCCAATAGACTTATTCTTCGTTAGATCATTCGTCATTTTTATAATACTTATTTATTAATTATAACTAAAATTTTCATCTATTCTTATAAAATGAATTTTATTCAAATATATATACAAAGATGCTTAAAATTTAGATTTTATCTAACATTAATTATATATATCTAAATCCAAATTGTATCCATTAGTTCTATTCTAATTTAATTGGATCATTTATAAATTTAATACCGTTTATATACATAATATCAATGTATTTTATATGGACATATAATCTTGAATATGGATTCTTATTCAAAAATTTAGGTAGACCAAAACATTAGAACATATAAAAATAATATAATTGTTATTTAAGTATGAGTATTATCATTGTTTCGTAATTCTAAGAAAATTCTTAAAGGTTTGTAATAAATATGATAAATTTAAATCATATTCAACGATTTTATTAATATTCTCACTGAAAGGGTACATTTTGAGTATTAAAAAAAAGGAGAAATTATCAACAGACAATTCTAAAAATTGGATTTCAAAATTAATTCAACCAAAAAGAGTAAAAAAAGTTCCTAAAAATAATGAAGATTGGTTTTGGTCTTGCTAGATATATTAATAAAATTATTAATTATTAAGAGGATGGAATATAATTCTAATTATTTTTTCAATTCTACTATTAAAGAGCAAAGAGAATTTTGGAATAGAAATTTTCATATTTTATTGAAGAATCATGAAAATTTTGAGATACAAAATGATAATTGTACTAGTTTTTATAAGAGAAGCAAGATTCTTAAAAAATGGATACCTCGATTTTATTCTGTATAGGGCAATTATTTATTGTATGGTGATAGGGTACATTTATACCATTATCAAGAATCTCAAAGGTTTTAGAAAGCTAGATTGTGTATACTTGATGTCTAGTATAGAAGGAGGCCCCTATAAATATAAATTGGAGTTGACTTACAGTGGTTTTACTTTAGAATTGTACACTGATCAAAAGAAGGATTATGACAGTTTTAAGGGAACTCTCTAATCACATTGCATTTTAACTGATTTTCATACTTAATATACGTTATTAAGATAGATAGGATTTGGATCTAGTGCTCAAGTATAATATACCAATTTTCGTATAGGTCTACATAGCCAGAAGTAATTACGATTTGCAACTCTATGCCATCAAAAGAGTTCAAAAAAATTATACAGTCAAATAAAAAAAATTTGAATAAGAATAAGCATTGCGAAACGAAATTTAAATAATGAAGGAACTTAATCATCCAAATATCATTTCATTCTATTCAGTGTTTGAAACTAATAGTACTTATAAATTCTATGTTTAAAGAACATATAAATTTTGTTTTAGAATTAATTCAAGGGGGAGAATTACTTAAGTAGGGATAATACAAAAGCATTAGAGACGCAAGAATTGTTGCTAAGCAACTAGCTTTATGTTTGGATTACATGCATTAGAAAGGTATAATGCATAGAGATTTGAAACCATAAAACATTTTATGCAAATCTAATTCCCTTGACATATTGATTGCTGATTTTGGTTTGGCCACTTACATCAAGGATTAAAAGCAATAGTATTATCGTTGTGGAACCACTGGATATGTAGCTCCAGAAGTCCTAATGTATAAAGAGGGTTCTAAGATGTACAATGAAAAATGCGATATCTTTAGTCTTGGAGTCATATTCTATCAATTGTATCTATTTAAAAAATAAAAGGATTTTCAATGTTCACCCCTTCAAAGACAGCACCAAAGCAGGGATGTTGAAAAAGAATTTAGTCGCTGACTATAAGTTGGATGATCAAACAAGAGCACCTTAGAGTTGTAAGGATCTTATTGCTTCTATGTTGAGAGTGAATCCAAAGTAAAGACCTTCAGCTTCTTAAATTTTAAGACATGATTTCTTTAATGAAGCATTAAATGAGTTGTCTTATCCAAGTTTGATTGGCTCTTTTCAAGAGTATATAAATTTATTATTATACTTAGTATAAGTGATCAGAAGAAATCAGGTCAATCCTTTAATTCTCAAGTAGGGGAATTAAAATTATCAACATTTCAAAAGAATGGTCAAGTGTCTATTTTTGAAAAAATGCCATTAAATATTAAATCGGCAAATCAGAGTTTGGAATTTAAAGAACTCTCTCCTCTTTGGAATAAAAGGATTACTTTATAATAACCATTAACCTAACCAAGATCTAAAGCTCAATCGATGTAGACGAATAGAAACTTCGATATTAGAAGCTAAAAAGTATCCATATTTCAATAACATTCTAAAAATTCAGATAATGATATTGAATATCATTAAGTCCCTTATTAAACCATAAGCAATAGATGTACTATTAAAAATAAATGATAATTATTAATACTATAATAAATAATAACATATGTATTACATCTATATCATTATTCATTCTAAAATACTGATATTAATCTTGTTATATATTAATATAATTTATTTTATTTTGCTCAGTTCTAACTATGTTAAATTTGTTTTGTTTCCTTTTCTTTAAATTCTTTCAGGTCCAATAATTAAATCTTTTTAGATAAAATAACACATTAATCTTCAGATTTACCTGAATACTTGAATTTATCTTTTATTGTGACGATATCAAAAGAAATTTAAATTAATATTATGAATCATTCAGACGGTGCTTAATCCCCTCCATATTTCAGTATGTATCCGCTACCCTATTGGCCAACAAGCTCATAATTACTCTTAATGATGAACTTTCAGAATCCTTTGATGAGTCCAATCCATAATTTAGGTTCTCCAATTTTAACTTCTCATTTAAGTTTTACCTAGCCAACCATGAATTGTGATATAAAATACGAATAAAGTAATATCCAAAGCTTAATCATTTTAGATTCACAGAATAAAGAAACCATACAAAGTAAATAACCAGAAAAATATACCAGCCAAATTTAAATCATTGCTGAGCAATTAGATGACATGAATTATGACGAAATCACCATAGAAAACCTTGAACAATTAATCCATTTGTTGTTTGCTGAATCGCCTAAACTTAAAAAGATCTAATAATAACTTAAAGAGAAAAAATGTCTTAAGGTTGTTAAGATTCTAGAGACTTTAGCCAAAAAAATCAGAACACAATCCAAAAGCAGAGAGGAGTTGATCAAATTTTGTCTAAGAAAGGCTTTCAGAGAGATCTTCCATAAAATTTAAGCAAAAAGTACTAAAACAAGTAATCAAATCTTTAAATATGTAGAACTGAATCTAAAGGCAGCTTCCAAAATATTTCAGTAATCCTATTAAGCTGAAAAAATGAAATCAATATCATTGCCATTCAGAAAAAATAGTAGGAATAAAACGATGAATAATCATTTTCTACATGAATTATTCTAATCCAAACAATTTTAGGATCAATATAAAACATTCCTTGGTATTTATCGACTTCTTATTATTAGTAAAGTTAGATACCATCATTGAGAATGATAGAAATAAAAAAATAAAAGCAATTGCTGAAAAGTCATGGGAATTCATCTAATCCAACAGAAAAGTAAACAAAATTATTCACTATTTATAGTCATACACTTTCAAAAGATTACCTTGGTCAATTAAAAATATAGAAAAATTAAAAGAAACCGCAAATGAGATGCTCAATTACTGTGATGATTAAAAATTTATTTGAATTATTATCATTAATAAAATATATATAAAGATATAACTGAGTTAATTTAAAGATTATGATCATTAAAGATGGCTTCCACTAATAATTTTTAAATAAATTAGAGAAACCAAAAGTTTGAAAATGTTTCGAATATCACAATGCACTCCTAGACATTGTGCTTGCACTCAATAACCATGTGTAAATATGCTTTAGTAACATAGACAATAATTTAAGAAATAGAAATCTTTAGTGATTTTATTATGCAATCCTTATTCAAATAATGAATTAGCTATTTTTACATAAATTTATTGTTTCAAGGAATGTACACATTTTATATTTAAGAGCAGCACCATTAAAATATATGATAATTTTATTTTTGATTAGAATTGCTATTTTCTAATTTATCACTGGATTTATTTTATTAAAATCATATTTTCAAGAAAATAAATAATTTATATCACTTTTAAGGAGACATTTATTTAAAAGACAGTTGTATGATAATATAAACTGATTATATTCGTTAATTCATGAAAAAATTTTGATTCTTTTTTCTTTGTTAAATATTTAAATTAATTAATATATATAATATTAACAAACTAAATTTATTTTATTCCTATATATTTTTAGAAGTAATTTGCAAAATTTATTAAAAATAAATCTCTCTTCTAAAAGTATCCTTAGAACATATATAATTGCTTATTTAAGTAAAATATATATTCCCAATTTATTTATTCTTTATAGAAATAAAAAATAATTAAAAATGCATTTTGTCTTAACAAATTTATAAATAGACTTCAATCGAATGAAATATCCTTCGCTTATCTTGCTAAAGGTAAAATAATGATCATATTAAAAATATTATTATTAATAAATGAATAATAATACTAATAATGGATTAAATGATTAAGAATTGCTAAGACTTATAAAGTAAGAACTACATTATCCAAATTCACCTGTTTATGATTAGATAAGTGACTAATATTCCTCTGTAAGTGATGAAGAAGACATCATTATCAGAGAACCAGCCTCTGAAATATGTACAGCTATATAAATTAAATATTTTAGCTGATGAATCAAGCAAATCTCAGTAATTTGAAAAGAAACAAGGAAAATGGAAATATGTACTCAATAAATTAATATTGTTTTAAAGTGTTGTAAAAAATGCACAAAATCTGACAAAGGTTCTCTTAAACCAAAGACTTGTGTATGCATAGTTCCAGCATCATAAAGAAGAATCTAGATTGGAGAATAGGGATGTCTTTCTTGTCATTGTACAGGATGTTCAATAGAAGATGAAAAGAAAAAACCAAAAATGATCAAGAAGAAAAGGAAATCCTCTTCTGTTTCTAGTTCGGATGAGTCTTCGGAATTCAATACTGTAAATGGATGTTGCAAGAAATGCATGAAAGCCTTTTCAAAAAAGGGTAAAGAAGCTAAAGTAAAATATTAAAAGATGATAAATAGTCTTGTTTATGTCAAGTTCCAAGGGCTGTTCGAAAGAAACCTTTACCTGCACATGGTTGTCAGTACTGCGGATGCCATGGATGTAATCCTTAGGATAAAAAAAAAAAGAAAGTTAAGAAAAATAGTCGACAGCTTTCCCCTGTTTCAAATGAAGCGAATGAGTAGAATCTCAACAACTTTCAAATTACTCGTACTATTAGGTTATGATGTTAGCTTTAATATAATGGCTTAAGGCATAAAATCTCAACCCAGGCATTTTAGGAATTGGAATACCATAAAGGACATACTCATATATTTATGGGAAGGAATAAGGACGTTGAGAATAAAAACTTATAAATTTATTTATAATCATAAACTCTTTTAATCACTAAATGGACGAGGACGTAGTAATTTTATTATACAATAGATTAAATAATTTATTTATGGATTATAATTCAAAAGTGTACCTATAAATGTAGCATACATGTGTCAAGCATTGCACAAATACTCTACTCAAAGCCTAGTTGGACCCATTAGAAAACCTTTGTTTAAACAGATGTGTTAACAAATACGCTGAAGCCATTGATTTTTCAATGCAATAATTCAAGTAGACAATTTACTCATAGAAGGTTGCACACTTTAAAGCAAGAGGAACTAGCCAAATAGCAGCAGTTAATGCAATAATAAAAAGAAATGGTAAAATCATCACTTTTTGGTAAATGATTAACAAAGTTATTTTATATTAAATAATAATATTACAATTTACAATCGAATCTAAATTTTACAACCGATTCCCTTTATGTAGTTCCAGCTCAATCTTATTAAATTGATACTTATTCCTAATGATATCAAACTATAAGTTTTAAGGTATCATTACTTTGCATTATAATAAACGATTGAAATTTATTTTCTCTTCTATTACCAAGGATTCAACTTCTATAGCTCTAATAAATGAATAATTCTTTGAACTTTATTTAATTACCCTATAAAGATTTTTATGACTCCTGAAATCAATTTTACCAAATTCATTCTGCTATTGTTTTCTTTTTCTGAAAATTCAATTGTATGTAAGTATAATTAAAGTTGAGTTTTACATCTACCCAAGATTTCTCCTTAAATGGCTCGAAATAAATCTTACTGTATCATCCTAATAGTAAATTTGTACATCCTAAGTAGATGCTCTTTAATTATGTGGCACAAAAGGGTATAATAATGTAGAAAATAAGAGATTAAAATGAATCCAAACATTTAATATCTTTAACTTGTTCTGCCTCCTATTAACCTTTCTTCTCTATTAAGATCTATTAACTTCCAAAAAATTGTAATAACACAGAATAAGTATTGTCTAAATAAAATTTTAGAATGTATCCATTATTATCGGAAGAGTCATTAATATTTTATTAGCAGCTAAAATAAAATTAGGAATCATTTAAAAGAGAATGTAAAGCATCAATCTAATCAATTTTTTGAATTTGTATTTTCTATTTTGCAAATAAAATTATTCTAAATAGCTATAAATTAACAAGAAATGGGAGATAATACTTTACAAATGACATTCCTTCTTAATTTACAATTGAAACTGTATTTATGCTATTTCATTCTGAACCAAAGGCTCTATAATAGTAATGTCTGATGCTTCTATATAATTAATGGATGTTTTTATTAACGATAGAATTATAGGATCTGAAGAGATTCCTAAATATATTATTCAAATGATATAAATTTTTTTATCAATGTTCATATTATTTATATATAATTTCTCAATAACGTCTTGCATAACTTCTAGTTGTGGTTGTTGATGTTTAATTCATAATTTAGGAAGATGATGTTTATGATGGTGGTTATTAACTGGATGAGCCAGACTAATAAATGGATGAAGCTGTCACTGGTTTTTGAGTGCTTGTTTATTAGACCTATGAAGCTGTGGGGAATAAATTTTATCTATATCCACTAGATCTGTTTGATTGACTATCATCTATTTATTAGTAGGATGTCTAAGGTTGTTTATTCACTTATGTGGTAATGGTTGTATTGAATTAATTAGTTTGATTTGTACTTTAAGGAGGATTATCTGATCTTAAGTCTTTCACTACAGAAGCATACTTGTTATTCCAAGTTTATAAGTCCTATGCAATAAATATATATTATTACAGCTGTTTAATTGGAAATAATATTCTATTGCCTCTTGATTTCATTTTATAAATCATTGATTTATTGATTCAATTTCTTGATATCATTTTATTGGTTATCAAAGTTCTTCTTGCTTGTGTTCAAATCAGAATTTAAGCTATTCACTTTAGCTTCTAATTCTTTCTTTAACTTTTCTAGATTTGATGAATCCTATTAGAATTTGTCAAGTTTCTTCTTCAAATCATCTAATTCTCTGTCTTTTGCTTAAATTGCTTATTACAATTTACTAATTTCTGTATTATCTTTCTTGACTTTTTATAATTCAACATCCATTTGATTGAATCTAAATTAAAAACACATATTACTTCTTTTTAATTTCTTCATTCTCTTTTGATCTCTAAGCAATTTGATCTTACAATGTTTTCAGATCATTTGGATTTGTATTATCAATAACCTTAACTTATTTAACAACTGCCTCTTGTTTTGTGTTCTATGCCTTTAATGCATTAATTTCATTATCTTTGGCTGAAAACTTATTCTTTAATTGTTCAAACTCTCCATTGACTGAATTGTATAATTATTGGAATTAAGTTTTCTATTTATTGGCATCATCAGCTGCTAATTGTAAATCAGCCAATTTTTATCTTAAGTCTCCTAATTCTTTGGTTTGTTAATCAATTAATTATTTCAATCTTTAGTTTTCAGCTTCAAGAGGCTTTAATTAGGCAACTTATCCTTCCAAAGTTGATACAGTCTTGGATTATGCTGCATTTTCATCATTCTTAACTTAGATTTGCTTTCCTAATTACTCAATTTCTGCTTGTAGTTTGGCAATTCTATCCAAAAGATTATCTCTTTCAGCCGCTAACTGTTTAGCCTATTTATCTAATTAACTTAATTGATCCTTTAGATCAGCAGTCACTAAACATCTAATATAATATAATTAATATATTTTACTCTCTTTCATATAAAGCCTTGTATTTAATAAATTCATTTTAGAATCCATTCAATTATTCAATGACTTTCTACATGGAGTTCATCTCAGATACTTAAGAATTAAACTTATTAGTCAAATCAGTTAATTATTATCTCAATTTATTATTCTCATCTAGTAACTTTTACAATTATGCCTACAGATCTCCAATTTATTTCGATCTTTATTAATCTAATTATTAGAGTTGATTTTATAAGTCATTAATATGAGATTCTAATTCACTGATATAATTATCCTTTTCAGCTGAAGAATTGCTACTGCTTTATTATAAGTTAGTGATCTAAGTTTACAACAAACTATATTATTATTGAAGTTTATTATATAAGTCTTGAATGTTTCTTAACTTATTTAATTCTGCTTGTAATTGTCTCAATTAAGCATTGAGATCATCGATTTCTTTATCCTTCTATTCATTTTACTATTATAACTTGGCTAATTAATCTTATAAAACCTATTGTTATCTTTCTAAATTAGCAATATCCTCATTGACATCATCTTGGTTTCCTCCTCTCAATTCTAACATAGGATCTTACTAAAGAGATTCAGCTTTCAATCTTTATAAATATTCAACTTCAAGGAGCAAATACTTATATTTACTCTCATAGTATTCCTTCTCTCTTCTCAATCTATCATTGTCTACTCCTACTTTGTTTAGATCTGTCTTAACACTTTCTCTATTTTAGATTTCTTCTTATCTTACAATATCCAATTTATTATTTGATAATTGTAATTAATTAACTTGATTAGCTTCTAACGATTTATCGAAGTATCTTCCATAGAGGTCTTCATATTCTTTTGTCTTGACATTTAATTATTGAATCAACTCTTACGAATGTTATCTTAATAAATTAATAGTTTATTCCAACTCAGGAACTCTAGATTCTAAATGCTTTAAATTGAATATGGTTTGATTGAGATCATTCATTTTGGCTCTCATTTATTCATTTTCTTCAACCTTCATATTCAATTAAGTCTTCAATCGATCTATTTCTTAGATATATAAATGTTTTTCATTTTCAAGGATATTAATGTGATTGTTTAATTATTCAATTTATTACTTAAGTTTCTAAATTTATTAGTATTAATCAAAGTTTTCTCTTTGAAGTTCCTATATTTATTTTCTAAGTTGATTGATTTCATCTTAATCAACAATATGCTCAATTTAAGGTGGTGGTTGATGTAATTACCTTTGCTTCAACCTTTCAATTTCTAATTCTAATTATCTAGCTCTTATTTATTCTTATTTTAGGAGTTCAGCTGTAAATTATAAGTCAGACACCAATTACTCAGATTGTAAATACTTATCCTTCCAGTTCTTAATTAGTTATTCCTTTCTTTGAATCTCCAATGATTATTCATTCAAATATCCTTCATATTGAACTCTTTATTATTCATGCTACCTATCTTTTGCTTATAAATCTAATTCTTATTATAAATTGTCTTATCTCAATTTATTTAATTCAACTTTTAATTCTTTAATTTCTTTTTCCAATTATGCATTCTTTTCTTCAGCATCAGCCAATAATTATTAAACATCATGGAGTGTTTTCTCTAATTAATCATTAACTCTTTCAAATTGATTCCTTTCATTTCTGACCTTTTATAATTACTCATTCAAATGATCATTGATTTATAATAATCTTTAGTTATCTAATTTGAGTTCATTAAGTTCTCCCTCTAATGTATGATATTTATTATCAAGTGCAAGATTCTCATTCTATAATTATCCAAATTGAGTTTACAAGATTCCCTTTTCTGAAATAGCATCAGCCAAAAGGTTTCTCAATGTTGATATTTCATCTTCTAAGAATGGTATTTATTTTAATTAAGCTTCTTATGATGCTTTTATAAATGAGAGTTCTTCAACTTCCAACAATCTCTTTTAGATTTCACCTCTCAAATGATCTACTTCATCTCTAAGTAATTGCTTCTCCGATTCAAGTACTTGTACTTCTCCTTTATACAAACGTAAAGCTCCAACTTCTCTCAAAGCAGCTGCTAACTTTTCTTTGCAAGTAGTAAGTTCTTAAACCTTAAAATGAACCTATTATTTGAGATTCTCAACTTCTAATTTCAATCCTTAAAGATGATTTAATTCATTCTACAATTAATCAATAATCTCATCCTGTTATTTAATTTTGTCATCTCTAAGATTGATTCTCTCTTGCTTTGATGATAATTCTTATTACAGAGTCTTGATTGTTCCTTACAATGAGTCAATACTAGCATTTTCAGTTCTTAATTAAATGTTAACCTTTTCAAGGGATGAATATTTCAACCTCCAACCATCTAATTCAGCCTCTCTTTACTTAAGAAGTGATTGTAATCTATCAATTTCACTCTACATCTACAATAACTTATTCTCAGTAACAATTGTAACTGAAGATCCTCCTTACAATTTAAATAATTCAGCATCTCTTGTTTAGACATCATGATTTAAATCATCAATTTGTTGTAATTTCAGATCTAATTGATGTTGTACATTATGTAAATCAGATCTTAATTGTTCAATAATAGTAGTTTATTCTCTGAGTTCAGAAACTTAAGATTACAATTTACCTAATTCTTCCATCAATCTTTTGATTTCATCATTCAATCTAGCATTCTCATCATTAAGTTATTGCACATCATTTTCTAATTCCTCGTTTCTAGCCTACTCTGCTTAAATAAGAGTCTCATAATCAATGGCTTTTCCTCTCCAATCCTCACATTCTTATTGTGATTATGATAACTCCTATTTTAATTTAATTATTTGTTAATGTAAGCTCTCAACATCTCCCTTCTATTATGGCACTTCTTTTGGCTGTTGTCCCAACTATCCTTATAGTTTTTACAATTCTAATATAATTTCATTATTATTTACAATCTTCCAAATCTTTTTTTTCCTTCTCAGCTCTCAAGCATCTCTCCTTCCAATTACTCAAATCCTATTACAATTTACTGATTTTCTATTCCAATTCAGAGGTCTTCATGTCAGTGTTGTTGATGGTGCTTATCTATTTTTCTATAGTAACAAAACGATTTTTCCATTCATTAACTTATTTTTTTGATTGATCCAACTGCTTTTGTAATCTTTGGATTTCTTCATTCTAATTTTTTTGAGTCCTAATATGTTATTCCAATTCGTTTATTGATATTCTAGCTTAATCCAAATCACCTATCTTCTGTTTCAGCGATTGATTCAATTTCTTATTCTCTCCAATTAAAATTTCAACCCTATCTTATAATTGTTAGATCTAAGATCAAATCATTTTTATACAGTCTCTTCGTATGAAGTGTTACGATCCAGCTCAGCTTAAAGCTCCAGATATTTCTTGCGCCATAAATCTATCTCCTTTTACTGTTCGGCAATCCTCTATTCACAAAAAGTATGATCTGCTTCTTTAACAATTACTTATGTCTTTATTTGAGTCCTTGGTTACTCTTGTCTTACTGATCCCTTCTATTCTCTTACGATATATTCTTGTAATAAATATAGAACTATTACAAGTGACTGGTTGCATTGGCACAATCGTTTCCTGAATAGGAATAACTGTAGTCTCCCTGGGATTTTAAGACGTTCTCGGTGGAGACACAAAATGACGTACAGATGCAGGCAATACTCTACTCATTAAAATTTATTTTAATTAATAAATATCTATTTTTCTAGTTAATTAAAACCTGAATTTTGTTTTTATCAGAAAAAAAATCGTTATGATTAGATTTATAATAATTATAATCAAAATCGAGGAGACAAGGAAATCAAAGTAATCTAAAATCTACTCCTGCACTCTTCCCTAAACAATTACTACTCATTTTATTCCTAAATAAATCATATACATTTTTTTAATAATTTATGTAATTTTTATAAAAATCACATATTCCTAAAGCTATCCAAATAATTTAAGTTATTGAATTCCTCACAGAATATTTTGGAAAACTGCCTTAAAGTAAATTAATACATTAAATCAAGAAAGAATATACTAAAACTTTTTAATCCTTGAAATCTTAAAATTGTTTCTCAAATGGAGAAAATGGCATCTTATTGATAAATATGGATTGATGATATCAGATAATAATAAATTTAAAGAAGCAGACCATCGCGAAGATTCAGCTGTCAATTTATTCTAAGAGAAATGGGGAGGGTTACAAAAAGATCCTCTTATTGTGGATATCAAATTGGCCAAGGAACAACTAAAAAAAATCAAAGAGCCTATGTTAGAATTCAATTTTGGTTAATATGATATTATTGGAGACAAGTAAGTATCGATAATAAAAACACTCCCTATTCCTAATAGTCTAAAAAAGAGAGATTATGATTCCTAATTGAATATCCTAAGAGTATTGTCTTATTAAACTGTAGGTCCAAATAGGCGAAATTCTATATCTGCTACGTCCCTTAATTTATTGTTCTTGCATTCTAAAGTTTGGAACAAGAAGTTACTCACCTTACTTAATTTCATTATCAATTGATATCTTGAGATTCCTCATTTAATTCAAAATACAAATCTTTAGAAAAAGTTAGAAAGAAGAGCTCAGTCTGAGAGCCAAGGATGCCCTCGTAATGATTGCTTATATCTTAGATTTGCTATGTTCTTAGGGATCCATTTTATAGTCAAATCTTAAAGTAGAAGTGCTTAAACAAGATATTAGGATTATTTGTAAAAGAAGAAAACATACTTCATCGACTTGTAATCGGACTATTAGACTTAAGATCATCAAAATGTTTATTATTATGAAGTTAAAGTATTTGTATTTTTATAAATTATATTAAATGTAATAGTAAATTCATAATCTAGTTTTTAAAGATTTTTACTAAGAAATCAATAGATTAATTTATTAGTTTATATCTTTAATCTAAGCCAAGATTTAAATCAATTCTTATCTCAAAGTTTGTTTAACTCTCATGTCTGTCTCGATTTAAGCTTGTTTTACAATTGAATCATATTTTTAGTCAAGTTCCTCCAACATTAATTCCAATTTGATTATTTACCTTGATATATTCTCATACTCCTAAGTATCTTCATTATTCTTCTTAATAATTACAATACTATTGTCATCATCAGTAGTTAATTTGATTTACTCCTACTCTGAGGTTGGTGCTTGGGTAATGGAAATCTTTTTGACCTATTTTTTATTCGAAGTCTATTAGTATTAATCTTTTGAGTCCTGTCTTTACACCAATAATTATAATTCAAAGATTTTGCCATTCAATTACTCTATTTGTTTAAGTTTTTGAGATTCTATTCTCTCATATTATAATTTAAGTAGTTGAATATCTGAAAGCAATTAAGAATTTTATTATTTTTGCTAATCCAATTAGTTGACTAGATCAGCATTTTTAGATTATAATTATTTGATTTCAAATTCCATGTGTTGAAATTTATCAACAGGATATTGAGTAGTGTACCAATCTAAATATTGTTACAATTCTTGGACTTATTCTTTATATTATTTCATGTCTTAATTCATTTTGGACATACTCTCGTTCCATTATTTGCTGCTTTTTACAAATGTATCTAATTGTAATTGATAATTTAGAGTAATCTATTGATAGAATTAGTAGATTATACCTATTTTTCTTTTTAAAATTATTAATTTAATTAAGTGATCTTTTTTTTATAACTCTCATTTGTATCTAAATTCAAATTTAATTATTGTTATCTATATTAAGATATTTAGATTACATATTATTAATCTCTTCTGCTAATTCTCGAATCTTTGACTCATTCTAACTAATCTAAAATTTATAATCAGAATGAATGTAGGCAATCTTGTCCTCATTCTCAATTTCTGACTATTTCAATTTCTTGTCCAGTTCCCTAATTTTTTCATCTTTTTCGTCATTTTTATCTTTTTTAAATACGTCATGCTTTGTCATAGTGCTTAATAGTTTTTCAACCTTATTTCTTTATTTACTTTTTACATGAGCAGTCGAACAATAATTTTACGATATATTCTATAAATGTTTAATGATTGAATCATACGATTTACTCATTGAGAATGCCATTCTCTCCTTCTAGAGTTCTTATCCTATCTTATAAGGCTCTCATTGCCTTCAAATAACTAGGGGACATTGGTTAACTTAGAGATAGCTTTTTATCAATCGACTCTTCTGATTTCATTTTGGATGTAAAAACACTATTTCCAAGATTGAAAGAGGAGTAAAAGTTTTTATGATCTATTTTGTTCTTAATCTATTGTGCTAGGAATTTAGTTTAAAAACTATCTGCCTTCATATATGTTTGTTATAAATTAATAAATTAAATAATCAAATTATTTTTCTTCTCTTATCTCTAAAGTATATAACAACAAGCACAATTATCGAGCACAAGCAGATGAAAGCTCCAGCAAAATATGAACCAACCAGAACCTATGAATCGATCTCAGAATCTTACCATATTTTTCTATCCAAATATTGTTGTGGTTGTCATAAAGAAACTCTTTACCATATCAGATGAATACAGTTACTCGTCGTAAGCTAAGGAATTTGCAATAAGAATTACTGTTATTTACAACCAATACATATTGTCCCTTACTTAGATCATTCTAAATTCTACCCCATAATTTCTTTAATCTACCCTACCCGGCTGTTCTCATCCAAACCATAAAGTGTTCTTTTAGTTCATTTAAAACATCGTACCATCTTCAATATTGGTCCAAGCAAACTTCTCCCATCCCTTAGGGTTTTTGAAATTATATTCTCTATCACTTTCCCAAGCTATATCTGTTTCATCAATCTCAACTATTTCTCCTTAGGAGTTTTTTAACTTAAATGTATCAGTAAAATACGTGTAGGCTATTTCACCACACGGAAAGGCATTCTCGCTCTTATTTAATGTATTGCCACCATAAGATTTCACTTTCTCTGTATTTTTATTAATTTCAAATAGCTACCCATATCAGAATTTGTTTGATAATCTCCACAATTGGAAAGATCGGCATCCGTATTCCCTTTCAATTATTCAACAGATTTTGATTTGAAATAATTTCTATTCCTTCTGTAAAAGTTCTCGAGTTAATAATATATAAAAATTGGTGCTGTCATATCACTCGATATTTCAATTGGTATTTCGCAATTAAGTTAATTGGCTGTGCATGATGACCCATAATAAACCTCCTTTTCAACTATTTGTAAATTGAATACTAAAAATATAATTGCAAAGACCAATAAAAATATTCCTATGTTACAAGCACTAATACCAATTATACTAAATATTATCAGATTTCTTTTGAAGTTCTTATGAAATTTCCATTTCTTTATGGCAATATTCAAAAATTCCTCTTAATCTTCTCTAAATTATTTCGAAAATGAGTTAGAATATTCAGCCATTAATTTTATTAAATATTATAATCATCATATAACTGTACTCATTACTTCACGGTACTACTCATTCTTGTCAAAAGAATCAAGGTAACAAATTGGTCGAAAAGTATACTCAATTTGAAAGAAGAACAACAGATGTTTATCTTAGTTAAATGTCCCGTCTTTATTCTAGTAATTCAATCAGATGAAAATGTTAATAGACTTTAGAAAGAATAACATCATATATTTAATGAAATGACGTAATTAAAGTATTTAGTTAAATTTTGAAAACTTCCACAATATATGCTTTTACTCCTTTGTAACCAGAAAAAAATTAATGATTATTGTATTCTTTGAGATTAATCAATTACTAACTATAATTTTAAATTGTTTGCAATTAATAGATAATTGAAAAAGCATTAACCTTATGCAATATTTCCTATGAAGTAGTTAAAATAATATTTATTGGAAATTGCAATGATAGGACTGATATCTTCACCCTTCATAAATGGTTAAATTAAATTATTTCTATGTTCTGTTTCTCTAAATTACTCTATACTTAATCCAGTACTTTAAAGGAAAAACTGCTTATGAAATCATACATTTAATTTAAGACCTAATTTAATCTATTTAGAAATAATAAAAAGATCAAAATTAATAAGGTAACCTCTAATTGAAGATATTCAAAAAAGTCACAGTGTAATAGAGATCAATAATTAAAATAATTAGATTACAAGAATAAGGGAATGCAATTAAAAATTGGCATAACAAGAAGAGTAAAATCATAACATAGAGAATAAGATAAAAAAACGAAATGTGTGTGTTTGTGATTGATTCTTTCTTATTTTAGATTTTCAATATGGAATTTTTTAATTATATAGTTTGAATAATATATATCAACAGATCAAATATTAATGCATAAATTAAGATAATTACAAGAAAAAGAAGTTCAATCTCACCCGACTTAACAAGTCTTTGTACCTTTCATTTAAGAACGAGATTCTTTGGGTAAACTGCAAACAAATCACAAAAGAAATACTTCGCAAAAATCAACATTGAAAAATAAATCTAATAAAAAGGTATGAATATGTAAATTTAATGTCAAGAAAATTACAAATAGTAAAAGTGAACATACAAAATCAAAGATTAATTTTTTAAAAGATGTTTACACCATAAATCATAATACGGAATGGGCCAATTTGACTAATGTTTCTAGATTGGAAAAAAAATTTAATTTGAGAATTCAGACTGAATTTGTTTAGTAGAAACCCCTTACATTATTAAATTCAAAACTATAGTTGAATGGAGGTTTCGTCTAACATAGAGCTAACACTTAATTAAACAATTCGCCAAAGCTTGGAAAAAATCTTTGCATGAACTCTGTACCCCCAATTGGGTATTATTAACCTAAAGATTTGCCAATCAAAAAATAGCCTATGTTTGTTAAAATGAATTTATAGCAGGAGACTAATAGATAAATTAAAAAGGTTTTAAAAACTGAATGTTCATCAACAATATCAATTCCTAAATTAGAATTCTCTAATATAAGAATTTTAAACAAAATTCCCTAAGAATTATTCGAAAAAGCTTATCAAACAGAGAGATTGTCTACAGAACACAAATTCAGATACACTCCTTTACATTTTGAGAATGAAGAAATAGAACAATAAGAGTATAAGATAAATTAATTAAGATAAATTTATAAAGTTATGAAAAATAGTATTTCTTGATTCCATTTGTAGATATAGATATATTGTAATTTTTTCAATCCTTTAACCATTTTCCATAGAATAACTCATAAATTTTATATCTAATTTATGCAGAATCCTATAAAGATTCAATAAATCCTATACAACTAAACCATTCATCATAAGTAGCTGTTTCTACTCCACAAATGAAATAGTTTCTTGTTGCTTTTTTTAGAAATAGTTTTTTTAAATCCCTAAGATAATAATTAAATTAATTAAATTACTTTAAATGTTAATTATAACGAACTTCGCTTCCAGTCGCATAACTATAAATGTATTTCTTTAATATTTCATCATCGTGTCTCATCTTGTAACCCAAAGTCGAAACATCCTCAATTCTTGAACTTTATAACCCATAATATTCTAAGAAATTGTAAGCAATATTCCAATTCAAAATGGCATTTTATCCTTCCTTATTGGCTTTTGCAAGATCTAATCTATATTATGAAAAGTCTATGATCTAATTAGTTTTCCCATTAAAATAGAAAACTCTAAAAGATGGATTATATCTTGTGAATGTTGTAACTGAAGGTGCAATATATAGAGTTTTAATGTATCTGCCATCAATTCTGGATCTTATATGAGAAACTTAATCGGAATGGGTGTGTCCTAGAATTAATGATTTATTACCATAAAAAAGTCCCGATACCACATGTTCAAATCTTTCAATAACAACACTAAAGCGATCAGCCCATTATGTATTACATGATATATCGCCTGGTGGGATGTGTGCAATAATGATAGCAAATTGATTCTTTGACTCTGAATCATACAACTCTTCAACCAACCACTTTAACATTCCTCTTGGATCTGTAACTCCTTCCATCAAAAAGAAATTATCATAATCATAGGCTTATGAATTAAGAGCAATCACTTTTAGATTTCGTTTCTCATCAACTTAGGAATAGTATCCATTCCTTCTCAATTAATAGTATGCTTCTTAATTTAGATATTGTTTCCACATTTCTGCTGTTTCGTCTCTCAACCATTACGAAGACTCTCCAATCATATCATATTATTCTGCAGGATAGGCTTCATGGTTTCCATACATTGCATACATTTATGTTGTTGGCATAGTCTTCTGTATTTCTTCAGTTATGATCCTGGTTGGAACAGTTTAATTTGATTCCAATTACTACCAAACATCATGTGCAATACTGTCTCCTGTCCAAAGGATGAAATCAGGTTTTATTTATTCTTTTGTGAATTCTAATAAATTTTAAACTGTTCTAAAAGGTAAATCACAACTAGCTAGAGTTCCCCAATATTAAGCTCCTTTGCTGGGATCCTTTGGTGTTCCATATTCTTTCCTGCAGCAAAGAGGAGCATCACAAAAAGCATCAGCACCTTCAGAGTATTCTGTGTCAATGTGTAAATCTGTGTATTGTACTACCTTATAATCCTCATTATTGATCAGCAAAGCTTCGGCTTTTTCTTTCCAACTTTATTATTGTTCTTTTGTAAGTTTGTCATGCATAACTTCATTTATATATTCTTTTAAAGTTTAGGGGTGATGTTCCAATTTACAAGCCCCCAAAAGTTAACAAGCATTTGATGGTTTTAGATAATTGCTATAAGTTATTCAAATTCTTTACTCAATAAAATGCACTGCAAATTCGTCATGATATTATCTACTTTTGCCAAGACAATGAGGCATATTATAGAAATGAGGGCAGAGAGCAAGATACTCCTTTTTTACGATGGCCAATAAAGTGTTTTTTGAGAATTTTTAAACTTGTTTCATCATCAATTTGCATGGCAAGCAGAATAAGTGTAAACTAACATAATAATAATATAATATACTCATGAGGTAATTCAACCCCCACATAATTAGCCACCTTTTTGAGTAATTCTTTTTTGAGATGTTATTCTGGTGTTTATGATGTCAAGGTTATACTAATTAAGACAAAGATTATCAATAAAGAATACTTCATTAATTTATAAAATGATTTAAGAAAAAAAGCATTCATTACATAATATCATATTTCTAAAAAAATAATAATTAATAATAAAATGATATCCTGTATATATGTCTTCATAACTGTCTCCTAAAAAAGTTAACTTTGGAATATATTAATCGGAAAATTATTATAATTCAACTTAATTCTGTCCACTTTGGAGTTCATATGAATCTGAAAATAAATTCGCTGCGTCTTGATCCAAGAAAAAATCTTCTACATATACTTTTTCTTCATAACCCTATTTAAGATTTAAGTCTGTCTTAATTTGCTCCTAAGATTCCTTCTTAATTAATCGTTTGGTTTCCAAACTTTCAGATTCCTTCTCTCTTCTAGATTTTTACTCTTATTTAAATTTAACTTCTTATAATTTAGATAAACATCCATGTTCCTGTAATATTGTTTAGACTTTGAATTTGATATCATATTCCGATAGAAATTTATCCATCCACATTTTTGATGCTTTAAATGTGTCGCTGTTGAAAATTTCAAGGGCTTTAGTCTTAATAAAGTCTCGAGTAATTTTCTTTCCTCCTTTCTTGGTCTCACTCAATATCCATTCCTCAAGTTCTGTAACAGCCTATGGATTAACTCTCTTTCTTCCACATCCTGATTTCCTCACATAACCTTGATTAAACCATCTCTTTAAATTTCTAATTGTAGTATTATATTTTTGACTCTACATTTCAAAGTTCTCATCTGAAGGGTTAGCTGCTAATGCTTCTATAGCTTCTTTTTTTTCATCTGCACTCAGTATATGATTACAAGTAGGTTACTTATGCAAGTGTTTTACTATTATGTAGAAAGAATAATATGGAATTGGAAATATAAAAATATGTAAAAATTTTATAATTGAACTACAAGGGTCAATTATTTGATCATTTTTGACAAGGAACAAAATATAACATTTAAACAATAGTTGATTATCAAAATAAAAATTGTTTTCTATGAATTTATCAAATTTTGATCATAATCATGAATTTACAATTGTAGTCATTGTTCTTTTCAAATTTTTTATCTGAATATCAGAAGGATTTCCTCCTACTTCTTATTGTTTACCTCCATTTCTAATTTATTGGGATTAAAATTTAAGTTCTTTGAAGTTTTAAGAACCTAATACATCACTTACTCTTCTGTATTTTTTTAAAGAAATTTATTAGTTTTATGGTTATACGCATATTTAATTTATTTATTCTTTAATTTCTTATAGATGATCTTTTTTTATTTCAGGTTTGAATGTAACTTTTAATTACTATTTGACTGGTCTTTCAACAAAATCATCTTCAGAACTTAGCTTTTAAACTAGAATGGGATCCAATTCAATCACCAATAAATCACTCTTAATAAATCCTGATTAATTGCATCCTCCGAAAATGTAAAGTTTCGAATCAATACAAGAGGAAGTATGATTACACCTCCCTGCCACTTAATTACCTCTGATGTCTACACTTATCCAAGTTTGATTTTTAATATCCAAAAGATGAAGATCATTGAGGAATCCATTTATATTCAGATCGTCATTCTTTCCTCCATAAATAGCCAGTAATTGATATTTGTCCACATAACTCATTGAATGTTGACAACGGCCAACTATAGATTGAAACAAATAAGATACTTGGTGACATTCCCTTAGTTTAAACCTATTCAAATCCTACAGGTTTAGTTGTTGTATCTATTCTCATTAATCCATCCAAGTAATGTCCATTTTTATCGAAACCACCAAATATGTAGATTCCTTGATTGCTTAGTTTACCATCACTATCACTTTTGTAGAGTTCAATTTGATTGCTAAAGTAGACAGCAGCAGATTTATGAAATGCAACACCATCTGGAAAACAACTGTTCTGCTCAGTTACTACTTGACTCCATCTTTAAGTTATTAAATCAAATGCAATAATATCCCTTAGATATTAACCCTTCAAATCGATTCCTCCATGAACAATCATACTCCTTCCAATTACTTCCGCAATGTGAGATTTTCTAGGGGGAATAATACCTGTTTGCTTTAATACTTTCAGTTCATTGGAGACTAAATTATTTAATGGCTAAAATTACTTAAATTAATTATCTTAATATCACATGTAATTTCGCTAAATATTCTTTTATTACTAGGTATTTGATGAACTTCTCCACCGAAGATTATCATAAAATTTTTATAGAGTGCTGCTGAATGATTGCTACGGAAACCATTTTATTATTGATCATCTAGTTTTACCTATTACCATTTGTAAATTTCTAAAATATTTAAAGATTACACTTTTATCAATATAAGCGCAACAAAAGTCTTCATTTTACTTAGCCCCTGCTCCACCATACAGAAACAAATGATGATTGTATGAGAGCATAGTGCTGCCATTTCTTGAACACGGTTACCATTAAATTGATACATCTTTATAGATATAGACATTTTGCTTTTTGATTCTAATTTCGTTTATTTGTTCACTTAGTTTCATCTGCAAATCCTAAGCATCTTTATTGTTATTATTTTGATCATTCATCTTACTAAGTCTTATTTGTCTTCTTATGGATTCCATTCTTTACAAATCCTAATATTATAAAGATGGGTAAGATTTGATGTCAGGACCCTTCGATTTAATTTTTTTAAAATATTTCCTTACTTCTTCAATAGATGATTCTTCCTATTTTTTATACTGTTCCTTTATTTTTCGAAATGTATCCCTGTTATGAATCATTTACATTTTTCGTGATGTGTAGTACTTTGGTTAATCTACACGTTCCTCGGTGAATAATGAATGGCCATAATTATTCCATATTTACTTTGACTGTAGGAATGATCTTTTTAGTTCGCTAACTGCACCTTAGTTAAGTTCTTTAAATCTCATGAAAGATGTTTTATCGCAATCAGGCAATTGTTATAGTAGTTCTATTTTGCTATCAAAGGCTACTTATTGAAATTATTCTAATGGCAAAGGACTAAGCTTAGTGTTTGCCTATTTGAATTTTTTCAGAAGTAAACCAATATCAACTTTCTCACTTGGGCTTGTATTCAAGTTTTTATTACTATTCATAAAAATAAAATTTGCATTAATTAATCTACGATTCGTTATTAAATAAAAAATATTATACAAATATTCCTTTTATTTTAAGAATTGAATTTAGAGAAAAAGCGAAATTCACTGATAAACCTAAACTGACTGCACTCTATAATGCATCAACCCAAGAAACCTGTTCAGCCAGAGATGGGCTATTCTCTATGTTGATATCTTCCTTAATATAAACTAGATCTCAGAATAAAAATTTGAAGTATCAGAAATCTAAGCTTTCAGTTTAGCTACAAAAGTTAACTAATTTAAAATGTTCGAGTTCAATTACAAATGAAAAACGAAATAAACAAAACATAGGGAACATGAGTTTATTCAGATTTTGAATATCATCAATGGAAATAGAATTTCTATAAGCTAGGTAATTTTAATTGAATTTCATCTCAAACTCAAATAATGATGACTTTATTGGAATAAACTTTTAGGATAAAAAACCAAGTTTGATTTTCTCCTTATTTTATTAGTTATTCAAAGTAATATGTAGAGGTAGTATCTCGAATTAGTTTTATATAATAAGAAGGCAATAAAAATAATCAATATGAGAATTGACAAATTTTGAACCAAAATAGGGTGTACTTTAATTGAAAGCATGCGAATTTTTAGTATAACAATAGCCATTTATACTAAATATAGACTTACTATAAGAATCTAAGTTGATATTTAAAAATTTATTATTTATTTAATTAATATTATATTATTCAAGGCCTTTGATGGATCCTAAGTTGAATTCTAATGAAACTTTTTAATGTTAATATTGCCAAGTTTATGTAAATAAAGCATGCTAACAAGTTCATTATGTCAATTGTTAATCGGTTAAAAATGTATACTACTTAAATTATTATAGTAAAATTAATAAGGTATAACTAATAACAATGATTATAAATCCTTCACTCCTTATAATAATAATCAAAATTAATCAAAAGATACTTTTACACATTCCCAACAGATTTATGTTAAGCATGTTCCTTTAAAAGTTCAATAATAAAATAATACAGATATATAAAATACATAAAAGGTCCTTCCAACTTTTCAGTTTATTTAGCGGCCTATCTAAAATTAAGATACTTAAAAATAAGGGAATTAACAAAATTAATAATCATTTACCCAAACCAACTCAAATTCTGACAGTCAATAATAAGATAATAGGTTTGTTTCTAAAGAGTTCTCATTTTACAATAAGAATGTAAATTAGGAATTATTTCCTTTACCGAAATTCTCACAGCCACCCTCTTTTGCTTCATAAAATACAAATCCAGGGTTAATTCTATTAAACTAATAATAATTAAATTCTAATGGAAATTAGTCGAAACCTGAATATGGTTTCAATCAGTTTTTAAACAATTAACAAAGTCAAAGTTAATAATAGAATTAAGAAAAGTCTAAGATATTTCTAACTTAAAATCTAAACAACAATGTGAGTATAAATTAACAATAACAATTCCCAGCTCCTAAAAAATAAGATAATAATGAATAGAAGTTGTTCAAAATCAATGTTCCTCCTTAAACTAGCAATATGATTCGGAGTGTAAATATTTAGTAGTTCTAACCTTAATAGAATTAGCAACAATAATAACAGAGCATTTCTATTAGTCAAAACAACATTTCATCCTCTCGTTTCAATTAATTATAGAATACTCGATAGCCTGATAATCACTAACCTACTAGTCACTCCCAACCAATATAAGGATAGCCAACTTTCCCTCCTTAATTTTTAATTCCTTAGATGCCATAGAATATCCAGCCACCTCCATCAATTTCATCCTTTTTGACTAGATTTAAGTATAACCCATAAAATGAAGAAGAGGACGATGATGATGATGATGATAATGATTCAGATAATTCACGCAGCAGAGGATTACCTAATTTTGATGTAAACAAATAATATACTGATATTGAAGTCAATAGAATGAATTAAGAATAAATCTACCAGTATTTTTCAAATTTATATATTAATGAAAACCATGGATATTCAGAAGATTAAATCAATGAAAAAATTAATTAGAATTTTTCAATGAGAGTAGATGACAATAGAATTGATATATGTGTAATATGCTAAGAATCATTTACTTAAGAAACCTTTACTACAGATAAGTAGTTACCATGTTCCCATTTATTTCATGAGAAATGTCTGATAGGATGGTTGAAACGATCCAAATAATGTCCAATCTGCAAAACAGAGGTAGAACTATGAAATTAATATTATAATTAAAATTTTAATTTTTGCTAAAATGCTTATTCTAATAGAATTATATTCTTAGAGATTTAATTTCCAAAGCTATATTTGAAATCTTAAAGTTTTATAACTGTCAGAGGTTTGAAATAAAAATATTTGATTTCCCTACGATTTCTGTAGTATAAGTATTCTAGTAATCATAAGAAATGCTTAATTTGAGGAATTAAATATTTATAAAATAATAATATTGTTAATTATTTTAATAGTGAAAGAATTATGGATCCCATTTAAAACAAATAAAATATAGACGATTCAGAGGGTGAGGAAATAATTTAGGAAGGAGAAGTTGATGAAAACTTCGAATAAAGAGTTTAAAAGCTATTATATGAAACCGACAATGGATTGAACTTATATAATAAACCTGTAATGCCTTTGATTTATTATGAATTCAATGAAGAAATCAAATAATAGGCGGAGGAAGTCATCAAATAAGACACAACTATCATCCCTTAAGATAAATATGAGAAGTATGAAAACGAAGCATCAAAAATTTGGGATAAGTTCTATAGACATCATCAAAACAATTTCTTCAAAGACAGACACTATTTAGAAAGGGAAATACCAGAATTAAACCATTTTAAGGAAAGCCATTAGAAAGATGAAACTAAACTATATGTAATTTGTGAAATGGGGTGTGGAGTTGGAAATGCTTTGTTTCCCTTAAAAAAAAATTATACATTCTTCAAAAAGGTGTATGGCTTTGATTTTAGTAAAAGAGCTATTGATGTTTTGAAGGCTAATGAATTATATGATGAAAATGTATTCTAAGCTTGCGTTTGTGATCTAGTCTTGGATGCATTACCAGATTTCGAGAGACCTGATTTAGGAACTTTAATATTTGTTCTTTCTGCAATATCTCCAGAGAACCATTTAATGGTCGTTCGCAAGATTTTTGAATGGATGAAACCAGGAAGTGTACTCTATTTTAGAGATTACGGTTAATATGATTTTGGTTAGATAAACTTGTCTAAGAAGAAGAACAGAAAACTTAAAGACAATTTCTACGTCAAACATGATGGAGTTAGGGTTTATTATTTTAGTAACGAAGTAAGCTTATTTATATATAGTAGGAAGTGACATCGTTATTTACAACTGCCGGATTTAAGCAATTGGATGTGAAGGCTCATTATAGATATATAGAGAATAGGAAGACAAAGGTTAAGATGTATAGAGTTTGGGTTTAGGGTAGATTTATAAAAGAATGAATATAAATTGTTATTTATTTATTAATTCATTGCGTTATATCAAACAATTTTAATAAATTGCTAAGTTCGAAATTTAAATACTTATTGTATTTGTTGTAATACATCTATTGAAGGTAATCTGAATGTTTAGAATTCCATAGGATATCTTACGATATCATGCATTCAGTGATATTGTCTAAATTGAGAGTATTCACAGATTTTTTAACACAAAAGTCTATGAGATTTTGTCTGATGGAGGTTTCGACTAGATCTTACACATTTTAGTCGAAATTTAATTTATAATTTTGCATAAGGTTTCTAAAGACACTCTTTACTTTGGCCATAGGAGCCTTCAAGTCGGGATCATATACAAAATCTCTAGTTATATTGATATTGATAGATACTTATCGACGTAATCCTCAATCATGTACCTGGCAAGTAAAGTGCTATTCTTCAGATGAAAGGGATCCTATTTCAATTATTTCTCTATGTCATTAATTGCAATTTCATTTCCTGTTGAAAATAGGATCTAAATATAGACTTAATCTTTTACTAATTCTGCATCTTGGAGGGAGATTCTTTTTTTCCTAAGAGACAATTTTAATTCTAGGATAGTTTACTCAATTTGTTATTTTCTGACTTACTTAACAACCACATTGTCTCCATGATGAGGAGATATCAACGGAGATAAAAGGACTTAAGTAGCGGATTAAAAAAGTTAATCCTCTCCATAAATTAAAGTTTAGGTTTATAGTTTCTTCTTAGCAAATTACTGCAGGAATCTACATTAGAATATAGGATTACATATCAAGTTGTTTTTTTTTTTCCAACAATGCATGATAATCCATTTAGAGTTTATCATATTTGTCATTGATTTACTTTTTCTCTGCTTCTAAAAGTTATATTTTTTATTTGGTATCATAATTTAATTCGGTTAAGGCGTTTTAGTTTTCTTAAATAATTTATTAATATTGATTAAGTCTGGTTTGTAAATGTTAGATTTCATCTATTTTAAGTTTCAACTCGTTGACCAAGAGATTTTCATTCTTACTCTGTTGCTTCATCAAATTTGTTTCTGATAAGGGATCTCTATCCCGAAATCTCTATATCTGTTAGTCTTTTAATTTCATGACCTACAATAATTGGTTATGTTTGGCTTTGACTTAGATGTAATCATTTCTAATTTTTTCTAATTAATTAATATATTGTTTTTGGGATTCAATCTTATCTATTAAATTTATGTTGTCTTGAACGATTTAATTCTAGTCACCCTCAAATTTCTATAGGATCTGATATTATAAGAGCTCTTTCTTTAGATCTTGAATCTACTTTTTTAAATCTTGTTGAGCTTTGAATTAATTGTTTTCTTTAAGCATTTGTATTTCTTGATCTTTTTGCTTGATTCTTAATAAACTTTGTTGGATGAATTTCCTTTGATCATTTTCATCCATCATATCTACTTCTTTGCCATATTATGACAGTATGTTTTATAAGGATTGGATTTCTATTTGTAGTTGCTTCGTTTTTAATTTTTCTAAATGCAATTACTCATAAAGGGTTTCCTTGTCAATGCTGATATTTTTTGGGACGATAACTTTTCTAATCTTGCATGAATTAGAGTCATTCATCGAGTAGAGAGTCTTAATTCTTCTACTTGACTCATTTTTAATGGGATGAGAAAAATAATGATTTGCTATATGTTAACTCATAATTAATAATTTTAAGTTTTGTTTAAAATGCTTGACTTAAGTTAACAAATTACTATTTTAGTAATTAATCAAACTACCAGATGAATGCTCTTATTGCAGTTAGTTGGAACAAAATTAAAAACCATCTAGAAACAGACTGGTATGAGATAGATCCATTTAAATTGATAATTTTATCTTCAGAACATAAATTAAGCAATTATTTTAGGATTTAAATGTTACTTGAATTATTATTATAATTATTTCACCATGAAAAAGAAATAAACAAAAAAGTAAAAGCAACAGAAGAAGTAAACTCCACTTAATTCTGGTTAATTGATAAAATTATTGGATGAATAACATAAGAAGGGGTAGTATAAAGAATACCCATTATATGGATTAAACTTTGCAAAAATCCCAATAATTACATTTACACCTGAAATTAATAAATACCTCTAAAAATATCCAAATGAAAGTAAGTGTTATACTGATTTAACTTTAATAGCTTCAATAGGATTTACTAAATGTTATTTGAATAGTTTGGAAGGGCTGGAATACCCAGGAGAGAAAGTGGCAACAATAATAATGAACTACAATAATCTAAAAGGTGATAGTTTGTTAAAGATTTCAAAGTTATTTCCGAATGTTACTCATTTGAATCTAAGTCACAATTAAATATCTAAGATTGAGGTAATTATCAGAATTATTGAAGGATTTACAACATTTAAAAACATTTAAGAAATTAGAGCATCTTGATCTACGTTTCAATCCAGTAAAACGATACAAGGACTATAGAAAGATTGTTTTTGAATAGATTCCTTAGTTGTAACTCTTAGATTACGATCAGGATGTTGATGATTCAATGGACAACTCCAGCAGAGACAATTGGGTATTCATTAATTTTAGATGAATCAGTTGTCTAGTCAAGTTGAGGAGAGTGAGAGTGAGGCTAGTTTTGATGATGAATCAAGTGAAGATGTTAAGCCTAAGAAGAAAGTAAAAAAATGATTTATTATTGATTTGTTATTGAGATAAGAAATAATTGAATTTTATTTAAAAGAAATGGAAAAACTCTAAAAGGAGATGCATAATTAGTATTAGTACTTGCTTTTAGAATTAAATCGATTAAATACTAAATTGTTGAGAATCGAAGAATAATAAGAGTAAATCAAACTGCAAAGTTCAGTTCCCATTTAGATCAAAGAAAATGATTACGATTTCATTGTAAAAAGAATGACAACTACTAGTCATCAATCCGTAGCATAGAAATGATGCAAGACAGATACAATCATTTGAGCAGCCAATTCGAAAAGTTAAAGAACTAGATGGATCAAAAAGTGTGTTTAGAAGACTTTGTTAAGTATACCTCGAAAATTGCATCAGAATATGCTACCCTATAGATGCTCGATTTAAGCATCTAATCCATTGAAACCAGGATGCGTTTCAGTTCATCCGATAATCAAATGAAAGGTAGCTTGGTTGTCTAGAAAGTGAAACAGTAAAACAAATAAACTTAAGTGTATGAATACCAACATACAATCGAATAGCAGTTAGAGGAGAGATTAAATCGGTTCAGAGAATTGATTATATCTCAAGTTAGATAGTTTTGTGATTAAGTTCAGGTGTCAGATATGAGTAAGCCGTTTAGAGAATAGATTTCAAATAATGTAGATAATCTTCATGAAAAGTTACATCAAGTTGAATTATTCTAAATGGAGATATAAAGACATCTAGAAGCAAGGGAATTCGAAAAACTCATTAAGAAATATATTGAAGTCGAAGAGAGGCTGAGCCTTGTAGAAAACCATTCGAAAGGTTTGACCAGCTTAATCTAAGCTCTAAATCAGCAGAAGATTAAGGATGAATAAGAATAGAAGAAGAAAGTGAAGGAGAAAAAGATTGAGGATCACTTGAATCAATATTTGACAATTGAAGATTTCCATAAACATTAATAGTACATTAAGGAACATTATTTTACTTAAGTTTAAGGTATAATTTAATTGTAAAAAAGGGGCTTAATTTCTATAGAGAATTAATGAATCTGAAGATAACATTAAGAATTTGTTTAATAAAGATATTTATGATAAGTTGTCATTGGAAATTGCTGATTTGGATGAAAAATTCGGTATTGTGGTCGAATCTCTATAAAATAAAATTAATGTACAAATACAAAATTAAGCCAACAAACTCAGCACCTTCGAAACGTCTATCAATTCATTTATGAGCAAAGCAGAAGTCATTTAAATGCTTGACAATCCACAAGCTATGATGAAAGTGAATTCTGCTGTTTAGAATATACAAGAGAAGTTTAAAGAACTCTATGCGAAATAAATTGAAATTCTTGAATCCTCATTTAAATTCACAATCAGTAACATACAGGCTGCAAATATTACAGAAAATGATAAATTAAATCAGAACGCTTTGCTTTTAAAAAAGTGTGAGTAGATCAAAGTGGCTTTGTTTGAATATTTTGGGTAAAATAATTACCAAAATTACTCTCAAAAGAAGAAATAAGAATTATATTATTAATAATCTTAATAATTTAAAAATTCGAATAGATTGGAAAGCAAATTTTAGAATCGACCTTTATCTGTTGGTAGTCGTACTACAAAATTAAGAAGGCAATCGGCTACTCCGAAAGTTATTTCTGCATCTTTTTCAGGAAGTTCTGCAGAGCCATAATTTTTTTAGAAGGTTTTGTAGAATCCTCTTGTTTAAAAAATGAAGAAATGATTTTTGTTAATAATAAAATATAATTAATCATTTTAAGTTTTTTCTCTTATTGTAGTCATCATCATCTGTCACTAATTCAAATCTGCAAACAGGGCAACTATTGTGTTATTTCAACCAAGGGATCAGACAATCTGGATGAAAATGGTGTTGGCAAGGCATTTACAGAGCTTGTTAAGATTGATATTCCTCTTGGCAAACAGTGCAACACTCAGATTGCAAATTAATCTTTTGGAGCGAATCAATTGCTGATTAGGATGCAGGGGGAGATCTCAATATTAATATAAAACTATACCCATATCTATTTGGATCATTTCGACTGATAAAATCAATTAGTTGTTCTAAAGATTGCCCAGGTTGAAATTGAGTGTTCGGAAACATTAATTACAGGAGATTGTCAAATACATTTGACCTTTATTGAAATCTGATTGGTATTTGGTTTCTGGTGATGTGGATAATAGTTTGTGGTTGCTGTTGTTGTCGTTATTGGGGGTACAGCTATCTTTATGATTAATTTTCTCCATAGGGAACAAAGCCCCTAGGATCATTTGAAGGGTCTATAATCTCACAAAACTCTTGCTAGCAAAATGCGCATTTCATGAGATCTGATGATTCAAATTATTTTTTGCAAATATGACACCAACATAAATTAATGGGTTATTACATAATTAATATATTGATATATATTTAATATCAATTGGTAATTTTGCCTTAGACATCTCTCTTATATTGTGTACTTTGAGATCCAACTTGACTGGAATAGATTCTGTAAACATCATCAAAAGTGTTCAATTCTTCATTCAAAGTTTCGCTTACTGATTTATAATGAGCTTCAGCAGAATTCAAGTCCTAAATATTAATGATAAATCTCACTTCGTTGGCTAAATCAATGGAATTCTGGATTTTCTTTAATCTTTCTTTGCAGGCAGCAGTGGCTTATAAAATGGTGATTAATTGATTTTGCAATTTTTCCTATTGATAAATGAGATATCATACAAGATTAACATCTTCAGCGACAAGATGACCCTTAAAAGTCTCATTCTCCTTAATAATCAACCCTTTGAAATCACTGTAGCCCATGGCAGATGTGACTTAATTGTCCTATTTCTTTGAAAATGACCCTTGAACCTCTGATTCCAGGATGTCAAGGAAATTAAGCAACTCTTATTAAGCCACTGTGAATTAACTATAATCCTTTTAGGATCCAGATTCTGCAGGAGCCTTTTGTCCCTTCTCAATAATTTTGTTGAAGGCTGCAGCTTCCTTAGCTAATTATTCATTGGTCGTCTTTTCAGCAGCTTCAAATGGATGTTCAGGAACAGGAGCATCTGGTTCTCCACTTTCTTAGTGCTATTCAATCTCATGATCTTCTGGTGCTGGTGCTGATGCATCAACTGTTTCTTCAGTTGTTTCTTGATTTGCCTCTTCAACTTCTTGAGTGTCTTGTTAGTCTCCGTCTGTATCGACTTCTGCATCTTCATAAACATGAGGAGGTTCATTATTGTCAGAAGTGACTTCTGGTTCATCTTCATCATCAGCTAAGTAGGATTTGAGTTGGATGAATTAGGCAGATTGTAATAATGTGGGCAAGTCAGTCTAAATAGTTATTGTGATGATTTACTTCTTTGGCATTTTTAACAGCTCTTCTAAGGAAAGCTATTAAATTTAATGTTTTTTTGCTATTTTTGATATCATTGATAAAGTTGGAATTAGATTCGCATCTATTGACATCCAATCTTTGAAGTCTCTCATTATTCTCTTTGATTCTTTTTTCTAACCAATTGATGTAGCTTAAAGTAATTCTAATATCTCTTTCTTTGTTAGCCCATTCTTGGTCTCTTCGATTGCATTCTCCTCTCTAAGTAGAGGCAGATCTCATCAAATCATTCACGATATCTTGTTTTGTCTTATAGTTTGCATGATATTATTACGTATTTAGTGGCAGACCAATCAGAGTCTAATTGTTCTAGTTATTTCGAAGTTCCATTTTTCAAATCTGCTAACATTTTTAATACTACATCTATTTCGTTGGACTAGGAGTAGGTTGTAATGAACAACAATGCTATAATTGCGAATGCCTTCATGTTAATATTAATAATTTATATATAAAAACGGTATAAACATATTATGAAATAAAGAGATTGAGTTGCTTAGTGATTTCAGTTTGGAATTTAGAGGAATCTCTTAGTAATTACTTCATTTTTGTATTAGTTTAGAAACTGGGTAGTCATATGATCACACTTATATATTATAAATTAATTTTATTATATTATTGTTAATGGGCGTATGCGGAGGTAAAGGAGCTAAGAACAAGGATAATGCAAAAAAGGATCATGATTAAAAATAACAAGACACAAATCCCAAAAGCATTGATAATGGACAGAAAAATGATAAGAAAACATTCACATCCCAAAAAACATAATTCAAAGTCAATCCTTCCATTTTTGTGACCTTAAAGAAGGGAGATATCTTAAACTACTATAGAATCGACTAAACATTGGGGGAAGGTATTCCACTGTTTTCTAATCTTATCAAGGTTCATATGGGAAAGTGAGTTTAGTGACATAAAAAGTAACTGGATTACCGAGAGCTATGAAGCAAATCAAAAAGGAGAAAATCGAATAAAGAGACAACATGATTCAGGAAGTCTCGATACTCAAGGAATTGGATCATCCTAATATTGTTAGTGTTTATGAATTGTATGAGGATGAATAATATGTTTACATCATTACAGAGTAAGCATTGAAATATCATCAGGCAAAAGATATCTAAGTGGAGGAGAATTATTTGAAAAAATAAATGAAATCGATCACTTTGATGAAACTATTGCTGCTGGTTATATGAGAAAAATCTTAGAAGCTGTTAATTATTGTCATAATAAAAATGTAGTCCATCGGTATTTGTTTTCTATTTGATGATAGTGATCTCAAACCTGAGAATATTATATTTGAATCAAGGAAAACTAACTCAAGCTTGAAGATCATTGATTTTGGCACAGCTAAAGAACTCTTAGACAGCACCAAATTATCATAAAGAATCGGAACTGTATTATATTTTTATCAATATCTCCAACCTAGCCTTATTATATAGCACCTGAAGTCATCAGTAAATAATATGATAAAAAATGCGATGTGTGGTCCTGTGGAGTTATTCTATTCATAATGTTATGTGGATACCCTCCATTTAATGGATAATCTTAACAGGAATTGTATTAAAGGATTCAAGCAGGAGTCTACTCTTTTGATGGTAATATCTATTAGAATTATCTGAGTAGAACCTGAATGGAAGGAGATTTCTGAGGAGGCTAAAGATTTGATTAAAAAAATGTTAGTGACTGATCCAGAAAAAAGAATCTCAGCCCAAGATGCATTGTAACATGAGTGGATCAAGATGACTTAAAAAGAGAAAAAAATTAATCTCAAATCACTTGAGAACTTAGCTAGATTTCATGTAACCTATATTGTATTAATGATGAAATTAGAGCCAAAGTAAATTAAAAGTAGCAATCATGCAATTGATCACCACCTAAGTTATGACTAATTAGGAAAAGAAAAAACTGCAAAAATAATTTAAGAAAATTGATGTCAATCATGATGGCACTTTGAGTAGAGAGGAATTACTCCAATGTTACAGAGAAATTTATAATGACGAACTTAAATGTCAATAAATTGTTGATCATCTATTCGAATAAGCAGATGTCAATGGATCTAATTAAATTGACTATACAGAATTTGTTATTGCTTTCGCAAAGAAAGAGCAAATTATGGCTTAAAATAAATTGGAAAAGGCCTTTAAACTATTTGATAAAGATGGCAATGGACAAATTAGTAAATAAGAACTTTAGGACATTATGGGTGGAGTGCAATTAAGTGATAATTAATGGAGTAATGTTTTTGGAGAACTTGATTTAAATGGAGATGGTGTTGTAACACTATAAGAATTTACTGAAATGCTCATCAAATAAGCTAATGAATAAGAATGATAAACAGTTTATTTCCTATTTTATAAATTTTTTCATCAATAAAACTAGAAGCTTCTCTTATCAACTATTCAACTATCAATTTTGTAAATATCGTAGTGAACCTTTGCATTTCTAGTCGTGCTAGGATAAATTCTATTTTCAAAATATTTTTAGGAATCATTAATTTTGGTATCAATTTACAAACCTGGACGTGACTAATGTTTTTGAATGCTTACATAATTACCTTTCTAATTAACTCAAAAATTACATTCATTTTTAATAGGATTCTTCTCGATGGATCCTATTTATTAGTATGAACTTTTAATTCTTTAAATTTTAGATGTTTATTATAGTAGATCTATATCATGGTTATCTTTCTTGTGATAACTCATTCTTCTCTCTTATAATGTTTAATAGTCCATTATTTTCTTTGGCTATTGCTGGTTTTTTGTATCTACATATTTTTTCCTTATTTTTTAGTATTCATCAATTTGCTATTTCTTTTCATTTTGATGGCTGTTTATTTGAATAGGATTATTAAAAATTGCAGGATTCCTTATTTATTCTATATTTACCTCCTATTTGTTCTAGTTTTTTCCTTCATTTTTGAGTCCCTTCTATTTGGCTATTAATTCGTCATTGTATTACAATAACTATTTAATAAATCCTTCATTGGGGTAGACTTACCAACGTTTACGCTGCAATTGTGATAAGGCTTCTTTGGAATTGATGGAGTGTTTTTTCATTAAATATGCAGCCACAATGGTAGCACTTCTGGATATACCAGCCATACAATGAACAAGTACATTACCTACTGATCTAGCTTTTTCAATGAAGTCAAAGCAGATTTCAAAGTGTCTAGAGATTTAGGCATTCTCATTATCATCTAAAATTATATGCTAATAGTATCTCATTGATTAACTGATTTGATTTGGAATTTTGGATGTGCAAATACTGATTATAGACTTAATTTTTAATTTTTTCAATAATTCAAAGTCACCTTTAATAACTGCAATTAATACATGCACTCTCGATGTTTCCTAAATACAAAGATCCAATGTGGCCACAATCTAAAATGCAGGTTACATCATCCATTTGTTTCTTGTAGCTCTCAATTATTTTCTGTTTCATTGGAGAGGGCTAAAACATTATAAATGCAGGCACCCAATCCAAAAATTTAAAATTAAATAATAATTAGGCTTATAAAATAACGAATAAGTGTTATGCAAAATACGCTGATTTTTAGTTTGGATTGTAAGGACAATTATTAACTTTGCTAATGAAATGGAATGGTTAGAATAATTCAGTAAAGTTACAAAATATGATGAAATTAAATTGAATTTGGTATTGAAACATAAACATACATTGAAAAGAGTTTAATGAGCTATAATGCATAATTGATAAAATTAATTTATGCATTTCAGATCTTCATCTCAAGGTTCTAGTCCACAGATTGAAATTCTATAATCAGAACGTACACTACTTACAACTCCTGTGACTCAGAGTGCATTGTTTAAGACATTCACTGAAATGGCTAAAGCGTACGATAAAAAAGTAGGTTTAGAAAGGCATTTTCAAACTCAATTTAGAGAATTCCATCTCCTCGAGCTAGATTAACGCTGTAACTCACTCACAACAAAGCACAACGAGAATAAATTATATCTTAATTGACAGAAAGACATTAAGAAGTTATTGGTAATGCTCTAATTAATGGGAATTAAAAAAAATAAAAAATTCGAATTGTATAAAAATAAAAAAGGAGAGATCACTCACCTAAGAAACTCGTAAACTTGAAGGAAGGAGCAAAAGGTAATCCATTCCTAAATGAACTAGTTTATCAAATGCCAAATCTGGAATTGCCTACATTTGAAGCAGAATTTGATCATCCTACTGAATTGACCTTTTATAGTGAAGTCTAGGAATTCTATAGGAGTGTAAAGACATTTAGGCCATCATTCACTGAAAGCGGCACCATGATATTCTACGGAGACTCATTGTATTTGTATGGTGGCATAGCGGGTGATGGCATAAGAGATGAAATGCTTCGGTTTGATTTAAGTAAAAATATCAAGTAACTAGGATATTAGGAATGGCATATGGTTGAAGGTTTAGGTGAAAAGCCAAAAAATGGTAGAGCTGCTCATACCTTGATCTCATTGAAAAATCACTTTATATTGTTTGGAGGAGCTTGTAAATTCAATGTAAAACTGAAGATCAGAGAATGCTTCAATACAATTTATGATTATAATGTAACCATGAGATTTTGGGAGAAAATAAACACACAAGGAGATTACATAGAACCGCGTAGACATCACAAAGCATGTGTCTATGGTTGGAAATGGATGTTGATTTATGGTGGTATCAACAGCAACGAGCAGGTATTGGGTGATACAGCTCTGTACAACATAGAAAAGATGATTTGGAAATAGTGGGATGTCAAATCAACTCCAATTTGTTGTCATTCCATAATCAATATCTCATTATCAACCAAATTCAATGATAATACAACGGATCTTATTCCAGCTGAAATCATATATTCCTTTGGGGGAAAAGACTAAACAGGAAATTCTACTAATTTCATTAAGAAACTCTTATTCTACCCTAATACTACGACTGCCATCGCCTGGGAAACCATTCAAGCAGGAGGCAAACCTCCTTTGCCTTGTCATAATCACACTATGGAGTACATTAAAAAGATATAAGGAATCATCATCTTAGGAGGGCAGAGAGACGATTTAATTAATGGTTCTTTGGAATCAAACTAATGCTTTATTTTCTATCCTCAGTTGAATTTGTGGTAAGAAGTATAGATGGAGGGTAATAATCTCCCTAGATGTGCTCACACATCAGTGTTATTGAGTTCAAAAATTGCTGTTTTTGGAGGCATTGGGAATGGAAGGTACTTAGAACCTTTGATCAATTATATAGAAACAGATTAGACATAGGTTTCATCCAAAATTACAAAGGAATAATTTAATAAAAGATAAACTCAATATTTATTGATAAAATAAAAGTCAAGTCTAGATAGGATTGAATCTCTGAATTTCACTCCTAAATAACTTCCATCTTTTCATAATGATAGTTACAAAGGTTTGGGATTTAAAATCCACACTAAAAAGCAGCAAAGTTATTCAACTAAATCATTTCAACCCCAAAAAAGACAAGCCTTGATTAGATATGATATTTTGATTGGCTTTGTGAGCAGAGTAATTGAGGACAATAAAGATATATTAAATAACTTTGATAAATTCATGAGAAAATAATCAATAAAATGAGTATACGCTTTAAGTTGTTATTATTAGAGTTGTAACTAAACTTAAAATCATTTTTAATAAATATTATTCTTCAGTATTGTTAATTTCGACTATGTTCTAAAGTTTCTTTAATATTTCTTGAAATGAATTATATTTTCATAAACTTTTAATTGATAATCTTTCTAAATGATAATTATTTTAATTAAGATCTAATAGTTGTATATTTGAAAGGAATAGTTTTTGAATTTATTAGACTAATATGCATTTAATTTAATTATGAGATTAGGAATTCTCAATTTAATTTAGATCCTCATAGAATTAAATAATGTTATTATTTAGTTAAAGATTCCATGTGATTAAAAGATGGCTGATGGATAAATTATTATATGATTCTAGTTCCTTTCAATAATTGTTGATTTCGAATATCCATATAAAATCTACCCTTTCTAATTTGCAAAGCTTTTATACACTTTATTACTGGGAATTTAGGATTATTTGAAATAAAAAAAAATCGACTTGAAACAGAAAAAGAATATTTGATTTAGAAAAGCTGTTTGGAACTTTAGTTTTTAAGATGAAATGTAAAAAAAAGTTCGTATAATATTTATAATCTAAGTAACAAGATTATAAAAATGATTAATTGAGTTAGTTACTTGATAAATATCCATTGAAGTTAATTTATGGGTACTCATTGCAGTTTATAAATCTTTATTAATCAGATATATAGTTTGTTTTATTTGAGACAGATAATTCAATTGTAAACAATTTATAAGAGGCGATTGTAATATTTAAATATCACTAAAATCTTATCTCATTCTTATTAATTGGATTTAGATTTAATTTAGTAATTAATGAAAATTCAATTATGTAAATCTCTATGAGCAATCAAGATTAACTAAATAAACTTATCCAGTCATTGAAATAACACTTAATAGTTTAACTGGTTATTGTTATTAAGATAAATATTATTAATAATTTCAGATTTAGCCATTTAAAGTAGTATTTTGAAAGGTCAATTCAATTTATGATTAATTGAAATGTACATGCTATCAATTTTATTAATTTGTTTGAGATAATGTTGAAAGTATTGACATTATCTCATTTTAAAATAAATCATTCCTATTAAACTTGTAAAATTTTTAATCAGCATCAAAGATATCTATATTGGTAATGAGAATTCTTAGTTTGTTCCCTTAGAATCAAAGACTATGATACAATAATACTCAATTTAACCTCATGATGAGAACATTTATAAAATAAAAATATTTGATTCCATATGACATTCGATAACAAGTAGCCAAAAAAAATGAAGTCAAATATTGGTTATATAAATATTAGCTACATATTCTATTTAACATTGAGATACTTCCACTTCAAAAAGTACAAGTTGCAGAATATTAGGTTACTATTAGACAATAAGGTGAGGAACATAATAAATAATCAATTTAGTTATAATAATTGAAAGCAAAAATAGAGGACTTAGGTCATTGGCAATGATACATATTTATTTACATTCATTTACGTTAAGGAGATGACATCAAAGATCGACTTGATTTGAATTTACTATTTGTTAAAATTGGTCTAATTGCAATAGGTCTTTTCTTTTCTACTTTCTAGCAATCTTATTCATTCTCCTCTGTATCTGCAAGATCAAGCAAACTACGTCTTGCAATTACAGTGTTGTCAGTTTCAATTTTATTCAACGATGGGTGTTTTTAAATAATCAAGTCTATGATTCTACATACACACACTTCCATACCTTTCAATTTCCCTTTCTGTTTTGTGTCAATCTGTCTTTGTTGATGCATCATGTACACTGTATAGAATAGTTTTCCTTATATAGTGTCAAATTTATGCATCTGGGTTAATAATAATATCAATTAATATTAATATCTTAACTTTTATATTTTAACAATTAAAAACATTTATCCCCTTAATATTCTAGCCAATGTCTTAAAAGGCTTATATTTTGTAATTAAAAATTCAGAACCTTATTTAGAAACTCATAATTACTTCAAAGTCCCAAAGGCTGAGAAAAGAAAAAGAATCTATAACCAAAGCCATGGATGAAATTTAAATGATTACATGAAAGAAAGACATAGGAAATCATTAAAATATGTGTGTTAATTAATGAGGTCTTCTGATTTCTTAAGGATTTAATGAATTATTCTTAATTCTTTAGAATAACAATTAGGACATAAATAATTATTAACAAAGAAATGCTCAACTCAAGCGAAACAACAGTATTTAAACTAAGGAATGAAATTGTACTTTGAGTTCAATTTTAGAATGATGTAGTATATGTGATTAAAATTGATTTATTATAATAAAAATGTAATACTATATCAGCATAATTGATATTGATGGGTTTGAGAATAAATGGTATTATAAATTGAGAATTACAAACAATTAAAATAGTTGTTATCGTGATGTACGAGTACGATTTTAGGATTTGAATCAATTGCACAGAAATCTATAAAATGACAATTATTATTCAAATGTAAAAGAGAATTTGTATTTTTGTTATTAGTTACCATAATTTCCTGAGAAATCTTTATTGGTTTCATGGTTTCAGAGTAATGATAGCAGGGAGGAATTAATGGAGAACAAGGAGCCTATTTAAAACTATTTATCAGTGATCAACAAGTACAAAAAATTGTTCTAATTATAAGGAATCCGCCATTCAAATATGAAGCAATTAATTAATTCGTGTAAAATACATATGATCCAAAGAGGAGTTTGTAATTAAGATTCTTGAACATAAATAAAGATGCATTTTATTAAGTCCACATAAAAAAAAATACTATAAAGAAGGGCAAATTCAATAAGATCTTTCTTGTGAAGGGTGAATATTAAGACCGAGTTGTACATTAATTCTTGATGCCTTCGAATGATGCAGCAAAAAAAGATTATGAGAATTACAAAAGGGCATAATTGTTAATTACAGATCATACCTACATAGTGAAATGTCACGAGATAGGATAGATCATGAAGAAGAAGCAATTCTTTTAGAGAAAACAAAAGAAGACTATTTACAATGCGTTGGAGATTGCACAAGACTCCTCCTATGACATTATCTATGCAATTGAAGATTATGCATAATAGCCAATAAATAAGCTCATTTAAAAGCGATAGGAGAGACAGGAACATTTCAAATTGGAAACCATCTCAGAGGCACTTATTACTTTGATAAATGTGGCTTAATATTTGCAGTTTTTGTAAATTTTTTAGAAATAATTTTCTGTGACCAATTTCTATTATGATGAAAAATTCGGATTCAAGGTTGGAGGATTTACTCCATTATATACATACAAAAAAAAGTATAGATTAAAGAATGAAACTGAGCCTAACACATACAAGGCTCTAAATCCACCAGAGTTGTGTGGATCTGCAGGTGGTTACACGATGAAAAACAATCTGAATTCTTCCATTAAGACTGATGTTTGGCAAATTGGAATTGTGATTCTCTCAATGGCCTCACTTACATTGCCATTAGATTTGATATGGAGTGAGGCAATTGAGGAGAAACTAAAATTAGTGCAATAAAGACATGGGTATAAAGTATATAAAATTAGGGAAAAATTAGCTTTTTTACTTAAGAATATGCTATAACGAAATCAGAATGATCGGTCTTCTATCAATGATATCATCATACCTGCCCAATTGTTGATGCCCATGAATTTAACCTAATTCAAGCAAGTCAGATCAATTGAACGATTGTAGGTATGAATGCATTAACAACTAGATCACATCCATATCTCATCAGTAATTGGAAGACATGGATAAATAGTTTAAGGAGAAAACATAAGATAAAAAGTACATTGTACATCTGACAATTGATAAATTCATTGTCTAACAAATATTTCTATTCAATTTGGAACGGATTAAGAGGGAATTTGTGATACAATTGCACATTAACGTATCTCCTTAAACTATACCAGATGATTTGATTGACAAAATGATGTCGAGCTTAATTGAGTACCAACATCTGTAATTATTGGCACTTAATCTTAAGAAATGCACGATATCTGATTAAGCCTAAAGGAATATCATTAATTCGGTCTAAAACATTACAAAACTCAAATAATTAACATTGGATATCAGTGGAAATCAAACAATTCCAATTTCAATCCCACAATCCAAAATCAGAGTGGTTGTATATAACCAATGACATATTTTACATATTTTACATAAGTTAAGTATTTTTAATTCATCCTGATTTCATTAGTATTTTCATTCAAATAACTTATTGATCCAAAATTCACAATATTAAAATACAAATTAAACAAATGAGTTATTAAGTGATATTCTTGATTTTGATTAAGATAAGTGTCCAATCCACCAGAGTCAGGACAAAAGAATCATATACAATGAATCATGAAATAGAAGAAGACACTATCAGAATGGCCCATAAAAAGCAAACTGTGTATGTGCTTAAGTAGTTATCTTGACTTAATCAAAGTTTGACTAATGCATATGATGTTGATGTATTTGATGATTCTGAATCTGATGATCCAATCTAGACTCCCATCCTTTCTTTGGATACAAAAGACGTTGAATTGTTAGAAGTTAAAAATTGTAATGAATGAATTCTAATTTTAGAATGCGTAGGATTTCCTAAACACCCTTAATTAAAGGAGATATTGTAATATAAAATAAAAGATGCCACCGAGGATTCCTATTATACAGATATGGTGACTCTTTCGGAGTATTCAAATTTATTTTTAATGACACAGGAACTACAACTTATATAGGTTAAACTACGTTGCAGTGATTCTGGATGGATTGCCTAAGAATCATAGAGCGTCTTTGATTTGAAAAAGTATTTGAAATTGCCGAATTCAACCATCATAGCCAACGCTTAATTCAGTTGTCCAAAAGTAAACATTTGACCCTATCTCTTAGAAACATCTAAGTTGTTTAATCATAACTCCATTTGGAGGGTTTTGGGTATCCAAATTTTCAGATTTTGATTCGAATGATTTGCCCATCGAACCCCATCCTGAATAAAGGATTTTACAAAGAAAGGTTGTTCACAAGGTTTCCACCTTTGGAGAATACTTAGCTGTAGCTGTGGGGGATGATGGCGTTGATCTCTATACTTACGAATAAGAACCCTAGGATATATACAAAAGAAGCATACTTCACTTATTGACAATCTCAAAGTAATAGTTCAATGTTACAATAAATATCATTGGAGTGAAGATTGTGGATGACAAGCTGTTTTGTTTAGATGACACCCAAGGATTATACATTTTCAATATTTCCAACATCAAAAAACCAGTTCTGATTATGGATATACATATACCAAGGACTGTGGCATTTGAGGTATACGAGAACACTATTCTGGTTGTCGCCTAGACTCCAAGCAATATTGAGTACATCTTGGAAATCTTCATTGATTTGAGAGATCACTCCTATTTTGTGAATAGAGTTTATGTTGATGATTTTACCTATAGGGATATGTAGATAAATCCGAATTATGCGTTTTTGATAGGCGAAGAAGCTCATCTGATAATCAAGCATTCGATCTTCAATGGATTTGTGAAGTACAACAAGGAATTGGTGAAGACATTCTTTGAAAATCAATTGGTGCGCTTTGAATTATACAGCAAATCAAGTGAACCTGCAGAACTAAGATTCAAGGAGACTTTCTATTATGTGGGCTTATCTCGTTAAGCCATCCATGTATGGAAATTCATGGATTATCATGCCTTTTTATTATGCAGTTTTGATGAGAAATCGGAACATGAAATCATAGTAAAGTTGAACTCGACGTCCTGTGATTAAAATAATCAGAGGGAGAGTCTTTATCAACAATGTTAAGCAGAGTAGAAAATTAATATCCTAGTCTCGGGACCATTATTCTATTCAGACACCTTTACAATATTGGTCTTTATTCTAATTTTCTTGGGAGTACTAATGTTTATAAGTTTTAGATTGTTTTATGCATCATATGTATTTGTGTATGTGTTCGTTGGAGGAGATTGCTGAGAGAATTAGAAGATAACAGATATTAGTTAAAAGAAATGAAGAGGTATGGGCAATTACCGGAATAGGAATAAAATCAAATATGATATTCTCTAAAATTGTTAATTTTAATTATGCGTGGATCCTTGATTTCAGCACCCTTTCTTGGATATTTGCTTAAAATATAAGCGAAAATCAGAGTGGCCAATGTCATAATGACAGAGCAACCTCTAACCAAAGAAGGCAATGTAGAGATGTCTCAGAAGTTGTGTGCGTAATTGTATTCAGAAAATAACAAGCAATCAATCCGTTGTTAATTTGTGTGACATCACTGCTTAATTAAAACCAGCAGCAAGATTGCTACCATAATAATAATTGTTTGATCATTTTGTCAAGGAAAATTAATTTGATTTGCAAACTCCAATTGTGTTCTTTGATGAACACATTCACTTTGCAGCCAGAGCTTGGTTCACCTTCAGATATTTTGGATTCAAAAATGTATTTGTTTTAGATGGAGGATATTCAAAATGGATGAATCATTAACCAACTGAATTTTAGGAACACAATATTTGTATATAATAATTTCAATAATATAGAGGATCAACCAAGATTTTAAGGTAGAGTAGTGAGCTCTTCTGAAGTTTCCAGAATCTCCTAGTTAAAACACTCCAATGATCCAAAAGGAGATGAGTGGGCCATTGTTGACACACGAGATAATATTCGTTTTAAAAAAGGATCTATTCCTGGATCTATTAATATAGAATTCTCAGAATATCTTAATCAGGATAAGACTATGAAGTCTGATGAAGATTTAAGACAAGTCTATGAAAAGAACGGAATCGATTTGAACAAAACAAGAATTATTAATACCTGTTAAACTGGCAAACTAGCATGTATAGCAACAATTGCCTAAGAACTTTTGAAAACTAAATAGTAAGTTATATTTCTGAAACTTAGGCAAATCCTTTATGATGGATCTTGGGAAGATTGGAAGTTGGAGAACCGTAAGAAATGAAATATATAATAAAAATTATAATGATTATTATTATTTTAATAATAATTTATGGAGAAGAAACTATTATCAACACCTTCTGAAAAACTCGCAGCAGATGCAGCTGATGAAGTGACTTGTCAAAACCACATGAATGCTTACACTGCTTGTCTATAAAAACATTCGCTTACAAATAACTATAAGGAATGTGTCAAACATATGGCTTAATTTCGATACTGTCTTATTATGGCTGCCAATGTCCAAATGGAAGCACATAAAAAGCCAGAGTGAATTAATTTATTTTAGAATATTGCTCATTAATAAATAAAATTAATGCATTACATTTATACTGAAAATTTTGTACTGCCAATCAACATAGAATTAAAAAATTATAGACGAAGAATACTAATAATTTGGACATTGAAAAAATTAATAGGGAATTCAATCATATTTTTATTTATTAAACTCAACAATAAAATAATATTATATTTTAATTAATCATTTTCAGAGTTGACTTCTTGAGTTATTGATTAATATTTTACGTTTCCAAAGAAAATGGAGCAGGTTGATTAAGCACTCATTATTCAGGAAAGGACAATAATTAATTAATTTATAATGAAGATTTCAATAAGTCTATAGTAGTAGAGGAGATTTAGAATACGAGAATTACAACTCAAGGTTAGCCTTAGCTTAACAGAAATGCTAATATTATTGGACATATGAAACTAGAGGACATTGTAAGCATATTTGATTGCAAATCTAATTAAGTAAAAGACAGGGATGGATTAAGAGTTGTTATTTCAAGTTTTAAGAAGCATAAATCCTTATTAAGAGAGTGATCATATAATCAATTGAAACAGAATACATGCAGAGTGGAGAACAACTATTGAAGAAATTAAAATGAGATTTTATCATTGTAATAACAAACAATTTATAAATAGTTGCACTTGTAAAATTTAGATTCAAATAGAGGTCGAGGATATAGGGTGATATAATCAAGGAGTCTTGTTATTGAAAAGGTATAAAGTTGTCATGTTCTATTCAAAAGTAAGATTTAGAATTTCATTACTAATCATAATTTAAATGATATTATTTTATTACAATTTTGTTGTCATTTATATACTATCTTTTAATAAGCTATCAAAATTAAGATGAATAAGTAATTTTATTTTATATGATTTATCAACAAACTGTTTCTCTAATCTTTACATTTGCTTATAATTAATATTTTAATAAATATTGTCCAATGGGAGAAGCAGGAATCACTATTCCTTTTGGGTAGCCCTTAAATAAAGACAAAAAACTGATAGAAATGCAAGAAGAATTACTATCCCACATAAATTATGTGAATGACTGTTTTGATAAAGAATTGCTGGCCATAGGAAGTACGCATAATAAAAATGGAAGAAGAATTATATTATCATAATATAAAGTAGATCCAAATATTTTTGGTTTTTCTGTAAATACCTTTGAATTGCGCAACCATGTAAATTTCTTGTCTTAGTAATTTTACTAAATTTGTGTATCAGAACCTATATATAAAAATAATAGTAAATATAAATTATAATAAAGAAAATTGCTAGCAGAAAGAAATAGACTAATCGCTTATAATGAAAAGGGTTAAACCTTTGGCAGATTAATTTGGCTTCAGAGAAATAATAATATAGATTCTGTTAGTAATCCTCTGCGTAGGATTGATTACTTGGGATGCTGTCTAATTACAATTAAATATCTACCCAGAAATAGGAGGATCGAGTATACATTACTTATTATACTTACGAATTAGCTTAATATTTGTGCTCTTTATTTCATAATTGATGTATCACAAATTATAAATTAGTTATGTGACGAGGGCAATAAAATTATAATTTTATTTATCCTATCTCTTTAGTTTGATAATTACTATCCTAACTATTCTGTGTTTGTACGGGTTTAATATTATGAAAGAAAAATATGGTGACATAATAATGCAAATGGGATAGTGTGGAGTGATATTAATTGGATGCTTTCTTTTATGCATTCACTTATATAAACTAGAAATTAATTTATAGAGAATAAGGGTATTGTTGGGAGCTTAATACTAATCACCTCTGGGTTGCTTTTGATTTAAACTAATTAATTACAATTTTATATTTTATTTGCTTAATATCAATTATGACAACCAACTTTCTTATCACCAAATTGATTTCATATCTGGTTTCTACACTCCTCTTAGTTATGCAAATTGTAAATCATCAACAGGAGTTTAAAATTTAGATTCTTACGATGTCAAATAACAACCAAGCGTTTTAGATATTAATTTGATAAATTCATATTAATAATATCATTCATCTTTAATATTAAGCATCCATAATTATTTGATTATGTAGCTTTTCAAATTTGAATGAATATTCATTCTAACTCTTGTCTAACCTAGATTAAATTTAAAGGATAAAACACTAAAGATAAATGCTTATTCTAATTTCAAAATTTTTATTTTCTCCTACTCAATTTAAAAATAGAATGGATTTTTAATGATTGCTCTATCATATAATTCTCTAAAATCCTTCTCTTTAAAGGTTGGAGTTGTTTAATCATTGCAAAAAAAAAGATTAATTTTATTATGAAGACTTACTTCAATTCTATAAATAATACTATGTGTATTTTATTTTAGATTACACTATAAAAATAATTTTATTTAATAGATTGAGTGTCTTAAGTATATAGAATATTATCAAGTATATTTGTTACACAAAATAAATTTTTTTATTTTCCCTAAAACTTGTGTATTATATTCCTCAATAAATTGTGTAATAAAAGTTAAACATTATTTTGGAATGTATAAGGGAATATAAAATAAATTATATTCGTAATCATTTTATTTGCATTAAATATTGTCATTAATTTTTATTGTTTTAACTTTTAAATACATCTTAAAATAGTTCTGCCTATGTAAATTGAACCCCAAATTGTGTATTAATTCGAGTGTTTTCGAAAAGGAAAGAATGAAAATAAAAAATATATTGGAGTACTCAAGCCTGAAAGATTGGATTTGTACAAGGTAGATTAGTTTAACTGAAAATTTACATTTTAGGAAAACTCACAAGTATCTAAGTATTCTCTGCCAATCCAATTATAGACCCACATTAAATGGGAAGTAGACGAAGATAATCTGAATGGGAAAAAGCATTATAAAATAGTGTCATTCAAATTTCAATAAGTCAATATAATCATAATTTTCTTATAGGTTAAATAAACTAAAGAAAATCATGTTGCTAAAATAACTACATTTTATAGTGACGAAAAGACCCTTACAATTCTAAAGGAGCATTTGAGAAATAAAATCATATTCCAAAGGATTTAAGACTTTTATACACCACTTTAGACTTTGGGAAAAGGAGCATCCTCAAGAGTTCTTCTTGTTAGACACAAAAATACTGAATTATATTATGCAGCTAAATGTGTGGACAAATCCTATGTAAATGAAACAGAAAATGGAATTGTAAAATTATATTTAATCTTAGGAATCTATGTTTCAAGAAATTTCTATCAACAACATCCTTGATCATCCATCATTTATTAAACTGCATGCAGTCTATGAGGGAGACAACACTTTTTATATGGTGATGGATTTATTAGAGGGGAGAAGCTTGCATGATGAATTAAACAATCATAAAAGTGGGTTCCCAGAAGATATTGTTAGGAATATCATGTGGGTATATATTATCAGTTATTTCTAAGCAAATCCTCACTGGTATCGAATACATGCATGAAAAATAGATTATGCATAGAGATTTAAAACCTGAGAATATTATGCTTTTGAAAAAGGGAGATTTGAATTCCTTAAAAATTGTTGATTTTGGATTGGCCACCTATTGCAATATTGATAAGTTTAAATCATGATAATTGTAGATATTTATTTCCTAAATGTGGAACACCAGGTTACGTTGCTCCTGAGATTGCGAACTTAGTTGATAAAACAATTAAATATGATAAGGTATGCGATGTTTTCAGTGCAGGAGTAATCTTCTTTAAATTGTATATACTCATATTCATTTAAGATTGACAGGGAAAGATCTTTTTCCAGGAGTTGGATTTAATCTAGTATTAAAATTAAACAAATAATGCAAAATTGATTTAACACCTTTGCAAATGAAAAAAATTGACCATTCTATCACTGTAATATATATTAGTTTGAATAGATTAGTCTTTAATTTAAAAAATGTTGGAGAAAGAACCAAGCTAAAGGATTAGTGCTACTTAATGTTTGTAGGATCCATTCTTTGCATCATGTGTGTAAGCTCCAGGAATGCAAGGACCCTCAAAATTAACTGCTAATTAAAAAAAATAAATGTTCTCTTCAAGCGGTAAAGCTTTGACTACTGAATTTCCTAATGATAAAATAAAAAATAGTCCTTAAGATAAACTTGAAAATAAGGGATCTTTTATAACATAAGATAACGCATTTCGACCTGTTTAATCTAATTAATAAAAGATTATGTAAAAATTCAATACTACAGAATTCGATCATGATGAAAATGCCTAAAGTCCATAAATGGTAAAAGTCATTTAATAATTTCAAAAAGGTGATGCAATAGAAGAGGAAGATGAAAAATGAATAAATTATCATTAAATATTTATTATTAGAATTATAATTAATTTATTCAGTAATTTTTATATATTCACCATTTTCCTTTTTATTTTTCTTATAAGAAAATTGAAAGATAGTAATAAAATAATTAATAAAATGACTTTTATTTTAAGTCGTGAATGAGATCAGTTGTAAATAATGATTTTAATATTAATAATAAGAATCAATAAAATCATTGATTTTGATCTGTTGTTTTTGAATTAATCGTTTATTGGAGTGTTTATTGAAAGGATTATTAAACTGAAATGGAATGTAATCTTCTTGAAAGTATTGGATTTTTGAAAGGATTGAGATTTTAATTGTTTTCTTTCATTTCTCTTAAAATTTTTTCGGATTTAGGATTTTCCTTAACTTTTTCGCATATATGGGGTAATTCTCCTCTTATAGGTTTCTTTGCATTACACATTCCCATTTCTTTATATTTCAAATCTAATAATTAAAAATTTTAATTAAACCCTTAAAGATATTTTCAATAGATAATTTATATATATATTAATCATTTTCTTGACTAATTCTAAAGATCAAACTAAATGGATTGTTTATTCTTCTTATGAGTCTCAGAGGCTGTTGGTTCTTCAGATGATTTTAGCTTTTCTTTAACTTATTGAATGCTACTCAGTTTTGATTAAATCAAACCATTAACTTCCTTCAAAAATTTAGTATTTTCGTCATTGTTAATTTAATTATCTAGAATTCATTGAAATTTATTACCTTTTATGGTAACTTGATGAAGAGACATTACTTCCATTGATAAATTGCTTATGGTTTTTAAAAGATTTCGACTCAAATTGTATGAGAACTCTGCTTTAGCATTTTTCTTAATTTAAATTTATTCCTCAGTTTCAGCTATTTTAGCTTTCAAAATTTTAACAATGTCAATAAATTCTAAATTATTTGATATTACTTACATGATTGAATATTTTTAATCTCTTTGGCAGCTTAAGTTATAAGCATTGTCTAATAGCCAGTTTTATGACATGTGCTTCTCCAATAATAAAATACTTTTGTTTATAATCCTAACTAATATTTTTGATATGCATCAAATTTTGCTTATCTACTTTTTCTCTTTCTTGTTGCATATTATATCAGCGATTTAAAATATTTTTTGTATAATTTTAATCTCTCATAATTGAGAACCATTCGAATTGCCAATTTATCATATTATTCTCTCTAATTTCAATATATAATATACCTTTTACAAATTCTAATTAATCTTTTCTTTGATTATTTCCTAGTGTTCTAAAATCTATTGTTATAATTCTGTATAATTGGTTGAACAATTTGATAATTCATATTAATATACATTTGTCTTATTATTCACTTTCAATTCATAAAATGCATGCAATTTTCTTAATGTGTCTTATTTGATTTCATTGAGCAAATCATTAAATTCTTTATTATCTTGAGGATTAAATTAAACTTCTGTGGATATTTAAGTTATTCTCTCTTAAGTGCTATCCTTTATTTCACCAACGGCTTTTCTTAATAAGTTGATATGCTATTTCATTTGAACTGTACTCATTATTATTCTTAACTGATTATTTAAAATGAAAATAAATAAATAAAAAAGTGTTATGAATAAAATAAATTCACACTAACAAATAAATAATAAGCCTCATCAAATTCATTTACTCAATCTCTTCAATAGATTAAGGTTAGTTTTGTCATTCAATAAATCTTCAGTTAAAGTTACAAGTCCTAAGATACAATTTTTGTATCTTCTTTGCACATATATGATATGTATTGTTGTGGAAATGAAATAAATAAACAAAAAAGTTAAACCAAATGTATAATTACAAACTAATATGGTGTTTTTCATTTGCTTTATGAGATAAAATTCTATCTGTTTTGTAAGAATATCAGAAAATCTCCTTTATTATTCCATTTCTATTAAGAGATCCCTGTTTAACTATTATATCATTAATGTGGATTTATTCACTTCCATAATTTCTTCTTACATTAATTTTTTATATAATTAGCTATAAATCTTATAAAATAAGGTTAAATTCAATTACTAACATTCAAATTTATTGAGGATAAACAGAGCTTAAAAGTAACTCTACTAATTTTTTGTAAGATAGTCAAAAAAATCAAAGCATTAGTTTCATTCTAAAGATAATGATTATGCTGTATTTCATTTTGAATTATTTCTTTTATAAAACTAACATAAACTGCATTGTTGGATTTAAATTAAACTACTTATTTTTATATTAATTGATTAAAATTCAATTTAAGTTTATTCTCTATAGCATGAATTATATTATTTGATTTAATAAATTAAAATAAATCTATTTGAGTAAATAAGTAGAATAGTAATGTTATTGAGTAAAGTAATAGATTAAAAATTAAATTTTCCTTCATTTTTGTATTATTATTTATCAAAATTAAGCTATAATTAATCCTAATAATAGAAAAACTGAAATTATTAAATTGCATATAAGTAGACCTTAATTAAATTTTTCTGGATCATTTTATTAGAAAACATTATGATATAGAACTATAATCTTGGTGATTATAGTCAGTAGAGAAAATATGATGAATCCAGTTTATGTATTCACAATAACGAATACAAGAATTCTTATTAAATCTAAGGTGTAAATTATCCTTAATTAAGGAGTGTAAACGAATTAAGAGGGTAATAACTCCTACTAAAATTAATTTCTATATCTCTCTAAAGATATGTAGTTGAAGCCAACAACATCAAAAATAAAGTAAAAACTAAAATAGTAACAATAATGTATAAAACGCTAGTTTAGTTTTGAGTCATGAATTATAGGTAAATAACAATAAGTGGAATCCTAAAATCTTTTAGAAAATATTTAAAGTAATGCTGATCAATTAAGAAATATAGTGGGATTTTTGGAAATTAAAGGATAAGATTAGCATAATAAAATAGATTAATGAAAGCGAGATAATGAAAACTTCAAATTAGTATTCAGTAGGATTTCTATTTAAAAAATTGATTATCTATTGGAGGCTGTTTAACATCTTATCATCATATTTTATTTACTGCCACCCATGTTATGGAAAACACAATTCAATATTTTAAACAAACTCAATTATCATAAGCAATTTTATGAATCCGATTTTGTTTTTTTTAGATTGAAAGTACATGAACAAAATTTTAATATGTAAAATTCATTTTTTGTAATTTTGATAAATATTTTCTCATTTCTTCTGATAACTTATTTATAATGTGACTTCTTCAAATTAGGTCCCATTCAATTCATTCAAACAATGAGTTGCCTAGAGTTCATCCTCAAATTCCACGAAGGCCACACCTTTTGGTTTGATTCCTCTAAATTCTCTAAATCCGAAAAAGTTTCTAAAGTGCTGTTCCAAGTTAACAAAGTCAACCAAGTGCAATCCTTCAACAAATAAAACTTTATTTGGTTAATTTTGAATCGAAGAATTAATTATATAATAATACTTTTATTTTACTGCTGTTTCCTGTGTAGACTTAATTCACTGTTAAAGGCATAGATATAGTTGGTGCTTCTCGTTATTATTTTTGATTGAACATTTCCCTTTATCTCTTATCTTAAATTCTCTTCTTATGTTCTTTTATTTTATCACTCATAGGCAACTTCTCCTTCTCCTCATATTCTCCTTTTGAAATATAGTATGATTTTTCTTTAGCAAAATTCACTTTCTAATCATCAAACTTAGTCTTACCATCACTTTATCATACAATTAAGTATTATGAAACTTTTTTTGAGCTTATATTGCCGATTCTTCATCTTCCATTAAAATAAAAGCCTGTCCCCTCATTAAAATATTTTTCTTGACAATTATATCAAGCACTTTTCCACTTTATGAAAATAATGCATATAATGTTTATCTCATTTCTTCTGCTGTCACTTTCTCATTCAATCTATTGATATATAAAGTTTTATTTGGTGGGTTTAAATCAATCTCTTTAACTTCAACAGTTTACTTGGTTGGTACCTGCTCTACCTATGCTTATTGAACAGGTTTAAGTATCTCTTCTCTATTAATAGAAAACAGAGGGGGGACATTTAAACCTTGCAACATAAAATAAAATTTAATATATTTGCATATTTAGCAATTCAAAATTTCAATCCATCTCTTCAATCTCCTCAAAGTAATCAAATTCTTCTAATGCAGCTGAATCAACTGTCATATCGATTCCTTAAGATTGTGATTGTTGCATATATTCATCTGATTCTTAAAACTAATCCTATTGTAACTACGAATCCCTCAAATCCTAAATTTATAATAATTATACTTCTCCCTCTAATTCTTCCTCAAAATCTTCATTATCATATTTCTCATCTTCGAAATTTCTGTTATCAAACTTCTTTTGTTAAGGTTTTTTTTAAGCTGCCTCTTATTTTTCTCTTTCTTATTGTTATTTTAATAATTCCTGCTACTTTTACTATTCTTTCAATTTTTCTTATTCCTTCTTTTGTTACTCTTACTTCTATTACTCCTATTTTTATTGTTCTTATTGCTTCTTCAACTCTTCTTATTTCTTTTATTCTTCTTATTATTTTCGTTGCTACTCCTTTTTTTACTCTTCTAATCTCTTCTATTCATCCTACTATTTTTTTAATTCATCCTATCTCTTTTATTCTTCTTATAATTATTTTCTCTATTCATCCTACCTTTTAAGATCCTCCTATTTTCTCAGCTCCTCTTGCTTTTTCTGTTCTTATAATTTTTATTCTTATTATTATTTTTGCTATTGCTATTACTACTGTAGTTAGGCTTCTTTTTGAGGTGGCTGAGCATTCTTTTAAGGTGCTTTTTCTTCACTAAATGATATCTTGATGAATATTTTACGATTGTTTTTCTGAATGTCTATTTTTTAATAAGAAAAATAACAATGGCTTTGTTGTATCATTGGCTTCTATATTTAATTTCTTGGCAATCTACTCTCTATTAATTTCATCTTTCAAATTACTTTCACTAAAAAATCATTCAAAGTTAATACCTTGAAAATATTGAATTTGTATAATGCATGTCGAAAAAGAGGAAAAATTCTTTAATCAATTCCAGCATGTCTCGACCACAACCCAATTCATATATTGTCTAAGCTTTATTATTTTCCCAGAAAAATGGGGATGGCTTTTTACTATTGCCTTCTTACTAATCAACCACATTAAAGACAGATGCTCTAATTTAAGCTCTAATCTTAGCCAGAGATCCATTTGCCTCAAGAGATTATATAACTAGGTTCTTAAGTTCTGTTAACTCTTACATTATTAAAAATTTGAAATTATATATAATAAGAAATTTTTAATTGTTAAGATAAATATTCTAATTTGCACTTCACAAATACTTAAGCACTATTAATTACAGAAAATCAATTATTGAATCTCAATTTCTTTGATAAAATTGTTAGAGCTAAGAATTTTGCAAATAGCAAAACCCCATCACCAAATTCATCAAGAGGTTGACTATTGGAATAAATAATTGATTAAAGCAAAAAAATACCTAGACAAAAATTCACTATGGTATTTCTACACTTTAAGAACCACCAGAATCCCTTTAAAATTATTCATCAAGCAGATATTTATCAGAATATCAATTTAGTTATAGATATAAATTTAACTATTATAACATAATATAAGTTCATCTTTTTGTTAAAGGACTAATGGCTCTTATTTAATTCATTATGTTTTATTTTAATGCATTAATATTATAATTGGCATTGCTACTTATCTTCGTTTGTTCTGTATCTGGTTTAAACTTTTGATTTTACACTAATTTTTATAAATCCACATTGAATTACACAGTTTTCTAAATACTGCAATTGTTAGTAGATTGTTGATTATTAACTGTATGTTGTTAAATTTTTTAAAAAATAAAATTTTTGATATTTTGAGAATTAGCATTTGGATTGGAATTTTCATTATTCAAATTCCCTTATGTTTATAAAGGTTATTAGTTTATATTGTGAAAACTTTCATTCTATTCTGTTTGTAGTCGATTATTTAAAAATGATTTTTTTTAAACTAAATTCTTACTTAATGGCATAGGAGAAACTGCTTATTATTTGATAAATGGTGACTGAGTAGTACTAACAGATTTAATTTATTAAGTAGAAGGAGTTTGTCTATTCTATTAGCTTTTAAACTATAGATTTGGACTCTAAAAGGGTGAATTAGGAGTTTTGGTAGTGCCTCTTGAATTTGAAGGTTTCGAATATTCAAGTTCTTCTAATGCTTTTTAAATTGGTCTTTTTTCTTCAAAATCCTCTTATTTATAAGTGTATCCAACAAAAGTCATTTCTTTTTTGCTATTCTGATATCCTTTAATAATCCAAGGTTCTTCTTCTTCATATTTATCAAAATTGCTTGTATCTAATTCACTTCTTATAGTTGGAATGTATGGAGCTTTCATCTCTCTGATTTTAAGTATTGACAGTCCACCAAACCAAGGATGTCTAATGATTTATTCGAACTTTAATCGATTATTGGTATCACAAATCAATTTACTAATTAAATCCTTAGCTAATTAAGATATTTTTGGTTCTTCTGGAAATGTAAAGCATTATTAAAATCGGATTATCTTTTAACAAGTAGTTGATGGATCATCAGTATAAAATGGTGGATATCCAATTAACATTTCATATAGAATCACTCCTACACTCCACCAATCTACAGTTTCATTGTATCCTTATTGTAAAAATACCTCAGGAGCAATATAGTCAGGTGTACCAACAGTTGAAAATGCTTTCTAGGATAAATCATTTAAGTCTTTACTTCTCTTCTAGTTTATTTCTACTTAAATTTAGAGGAAAACACTGGTTTATCAAAATGCAATTCAGCATCTTTACACAAACCAAAATCAGACAATTTGATATGCCCATTGTTATCAAGTAAAATATTATCTGGTTTCAAATCCCGATGGATAAAGCCAAGTTTATGAACAGATGATACTGCTTAAACTAATTCGGCCATATAAAAACGAGCTTCTGCTTCTGATAAGATATCCTTTTTCATTAATAAGGTCATCAAATCCCCTCCAGGTAAATATTCCATAACCAAGTATAGATTCTTTTCATCTTAAAATGAACATTTCATTTCGACAATCCAATTATTGCCTTTTGCTTCTTCCAATACTTTTCTTTCATTTGTAACATGACCAATCTGGTTTTTATATATCATTTCATGCTTCTTCATCTTCTTTACTGCTACTATCTATTGAGATGGAACGTGCCTACATAATCTGACTTCACCAAAGGCTCCTCTTCCAATAATAGCAAGTGGTTAAAAATCTTCTATACTTAATCTCATCCTCCTATCAATTTTGAAAAAATTAATACTTCTTTCTCATTTATTCTGCTTCTTTCTTAAGAATATCTTTTTTTATTATTTCCTGTTCTTTTGCATTCATATGAAGCGAGTCCATCAATTTAGATAACTGTTACCACCCTTATAATTATTATTATTCTTCTTCTATTTATTTTGCATATTTGCCTAAAAATTTATAAAATTTTAATACGTTCGATATATATTCGACAGGCCTCAACCCTATCTCTTGTGGCATTCGAAATTTATATTTCTTTCTTTCCAATCATTAACGATATTTATATTAATTTTATTTGAATTTATTAAGACTCTTTAAAAATTTCTCTCCAAAAACCTTATTTCCTATTCACCCTCAAAATATATGGAACTCTCCTTATTTTAACCTCTGAACTTTCTCAAGACACTCTATTGAACGAACTCAAATTTTATATTAATATTCTGTAAATTTTTTAATATTTTACAAACCAAAAGTATAATACTATATACTACATATATGGAAAATATTTATTCTAGTATCTAATCTAAACTCTGATATTTAAGACCACATTTCTTTAAATAAAATCAATTATTATTGTAACAATTATACATCTCTTATAAATCCATATAAATTACTTTAAAGATAATGATTTAGGAATTTTAAAAGAACTCTTAGTTGGTTTACTCCTTTTGAAAGGACAAGGCCTAATTATTTGCTCTACATCTTATATAATAATCTATTATATATTGTTTTTAATAAAATATGCAGAAAATTAAAAATTATATAAGCAGACTCCTAAACGACGATCATGTGTGCTTTGATTAATCATACTAATTTATACTATTTGTTCGGATGTTTTAATTTCTGTAATACTTAGCAATTACATTATAAGAAATTAATGATAATGAAAAATAGGTTGATGGGCATTTTTCAATTTTCTTTCAAATTCTAAAGTTGTCCATATTGGATATTAATTTTCTTCCAGATTATATTGGATTTATTACTACTTTTGTAAACATTGGTGTGTTGGTCCTATTCATATTATAAATGGCATATTTTAATAGATAATTAGTATTTTTGACGAGAGGACTTATAGCCTATTTAGCTTTATTACCTCAGATAATGTGCTTTTTATTTGTGTCATCTAGTTTTCGGTCTTTTATTTTGAAGGAAGAGACAAACATAGTCCTTTACATTTGGGCAATATGTGATGTTAGTTTGATATTTAGCATATCTATGATTTCATGCATTTTATTTAGAAACATAAGCTTTAATCAATCAACTTACACAAGAGATCAAAGTTAATTGAAAATAGTTTCTTAGATTTTTTAATTTGTCACATAAATATTATATTTTTATGACGATAGAGAAGAAATTTTAATACTTAAATAACTTTCAGCTTTAATGTGGATAGGACTGGAATAGATTGATATATATTTATATATGCCTTATAGTTTATATGATAGCAAATTAATATTTACATTAAATTAAATAAAGTTCGGATGTAATTTGATTAATTTAATTTTGAATAATTTGTCTAATATTATAGAAACAACCTTTTCATAATACATTTATTATTTTATATTTTCATCAATGTGTTTTTACTTAGGTGAAACATTTTATTAGAGATTATTTTATGCGAAAGGATTAGATACTTTTACTAAATCAAGTGAAAAAGACTAGCATTTATAAATAAAAGTGTTGAGATAGTTTTAAATTTAATCTCAATTCACACTAACTTAAACTGAGAAGTTATTGCAAATAGGAATGGTGAATTAACATATCATTCACTGTAATAAATAGTGCAGAGTAATTAATTTATTTATTTAAATCAGTCTCAAGATAGTTCTGATGTAATCACATGCATTGTCAATTCTCAAGTGTCAAATAAAGAAGATGAAAATCTATTTTTATTTAAGATTTAATATTTGGCATTCCAAAACAAACAATACTCTTAAAGTTTAGCCAGGATAAAACATTATTAAATTAAATATAAATAAGAATTATCTTGGTATTTCAACTTAGTATAAATTGAAATATCAAATAAACTCAGTTAAGAAATAACAAAAAAGCAATATTCCAAAATACTGCAATAAAATTCATCATTTGTTAACTTTACTTCTGATGATTTAGTTCATTTAGATGTTTAATCAGATATACTAATACCTATTATTAGAAAAACTCTTTCAGCCAAATTAGATGTTTGGAAGAAATAACTAAAAGGATTTTCATCTGTTAAATAATTATAGTAAGAGTTAGTGAAGTTAGCTTAGGAATTAGAGTAATTAAGAATTAAATTCAAATTGATTATAAATAGAGATGTATACGAAGTAAATATCTCTTAAGTGAATAATTTGTATCATTTGAGAATGTTGTCTTTATATTATTCAATCATCATGAACGATTAATTGCATTCATTTTTATGCGAAAAACAATACTATTTAATCTACAGCTATGAGCAAACCTTACAATAGGATTAGTTAAATTCAATTGCATTAGTATTAGATAAAGTTTCTATTGTAACTGTGAGCTTAGTTCAGAGTTTAGGATCTATATTAAATGCCAACAAATAGCAATTAGGACATATGTTTAATTACAAGAAAGTAGAAGAATTCTAAAATATTGTCCATCTAAATTAATTAATGCCTGATTTTATGGCTGAATCACATAACTCAATGTTGGAGAAATTTTTAATCAAAGGTGATTCTCCTTTTATGCAATAATTTCGTTTGATTTTTGGTAAAACAAAAGACAATTTTATATTCCCTTTGTATCTGAAACTAGCTAATGACTTTAGTTACCAGGACGATTATGTCATAAAAGGCATATTTTTCTCAGGAGTAAAAAAATATGATTATCTATTATTTGACAGCAATGGAAAAATATTGGGTGTAACAAGGTAAGTTTATTATGATCTGTTCACTAATAACAATAATAAAAATCAACCATCAGAACTTACTATATTATAAGATTAATGCTTCCTTTATTATTTTATGCCTGATTTATTTGACATTGTGAAAAGATTTCAATAAAGACAGAAGGATGTATTTGACAATATAATTTTTTCAGAAGATACAATCTTTATCTCTCACAATGAAATAAAAGAGTTTCATGATAAATTCTAATAGCAAATGAGATTCATTGTTAATGACTTTGGAAATATCATGAATTTTAAGAAAAAGCAATCGTTATAGAGTATTAAGATATAATATTAAAAGTTCGTGCGAGTACATTATAAACTTCAAAGGACATTAACCCTATCTTAATTGAATTAAGTTTATTGAATGAAACTTATGCTAAAGCAGTAAAGGAATATATAAATCAAACGGTAACATTAAAAAGTATTCATTAGGTTACATCATAAAAAACTTGTTTTGTGAGATTTACATTGTAATTCTAAAAGTATTAAAATGATGGATACTATATCATGCAAATATCAGATTATAGAAAACACAATTTTGGAGAATTAGCCACTGAATTATTTGCTTTGTAAGATGCTGATTCTACAATGAAAAAATCCACTTTGAGACATTTGAAGGGTAACTTTTTATAAGTATATAAAGATTTAATAATTTCCAAACGGAGATATGGTGACATTTAAGCTTTTTCAACCATTAAAAAAAAACGTTAAATGTATTCTAGATAACTGGCTTCAGTCAACTAATCTGAAATGCTAATGACTCAATAATTATCCTCAATTGTTTAAACACCAAAGGCTTGTTTTTTTAAACCTGAAATTGCATTAAATTCTGAAATGGAATCAGTTTAAGAAATTAGAAACTCCAGTTCAGAAGAATCCAAATTTTTAGATGAATTTTTATCAGATGACGAGTCAAAGAAACAAGGCTAAAAGAGGGAGAAAAGGATATAATCATTTAGCAAGACAAATAATTTTACTGAAAATGAACAAAATCCAAATTAATCATAACATTCTAGTGCAATATCTAAAGCATCCAATAATTAGTCATACTTTTTTTAAATTGTATTTAAATAAAAGGGATAATTACCAAAAAATATAATTATCTTATGGATTATTGTTTATTGTATTAATTTAATCAGTGTTGGAGGATTTAGTTTTACAAACTACCATATCATTTCTAATTACTATTAAGAATAATTATAATCTGAATAATTTATGGGACCTCTTAAATTTAATAGATATTTTTGTAAGACTTTATCCATTAGTTGGAATTTCATTTTAACAAAATACAATATATTGAATAATAGCCAGTATTCAAATTAATAAAACCTATATTAATTTAGTTTACTTGATTAATTCGTTTTCTCTAATCTATCGTAATTATATCCAATATTTCTCAAAATGGAATAGGATGGGACATTATCAAATATGACTTTAACATATAATATGAAAAGCTCAGAGAGTGTTGAATTCACAAGATTATTTAACTTTTTAGAAGAGGTCATCCATTATCTGGTTTAAATTAGTTATTTTGACAAGGAGAGCTTTCTAAATTTCGTTAACAAAGATTACATAGATAAGGCATTAATCATACAATACAACCTACCAGAAGTAATTGACATCAATAACGATCTAATGAATTAACTAAATAGGAATTCTCTTGACAAATAGGAAATTGAAAGTTCGATTTTTGTAGTTGAACACTTGATTCATACAGTAATAATCTTCTTTGTTATGCTCATACAATTGTTTTAATGGAATAATATAGAGTAATAAAATAGAAATTTGGCATTGTTGGTTGGTAGGATCAAGGATAATGAAGTGGAAAATGAAATTTGTAAGAATAATATCTATTATTTAAAGAGAGAGCTTATACTATTTATATCGCACTGAATATTCAAGCTGGTGAAGATTCCTGGAAGCGTTATAATTATTATAATTATGGATTTCAATAAGACGCATCTGTTTATTAGCCAAGGCAAAAATTAAGTATTAGTTAGAAATTGCAATTTGGTTAACAAATTTAAAAAAGCGTAAGGAATTTTAATACTAAAATAAATTTGTTTTCACATTTAATAAAAATATTAGTATTTGTATTGATATATTAAGCATATCTATGGGGAGGCTACTCATTATCTAAAAGCCAAAAAGATAGGCTATAACCATTAAATAATTTATTAGTAGAGTTTGCATTGTTCAGTACTAAAATTGACAATTTAGCAAGCACAGCCTTAATAATAAAGACCTAATTTTTAATATAAGAGAAATTAAAATAAGAAGGATTATTCTTGGAAAAAGATCTGAATGATAGAGAGGAAATAATAGAATTATTCAACACTATCTATAATGAGATAACTCAATCTTTTGCTTAACTATATGAGCAATTAATTAAAGATTTATAATTAGAATATTCAATCAAAGAAGCTTAAGGTTTATTACATTAAGATATTTGTTTATTTATGAGTTCACTATTGCCCTTTTGTGAATTGAAATTGAAATAAAACTAGTAAGATTTTATCAAGTAGTATGGTTAGTATTATGCATAAGATGATAATTCTGATTATTTATCTTAAGGCATTCTTTCTTTGGTAACACAAATGCAATAGTTTTATAAATAAAATTTTGTTTTTGAAACTTAGTTTGAAGATAAAGAATTAAGCTAAGATGAACTTTAGAGCTTTTTGAATAGTTAGGAATTTAATGTTATTATATTAAGCCATTTTAGAGATACTTATTAATGTTTTATTATTTACTTAGAATTATTAGAAGATAATATATATTTGATCAGAAGTAAAAATTTGTCAAGTGTGCTAATCTATTATGACATAATTATAATCATGTATTTGGTTATTTTTTAGATTTATTATTCATATTGGATAGGGAAAAATGTGAAAGTGATGAGGAACATCAAATTGGCCTTAATTGCAATGCCACATTTTCAATTGACAAGTGACCCTGTTATTAATATTTTGAAAAGATATTAATGATTGTATTTGATTTTTGATATAGATGTGATCAATAAATTATTCAGAAAACTTTTAGTTTTGAAATACCTATTAATCGTTAATAATTTTATATATAATAATGCAGTGTCGCAAGGTTGAATCGAATGTGATTATGAATTCGGCAAGATTAGTTCAACGTCCGAATGAGACCAACAAACTGGAGGAGGAGATAGTTCATGTAATAAAGAGTCCAGAAAAAAAGAGTCCTCATAATGGTAAATCACTCAAACGTACTTCTTCTGGTCCAATCATAAATTTACAACAATAGATAATAATACATCAAAATGCTCCTACAAAAGACTCATAGGTTTTATTGAAATTCAAGAATCAAATGAAGAAAAAGAAAAAGAAGAAGAAGCTTTAAAAGAAAAAGAAAATATAAACGATAGATAAATAGGGATCGGAAATTAGAGTAGAATAGCTACTAAAATAAAACTTAAGAAAACACTAAAGTATTCTTATCTGATTTATCAATAGGGGAAAAACAAGAATAAATGATATAAGAAGAGATACAAAAGTAAAGGGTAGTTAGTTTTAATGAAATGAGAAAAATTATGGATTAATAAATAAGATAAATAAATTAGCAAAGATTTGTTAGAGTAAATTTTACATTCTATTTGTATAAAGTCAAAATCTCCACCATCATCCATGTTACCATGGGGAGTTGATTAGAATAAACTTAAATAATATTGGACAAAAATGTTGGAAATCCATGATAAATTAGAGAAGCCATAACAAGCTAATCAAACAGCTACGGAACATGCTATCAAAGAAAAAATTAGAAGACATAAATTGGGATTAGATTTTCTGAATGCAAAACCAGAAAAAGATATTTAAAAAATGATATAAAGTAAAATTCAATTGAAAATTTTAGAATAAAAATCTAAATAGGTTTTAGAAACTATTTCGTCTCCTCAAAAACATAAAAGTAGTTGTGATAATAAAGATGCTGAATAAGATGTTAAACTGTATATGATGTATAAGAGAGAGTTATGGAGACAATAAAAAATTGAAGAGTATCTAATTTCATCTTATGTAGAAAACAATTATAAAAATTGAAAAAGGAGAAATTGCAATAAAATCTGTAAATTCTGGATTAAGAAGCCAAACTTTTTGCTAAATCCAGAAATGCTTCAGTTAAGTCTAATTTAACAGCCTAAGCAGCTTCGTATCATGCATAATAGTCATCTCAACATTTTAGAACTTCAGAACCTCCGAATTTCAACAAATTAGAAAAAGAGTATAAAGAACTCATGAGATCTCTCAGATAATCAAGCTATAGCAGTACTTAATCTCATTCAAGAAAAACAAGCTAATTGAAATTTTTAGATTGGTTATAACATTTACCTGAATCTTATCTCTAAGAACAACTCTCTCAAATGTAAGCTATAAATGAACAAATGAATAACAAAGGATTTCAATATAAATTAAGCGAAGAAGAAATGTATCAATTTTTAGAACAATTCCTGAAAGAAAAGTTTGAATAACAAACTAAGTCTACTATTAAAGACCGATTTAATGAATTATAAGAAAGATTTTAATAGGTTTCTTAATAACAGCTATCAAATAGCTAACAATAATCTCAACTATAAAATATAACTCATTAGAGTCATTAGAGTAACAAAAGTCAAAATTAAAAAGTATCTACTTCCCCTAAAGAATACACCATCAATGAAATGAACGAAGAGGAATTAGAAGAAATTTAAAATGTGGCTGCAACTATTATCTAAAAGGTTTGGAGAGGTTTTAAAACTAGAAAAGTAGTTTTTGAATATCTTGAATATTTAATAAGGGAATAAGAAAATGAAAAGGAAAAGGAAAAAAATATTGAAAAACCAACCTTGTCATAGCAATTTGAAAGATTATCTTAAGAGGAAGATGGAGAATCTGTAAATTAATAAACTGATTCAGAAAGAAAACGAAATCCTCTTGATTTACATTACAACAATTCTTTGTTTCCTAAATTTTAAGGTCAAGCACCACCTCCTTCAGAGTCTATATAATAATCTTCACTATAACATTCAAGCCCTAGAGGAAATACAAGTATACCTCCTTTAAATTTGGATTCATTCTCTTAATAATTATCATCTCCTTAAAAGTCAGTTTAATAATAATAACAATAAACATCATAATAACAACTTCAATAATAATATTAATAGTAATAATAGTAATAGTAGTAAAAGTAATAGTAGTAATAATTGTAATAGTAGTAATAATCTTAATAATAGTAAAAGTAATAATAGTAATAACAGTAGTAATTAAAATAATAATAATAATTATTGATATAATAATAACAATAACAATAATTATAGGAATAGGAATAATAATAATAATAATAAAAACAAGATTAATAGTTATTATCAGAATCATAAATTTAAGAACAAGAAATGAATTAGAATTCAACACCATAAAAAAGTATACATTTATATCATGGAGTGAATTCCGATCCTGAATACTTTATGCAAGTTATTAAACTAAGGGAAGAAGCTCTGTAATAGAAATACGACTAATAACTAGCATTGTTAGAAAAAATGCTAGACAAAAAGAAAGTTTCAAATGATTTATTTTCTGAAAATAAAGAAAAATTGGATAAAAAATACAGAAGGGAGAGAGATAAATTATAATAATCAAAAATAGAAGTAGAAAGATTACATCAAATGTTTAAGGATACAATAAAATCAACACAAAAAGATCAATAATTTATGGAAAGAATGAAAATCTAAACTGATGAAGAGAATTTATCTATTAGGTAAATATTTTCAATCCGTTCAGAAACAGAATAGTCTGATGGAGAAATAGAAAAACGATCTATTCCACATTATGGATTATTATAATAAATAAGTATTAATTAATTAATAATTTAGAGAATGATTAATTTAAGAAATACTCTAAAAATAGAAAATAAGTGAGAAGTTTTGATTAGCAAGTAAGTTTAGATGAAATTTCGATGAAAAATGAAGAAATACAAACAAGCACAATTTTTAATGTTCACACAGAGTCAATAAGTCATTCATTACATAAATCCCAATAACTGCCATCCACCCTTTAATAATCTGTACCCTCTTAAGAATTAGTATAGATTGATACAGTTGAGAGCCCAGAGAATAAAGTTATTGAAAAAAGAGAAGATTTTAAAAATTAAATAATTCCTTTTGATGATAGAAAAATTGATAATCTAACTGAAAATATAGTTTAAAACATCATTTCAGAATTTGCTGAAGAGTTGAATAATTTTCCCTTATAATCTCTTGGTGTATTAATGGAATGGGATGAAGAATCTCAATTAGACTAATAATTTCCCCCTGGATTTCCAACTACTCTTAATTTTATTAAGGATTATCTTGTTTCATTTAGTGAATTTATTTAAAGTAAGAATTATTAACATTTTAGAACATTATCTAGCGATTTTCATTCAGTAAGTAAATACTCCATTAGGGATTACACCATAAGATTTATTGAAGACAATCTCACTTAGTGATATGTAATAAAATGCCCTAGATGACTCAACATCAGGGCCCTTGTATCCATTGATTAAGCACATTCATCAAATGGAACCCTTAATTGATGAAGAAATTTGGAATAAATTTAATTAATCTTATGCTCTCAAACTAAAATACTTTAATGATATAAATATAAGTGACTAATTCAAGGAACTTGAAGTTTATCACTTAAGAATGATTTATGAAGCTTTTAATGAGGCTATAAATTATGTAAGACCATTCGGAATCAGAGGATAACCTTATCCATGGAAATCGAATCCTCTAAAAGTCTATTAAAACTAAACAACTTAGGAATCAATTGATAGAGCTATGGGATTTGCAATTGCCAAAATGTTGAAATGGGGTTCTTTTTTATGCGGATTCATTCCTGAAAAAATTGAGACACCTTAAGGAGAAATTATTGTAATAGAGGATGACTACTTGAATTAAATCAAAGAAGATAGATTATAGTAAATGTTAGAATATGAGGTAATATATATTTTGATAAAATTTAGATTCAAGAATCAGAAGAAAAATGGTTAAATTATGATGAAGAGTAAGCTGAAGTGGCAGTAGAATTAGCGGATGTTGTCTTTGAAACTATGTTGGATGAAGCAGCTGAAGAGATATTCAAGATTTCATAAGGAGGAAAGTACTAAATAAAAGATTTTCAATAATGATATTTAATAAAGAAAGCTTTATTATAAATATAATTTAATTTCTTTAAATCACTTGAATATATTTATATACAAATAATTATGAATTCATAATTACAAAAATTACAATATTTATAACAAATAATTTTAACATAATTTTAATAATTAAATCAAATTTAAAATTGAAAATAATTTATGTCACAAGAAGACAATCAAAGTGTGAATATGAATAAGATAATATCAATCATAAATAAAGCAATAAAAAGTATAATAATGATTTCTATTATAGAATGTCCTTAATATGAACAGACATAAAATTATTTACTTGAATCAAGAAAAATTGTGTTGTTTAATGAAGGATTAAGAGAGCAAATCTTTAAGTGTTAAGATGAAATAAGATTAATTTAGAAGGAATTGACCTAACCTTCTAAAAAGTTAAGAAGAAAAGCTAATGAAATTTCAAAAAAGTATAAATGTTCAAATTGTGACAAAAAATATGGATCAGAAGCATCACTTAATTTACATTGTAAAATAAAGCATGCTTTTTCAGAAACAGATTCAAAAACTTAAATTGATCACAGTTTTCAAATTTGATTTTCCTTTTTAATTCGCTGTTTTTTTTTAATAATTAAAATTTATAACAATTATTTTTAATAATTTCAAATATTCTAAAATTATGGGTCTCAATCGATGGATTATTAAAATCAATATCTATTAAGCATAATGTTTAATTATTATATTTCAAATTTAGCGGTCTTAATTTAATGAATTTAATTTGAATTTTAAAATTATTTATTTGTAAAACAGAATCAAATTCTTAGGTAGATTTCAGATCAATTTTAAGTTA